TTTTTTTTGGTCAAAGTGTTGAAGTCATGGATTGGTCACTGGTTGGTTGAGAGTCCAGGTGTTCACTGCACTGCAAACCCCGTCGAGTCCAGCTGAACTAATTAGTTAATGGAATTGGAATGACTAACTCGGTTCGGCCAGCCAAGCCAAGCGGTGACGCCGCGCAAGGCGCATTCGGGTCGACTCGACACCGCCTGCGCCGCATGGTGTTTTGCCGTGGAAAAGATTTCCTGTGCGTGCTTTGCTAACTGACCTGCCTGTAGGTACTAACTGTTGATGGATTGATTGATGTGATAGGAGTGGGAAAGGAGGGGTTTGAGATGTGGCTGGGTTGGGATGTGGCTGGGTTGAGCTGTGGCGCAGTTGATCTCATGCTTGAGGGAAATACGGAGTATATTGTAGGTAGGCAGACATCTCATCTACTTTGCGGATATTTAGGATAGCTTGTGGCAGATATTAGATAGGCTGGATATAGTCAGGCTGAAATATAGAAAGCTGAAATATAGAAAGCTGAAATGTAGGCAGGCAGAATATACTCAGGCAGACATCTAGACAGGCAAAATGGACAGTAAATCTACAGACAAAAGAGACAGACAAATGGACAGACAAATAGACAGACAGATAGACAGACAGATAGACAGGTAGAACTAGTAGATAACAGATGAAATTGATAATATGTACGTGAATAGAACTCATATAATACAGGGAATATCCCCCCCTACAGTCGCACCCCCGTCGGTCGTCCCTCATTCCCCATCCACCGTGGAAGCTGGAACCCGCCCCCTAGCCACTGCGGCGGGTTGGCCGTCTCGAAGGTGTTGCGCACCCGGTGCGCAAACGACTGGAGGAACGTCTCCTCCTCCGGCTCGACGGCGGCGGGCACCGTCCCACGCGGGGATCGCGACGGGCGCACGGCGTCACTGCCCGACGTCCGGGACGAGGAGAACCCCCGAGGGCTCCCGCTGACGGGGCTCGACACGCGGGGGGACCGCCCCGCGCGCGACGTCAGGGACAGCGATCCCAGCCCGTTCAGCTCGCGCTCGATCAGCTCGCGGCCCTCGCGCCAGCCGCCCAGCCCGTAGCCGCTCGGGTTCGTCTCCAGGTCGTCCTCCTCCTCCGGCTCCAGAACGCCGAACCCGCAGATCTTCTTGATGCGCCCGTAGAGGTTGAACATCGTGGCCGCGATGGGCAGCAGGATGAAGACCGGGAAGAACCAATCGAAGCCCTTGCCCAGCGGCGTCAGGTCGATCGACTTGCCGAGGAAGTCGTAGAAGGTGGTGTTCTCGCGGAAGGCGACCGGCAGGAAGGTCAGGAAATTGTAGGCGATCGGGACGGCCAGCCGCGCCACCAGGCCGGCGTACCAGCAGGCGCTCTCGCCGTACGTGTTCCGGCGCACCAGGGCGCGGTTCCCCCACACCTTGGCGTCGTTGACGCCCGCCAGGGCGGCCCAGCACATGTAGAGCAGCCAGCCGGTCGCGGTCAGCTGCCGCCAGAAGCCCACGGGCTTGGGGTCCTTGTGGTAGGAGATGACCGACAGCGTCACCACCGACAGCCGCGGGGCGAAGGACTTGAACACCTCGGACCAGACGACGGAGACCGAGGCGGCGGCGCAGAGGGCGCCCAGGACCAGCCGGATGCTCGGGACGAGGCGGGCGTACAGCTGGTAGCGCAGGTACGGGGTCAGAGCGCGGACCCCCGGGAAGAAGGAGCGGCGCTGCGACTGGGGGAAGTCCAGGCGCTGGGTGGCGGCGGCGTTGATGATGGCCTGCATGTCGGCGGCGGTCAGGACCAGCCGATCCCACTCGTCGACGAAGCGGGCCTTGAGGTGGCGCTTGCGCTGGATGCGCCGGGTCAGGTCGGCCAGGTAGCGTTCGGTGATGACGGACGGCACGGTGGCCGTGGTGTGGGAGGCCGAGGGGCCGAGGAGGGCGGACTCCTCGGGGATGTTGGAGGTCTCGGCCAGCTCCTCGATCCAGTCCTGGAAGTCGCGGGCGGTGCCGGTCTTGCGACGCTGCAACTGGCCGACCTGGGCCTCGAGGCTCTCGAGGTCCGTGACGGCATCCATCAGGTTGTCATGCAGTTTGGGGGCGTAGAGCTGGATGCGGCGCAGGCGGCCGCTGACGCTGGCGTTGCGGAACAGGGCGCGGGGGATGGAGACGAGGCCGTGGCCCATGAGGTAGATGGCCATGACGAGACCCCAGACGTAGGACAGGGCCATGACGACGCCCTTGATGGCGGTGAAGTTGAACCCCTCCTGGACGGAGATGTAGATGAGGCCGACGACGGAACAGATGAGGACGAGGAGTTGGTACTGGGCGTTGGAACGGATGGAATACTGCATGCGACCTTTGGGATCACGATAGCCGGAATCGATGTATTCCCCGAGCAAAGGAAGGATGACCCTACGTCCGTCAGTTTCATCGAGTGGTCGTGACCCTCCGCGGGAGTAGTTGTCAGGGGTACATACCAGGTGAGGACAAAGATCAACCAGTAGGCGATGCGCCAGGAGACCAGAATGAGGCGCTCCGGCAGCCAGATGGCCCGTGGCCCATCTCCATCGTCGCGGGAGCTCGAGGCGAGGTCAATGGGGACGAGGAGGACGACCCCGGCGGGTAGGGCCAGGGAGAGAAAGACGGACACGGAGAGATAGGCGGGAGTGTTCCGGAGGGTCAAAAAGCGGCGCAACAGCAGGATGACCAAGACGGAGATGATGACGAGGGCGAAGGAGTAGAATATATTGGAACCCACGGAGATGGTGGGGGCTGAAACCGAAAACATGATGAGTTGAGAAATCACCGGAACGGCCTATCTCCGTGGAGAGGGACGGGACGGGGAGGGGGGGCCAGGTGTCGCGTGACCAGCCGGAGGAAGACGGCGGGAAAGGATATGAATAGGAGGGAGGGAGGGAGAACAAGAGAGATGGTGGGGGAGGGGGGAGAAGAAAGTGATCCAAGGGAAGAGAGGATCAGGGGGTGGATTCCGGATTAGGGACAGGAAAGATCAAGGAGGAAGAGGAGTGAGTGTACTGATCATAGTTTTCCAGACGGGAAGTACCGACTGGATTCGGGATCAGGACAGGGGAGATGGGGAAATTGGGAGGGAGATAAGAGATGGGGGGGGGAGAGAGGGGAGAGAAAGGTGAAGAGAGAAGAGAGAAGAGAGGAGAGAAAGAAGAAAGAAGAAAGAAGAAAGAAGAGAAGGAAGAAGAGAAAGTGAAGAGAAAGTGACGAGAGAGAGAGAGAGAGAGAGAGGAAGAAGAGAAGGAGTCCGATGGTTGTCCGGGTTGTCCGTGTCAGTCAATCAGTCAGTCTCGTTGTTCACCTGGATTATTTCGCTTCTATTTGATGCACACCTTATTAACCAGGCACGGCCCACGGGTGACGCAGCGGGTCGGTCACGTGGGCCACCAGCCTGGTGCCGGATCTAGTTAGCCATATGCTGTTCACAGTTTCTATATATATCAATATGATATAGATATAGATATGAATTTGGTCGATATAGAGTATTATGATGGCGACTACTGATGCTGTAGAGATGGTGGATAATCCAGTACCTAGATATTCAGATCTGAAGATCTATATATCTGTATCTGAGTAGTTCACTATATATAGATATAAACTACCGGTACTCTCTGTGGTATGCACAGATATTCTTCTACAACCGGTATGTATGGATGATCTCAAGATGGATCTGAAGAAGATAGATTGGCCTTTCTCTATGATGAAGTCCTCTGCTCGGTTAGAGGATCCCCAGGGTACGTACTCGGATGGATTCTATCCTGCCGACGTGATCCTGCGAAACCACCAAGTCTTGGCACGTTGATCTTGTGTCTTCTGGGCCAGTCGACCCCCTCCATGTCGACCATCTGCTGTCGTGTTGATTTATTCAATAGCATGATTTTATATCAATCATACATAATATATAAGAATGTATGTATTATCTATATATAAGTATGTATGTATTACTGATGTATATCTAAGTGTATATATCTGTACAGTGAATATGTACCTCGACAGCGGTCAGCTGTCAGTGTCAGGGGGTGTCCTGAGGCAGACACCAACCATCCCAATCCATGGATGGTCCTTGAACCAAACCTTGACCAGACCTTGACCAGACCTTGACCAGACATTGAACCAGACCTTGAACCAGGACCGAGGATTTGATCAAATGAATCTGGCCCCTTCGAAGAAATATTCCAATTTATATCATTCACCAGTAGAATCCACCATGATCTCTAATCCAGATCAGAGCTTTTTTGAGTTGGGGAGCCTGGGGACCCACTTTGGTCCTGGAGTCTCCATCACTGTCACTCTTCCCTGCACTAGGGTTTCGTTCATCTGGATTATTTACCATCTGATTATTTGATGATTTGATTTACCAATGGTAAAAAAAAGGATGTCAGGATTGGACCGCCAAGGAACTGACGGCCGATCGCACGGAAATCCATCCAACCTCCATCCTGTCCATCTTGCTCTTTTGGGGGGGGATTTAGATTAATCTGGACAGGGACCTGGATGATCTTGTCCATGATCAAGAAGATAATATAGGATGGAATGACCGTCAAGTTCGATTATGGATTTTTATTTTATTTTTATTTATTATTTTTTTTTTTAATACGATCATGATTGATTATTGGAATTAATCTTCGTATTATCGACTATTACCATCGATCTTTTCCTTTCTTTTTCTGCGGTTGATTTCCTTCTGTTACTGGTATTGAATGTTATACCCAACTGTAGAATGCTCCGTGATTCCCTGATGAATCATGGTGACCAGAGAATTTGTCATTTTTGCTTAGAAGTCAATCAATCAGACCCAAAAGAGGGATGAATCTCAGGGTCTGCTTGGTGATACCAATAGTGGACTGCTGGTCCTACTTGACTTGACCCGCCATCTCTCCAGGAAATTCCTTCTTTCTTCTTGACACTGTTATTCTACCAGCTGACGGTCATCATCCACGCCACCTCATTCTGCTTCTTCTTCTTCCTGGTAAGCCCTCTTCTTCTTCATTCTTTGGATTCTTTCTCAACTGTCCATCCGTCTCCCCGGTCATTAGCCCGTGGATGCCCGGATCCTCCTGCAATCATTTCCCATTCCGATCTCTTCCTTGGACTCGTTGTTTTTCCTTTCTTTTTTTTTTTTCTGCCTGATTTTCCTGATTTTCCTGATTTCCTCAATTCTTCCCAAGTCATTTCCACCGTCACCTCCATCCCTCCATCACGATTTCCACTTTCCCTCCCTCAGTCATTCATTCCTACCGAGTTCATTGATGATCTTCTTCTTCTTCACCCTCTCATCTCTTCTCCTTTTCCCAATTCCCCTGTCCAATCCCTTTCCACCACCTTGGCTCTAGTGCGACAAGCGTTGCTGCATCATCCCTGTCACTGATCCGACACCTTTCCCAGTCCCATTAATCCTGCTTAGGCTCTTCTACTATTCTCTCTCTCTCTCTCTCTCCCTCCCTCTTCTTTCTCCCCTCCCTCCTACAACCACCACCACCCCCCGAAAAAGCCACTCGCCTTCCGCCGCTGCCAACGAACCCGCCGAATTTGACCGCTGGTGCCCGAACGCCTTGTTTCCTTCCCCCTTCTGCGTTGGTCTTTCAACCGTGACCTTTCCACCACCACCACATCTCTTCGTGATACCTTCTCCTCTATCTCCGACCGCTCTTTTTTCTTCTCCTCGATCGATCATCCTCCAACTATCCATCCAACCGCGACCATCCTTTCCTTCGATCGATCGTCCCCACAGGTTCCCTCTTTTCCTTTTTTGATCCTGACGCCACGCTCGATCCCTTCGATCCCTTCGATCCTGAGACGAACCCCCCACCCCTCCCCTAGACACACCACCAGCGAATGCTGGGTTTCACACAAGGCTTGCGCGGACTGCTCCTCGATCCCCACTGAGGGGGCGTTGCTGCCATGAATCCCGCAAACTTCAACAACGTTGGCGGTGGCATGCCCGGTGGAGCCAAACCGCATGGTCAGAACCCAGGCCCCCCCAGGGTCGAAAATGGCCAAACCGTCATGAACTTCGTCGCCCAGGCCTTGCAGTCCCAAGGGAACTTTTCCGGATGGCGCCAGGAGGTGCCCCTCCGCGACCGCGCCGTCAAAGTTTATCAAATGTGAGTGTGATCCGCCTGCATTCGCCATGCCCTCTATTGCTCCCCCGTTTCTTCACGGTTCGCTAACCCTCCTAGGATTACGTCCCTTCGCTTGATCAAACCCCAGATCGATATCGCCGGTGCGGCTCACGCAGCCTTGACATTTGAACAGGGAGCGTTTTCTCGGGCCAGGGAAAAGGTGGGATACCGTCTTTCTCTTCTTCTTCTTCTTTGCTTTTCTTCTTGACCGTAGTGCTGACCGTCACGATAGGTCGATTACGATAAGGAGTGTAACGACAAGCTGGTCCATATCCGTGATACTCGCGCCCGTCAAGCCGCCGTCTTCCAGAACGGCATGATGAACCAAGCGTCGCCCACCCCCGGCGCCCCCTCGGTCGGCCAATTCCCCCAGCCGGCGAACCGCCAGATGCAGGCCTCCCCGGTCGCCGGACCCCAACAGCCCATGATGGGCATGAACGACCCCTTGCAAACCGCCGCTCGGCCGCACCGTCCACCGTCGCAACAACCACCACAATCAGGCCCGCCCGCGCAAACACCGCAGGGCATGCTCCTGCAACAGCAGCAGCAGCAACAGGCCCAACCTCAACCCCACCAGACACCCCAACCACAACAAACCGCGCAGCCCGCACAGCGCCCGCCCCAGCGACCCGGCGGCGCCATCGCCTTGGCGGACGATTTCAATGCCTTGCCCGCGAATGAATTGGATGCCGTCAACCGCCTCGCCAAGGAGATCTTCCATCGCACCGCCAAGGTGGACCTGGACAAGATCAAGATGAACTTGGCCAACATGAACCCGACGCAGAAACAGTACCTCCACCAGCGGGGCATGGACCCGCTCAGCTACTTCTTCCGCTGCCAGGCCCTTGCCCAATTCCGCAAGATGCGCCGCGGCCACATGAACCGCAATCCCAACGCTCCCGTCGATCCCAACGCCGCTCTGATGGGCGGCGACCCCATGATGAACCGCCAGATGTTCCAGAACATGATGAACAACCAACGCAACCCGGCCTTCGCTGCCGCCGCCGCTGCCGCCGCGAACAACCCGCAGGGCCTGGACACCTCTTTCATGGGCAATGTCGAGAACATCCAGGGCCAGCAGGCCGACGGCTTGCGCTCGCAGGAGGCCGGCCAACTCGTCGTCCCAGCCAGCTCGAACCAGGCTCCGTTCAACGCCGCCCAGAACATGTTCCCGCCCGGTCAGTTTCCCCAGGGGACCCCGGGGGCCCCAGCCGCCATGAATAATACCTCCATGAGCCCACAGTTCCTCGCGCAGCAACAGCAGCAGCAACAACAACAACAACAGCAGCAGCAGCAGCAGCAGCAGCAGCAGCAGCAACATATCCAGAACGCCCCGCCGGTTCCGCCGGACCGCACGCCCCAGTCGACGGGTGCCTTTCCGGCGTCCGCCCCCGCACCGGCCCCGGCCCCGGCCCCGGCCCAAGCGTCCGCCCAGGCCCAGGCGCGCGCCCAAGCCGCGCAGAAAGCCCAGATGGCCATCTCCCAGGGCCAAGCGAACGCGCACGGGATGCCGCAGATGCCCCCCCAGGGGTCTCCGATGTCTATGCTAAACCGGCCCATGGCGCCGGGCCAGATGTCCCCGGCCCAGATGGCGGCCCAGGTCCGCCCGCCGTCGCGTCCGCCCGGCATGGGCTCACAACCTCCCACCGCACAGGCGTTGGGCGGCCCCCCCGGGATGCAGGGCCGGCCGCAACTCGCGGGGCTCTCCGCGGCGGCGCAGGAGCAGCTCAACCAGATGACCCCCGAGCAGTTTAACGCCTTCCTCATCAGCCAGCAGCAACGACGGGCGCTGGCGAACAACCAGGCCCTGGCGCGGGCCAATGCCGCGCAACACATGGGCATGCCACAGAACCTGTCGCAGCCCGGCGGCCCGGGCCAGCCGATGATCAACAACGGGCAGGTGGGGAACCCCCAGAATATGCGCACCGCGCTGGGTCTTCAGCCCCAATTCCCCGGGATGAACGCCCCCCAACCGCCCGGTCAGATGATGCCCGGACCCCAGGGCCCCCTGCCGCAACGCCACCCACAGCAACAGCAACCCCAACCGCATCCGCACCCACACCCGCAGCAGCAACAACAACAGCAGCAGCAGCAGCAGCAGCAGCAGCAGCAACAACAACAACAACAACATCAACAGCAACAGCAACAGCAGTTGCAGCAACGTCAACAGGAGCTGTACAAGTTTCAACTTCTTCGCTCGCAAAGCGGGGCCATCGAGATGTCGCCCGATCAAGTGAAGGAAATGGACCGCCTCCCCTTCCCGCCGTCGCTCCTGAACAGCAGCCAGAACCTGGCCGCCGCCGTCCCCAAGACCGTCAAGACCTGGGGCCAGTTGAAACAGTGGGCCACGCAGAACCCACAGATCCTCGGGGCGCTAGAGATGCAGAAGTTGATAGGCTTTCAGAAGATGCACCTTGCCCAGATGTTGTCGCAGGGCAAGGACCGGAATCCCGAGCAGGGGGTTCCGGGTCCCTGGATGGGGATGGGGCCCCAGGGCCAGCCAGCCCCGCAGTTCGCCAACCAACCGCCGCAAGCGTTCCCCGCCGGCCCGCAACAGCAAGCGCCCATGAACATGCCCGCTATGCGACCGATCACGGCCGCCGATATCCAGATCGCGCGCCACCGCTTGGGCCCGCGCGCGCAGGCGCTCAGCGACGAGCAGCTCCGGGGTATCTTGCAGCAGAATCGACAGAAGCAGTTCCTGCAGATGGCGCAAGATCGGGCTGCCCTCGCCAAGCAACAACAAACACCTCATGGCCAACCGTCCCTCCCACAACAACAACCACCACCGCCACCACAGCCACCGCAGCAGCCACAGCCGTCCCCCGTCCCCGCGGCCGTCAATGCGGTCCCCGTCAAGGCAGAGCCGTCGACGCCGGCCTCCGTCCCGCAGCCACATCCTCAGGCCAAGCCGCAACCCGTCGCCGCCGCCAAGGGTGCCAAGGGCGCCGGCCCCGGCGCGAAGGTTGGATCCAAGCGCAAGTCGCCGCCCGACGAGCCCGCCGACGGACCGAAACCCAGTCAACCCGCTGTCACCCCGACCACGGCCGCCCCCGTGCCGAGCAAGCTCGGCTTGTCCCTCACCCGCGAGCAGCTGGCTGCGATGAACCCCGCGCAACGCGCGCAGCTGGATGGCCAACTCCGGCGGCAGGCGGGCCGGTCGCCCATCCCTCGGTCCGTCGCCGAGGAGTCGTGGAACAACATTCCCGACAAGGCCAAACAGCTGTACAATGAAATGCTGAACCAGCCGCATCCAACCGAACCCGTCGCCCTGACCCCGGCCGACAAGAACAAGATGGCCCAGACCCTCCGCGAGTCGACGGACTTGCTGGCCCGCATGGACACGCTGGTGGTCTGGTTTTCCAAGCTTCCGCCGTCGCAGGGTAACAACCTGAAGACTCTCCTCCAAATGGTACGTTCTTTTTATTATTATTTTTATTTCTATTTTTATTTTCATAACTATCTTTCCCTTTTCTCCCTGAAATCACCCACTGACTGGAAAACAGAGGATGCAACTCATGCGGCAGTTCAAGCCCGGAGACGACTGGACGTTGAACGATCACTTCACGATCCCCCCCAACTACTTAGAGCAAGCTATCGCCTACACCCGCAAGTTCTTTTCGGTCATGCTATCCCGCATGAATCAACATCAGAACCAGGTCGCCGGTCAACGACCTGGGGCGCCGTCCGGCGCACCCACGACCCAGCCGACCCCGCAGAACACCATGCCCGCTCTGAATGCCAGCAACCTGCAGCAGTTACAGCAGCAGGAAGAGGCGCTCCAACGGGCCCGCCGCGCCTCGAGCCAGACCGCCGTGGCCGTCAACACCGTTGTGCCGCCCGCTCCGTTTGGCGCGCCGTCGCCTCAGGGGGTGCCACACGCGTATGGCCCGGCAAGCAACCCCCCACAGGAACTGAAACTGCCCCTGCAAAAGAAACGCAAGCAGACACACGCGGCCGGGACGGTACCCCCGGCGGCCGCCGCCAAGACCCACGCGTCGAAACCGGGGGCGGGCGATGCGACCCTGATCGGTGCCTTCCGATGTGAGGTGGCAGAGTGTCCGCATCATTCCCAAGGCTTCCCCACCCAACACGCCCTGGACCACCACGTCGCGGAGAGCCATCCAGTGGAAGGACCAATTGGTGATCCGTTGGAATTCGCCCTGGAGAGTTTCCGTATCGGCCTGCTGAAAGAGGACAAGGGGGAGGGCGCGGAGGCCAAGGTCCCAATGGACACCCCGCAGTTGTCATCCAAACAGGAGGCGATCACCCCGGCGACTTTGGGCGCCACCCCGATGGGACGGCCCCCCAGTCAGTTTGGCGCCAAGGGCACCTCCCCAGCGTCCAGCCAGCAGCCGACCCCTCGCGGACCTGCCGCCAAGGGCCTTGCGGCGGCCACTGCCAAGGCGGCGGCCAGCAAGGATGGCAAGAAAGAGCCCGGCAAGTCGCCTGACCCGACGCCGGCGACGGATCCGTGGGCGACCAGCGCCATTTCCTTGGAGGCCATCCAGGACGCCTTTATGGACCTTCGGGACGACGGGGGCTTGGGCCTCGGACCCATGGAGGAGTTCCTCAACGCCGACATGTTTGCCCCGCCGCACTCCAAGGACACACCCGATTCGGTGGAGACGGGGGTGGTCACACAGACGCCCAAGGACACGGAGCTTCCTAAGACGGAGGATCTGACGGGCAAGATGGTCGACGCCGGGGAAGACCAGTGGATGGACTGGCCCCTTGGCCCGGGCATGCTTGACGACGAGATGTTCGTGACCCAGTCGTGGGACGAGATTGACTGGGACATGATGGATCGTCAGAATGGTGGCCTGGGCATGGACGATGGCCGGATTGCCATCCGGACGTTATAGTCCGGATGGTGATGGGGGGACTTGAAAGTCTCGACCTGACGGAACCGTGTTCTGGAGCGTATCCACCACACATGTTACGTGACTGATGTAAAATAGACGCTGGCCGACCATTCCCCAACCCTCGCTCTGTCTTGTCCGATATTGATCGTTGATGCTGCCGGGGGCAGTTCCTTCATTCCTCATCTATTTTCTTTACTCGTTCGCTTTCTACTGCGTTTGATGATATATCCCGTGTTGTTTCTGGATTGATTGATTGATTGGGAACCCATTTGCTGTTGATTTAGCCACGGCGTTGCTAGGAGCAAACAAAAGGGCTACGAGTCGGATGGCGGGATATTCAGACCGGCCTTTATCTTGTTGTCCTCCGATTCTGACAGGGGCGGAGGACTGTTTACCTTAGTTCATATTCTGATGAATAGCTAAAGCATAATCTTTTACTATCTACCATCCAACTCAGTAGTTGATCCAGTATACCAGGTAATATACCTATCTAGATACTGGGAGCACATGACGTAAGACACACTAACCCGAATCCGCCTAGCGTAGATACTGACCCGGGTGATCAGCTGGCGATAACCAACTGGGGCGATAAGGTCATCTCTCTCTCTCTCTCTCTCTCTCCATCTCTTCCTTTCTCCTCACTCCATCTATCGATCTCTCTCCCTTTATCTCTTGACCAACCTCACTCACAATGGACGTCCAACATTAGATAAATTCTATTCTATCTACCATTCCATTCATAAATCAACCTCTCCCTCAATCCCAGACACTCCCAAACACCCTTATCCATCCCTTCAATTAACCACCGCTCGATAACAAACAACACCCTCCCTCTATTGAGGAAAACCGACCGACCAACCAGTCGTCAAAATGGTAAACAAAGCGGTCATCCCGTTCCTGGTCACGATGATGCTCGTGACTGGGGTGTGTAATACGATTTTGAATAAATATCAGGTGGGTTTCATCTTTGCATTTATGGGGACTGGGTTGGGGGAAGTGGGTGGCTGATGGATGGTGCTGTGTAGGATATGCAATGTGTGAGGAATTGTGATGATCCTGATCCGGCGGAGAGGAGGTTGTTTGAGCAGCCTGTGATTCAGACGTATGTCTTCTCTTAGCCCTTATCTGTTTTCTAAATGCTGATACCAGAAGTATTCAAATGTTCGTGGGCGAATCCGGAAGCTGGCTCGTCGTCTTCCTGGCTTGGGTCTACAGACAATACATCGCCCCCCGCTTTTCAAACAATACCACCCCATTACTCGCCGGCGGCTACAATCCCGTGCATAATGATGACCGACTCGACGACGACGGAGAGGAGGACCAGACCATCAGCGGACCCGACTACGCAGACGACCCGTCCAAACCGCTGGACGACGGACGGGTTAAACTCGAGGGCCGCAGAATCTTCCTCCTCGCGGCCCCCGCCTGCTGCGACATCGCCGGAACGACCCTCATGAACGTGGGTCTCCTGTTCGTAGCCGCCAGCATCTACCAGATGACCCGCGGAGCACTGGTGCTCTTCGTCGGGCTCTTCAGCGTCATCTTCCTGCACCGCAGACTCCACGTGTACCAGTGGAGTGCGCTCTTCGTCGTGGTCCTCGGCGTGGCCCTGGTCGGTCTCGCGGGGGCGCTCTTCGGCGACGCTCCGAACCACGAGGCCAGCCAGGACAGCACACCTATGGTGATGGTCAGGACCGTCGCGATGGAGGCCCGCGCCGTGGCGCAGACGCCCGAGGCGGTCAAGACCATCATTGGCGTGCTGTTGATCGCAGCCGCGCAGATCTTCACGGCGTCGCAGTTCGTGCTCGAGGAGTGGATCCTCGAGAACTACGCGATGGACCCGCTCCGCGTCGTCGGCTGGGAGGGCGTCTTTGGCTTCAGCGTTACGGTCGTGGCGTCTATTATCATGCATTTGTGCGTGGGTCAGACGCCCGCAGGACGATATGGATATTTCGATGCACGAGAGGGTTGGTCCGAGGTTTTCCATAACCGGACGGTGGCGATGAGTAGTTTTTTCATTATGATCAGTATTGGGTATGCTTCCCTTCCTTTCCTCTCTTTGTTTCCCCCTGCTAATCTATCAACCAGCGGATTCAACTTCTTCGGCCTCTCGGTCACGCACTGCATCTCCGCCACCTCGCGCAGCACAATCGACACCTGCCGCACGCTCTTCATCTGGCTCGTATCGCTCGGCCTCGGCTGGGAATCTTTCAAGTGGTTACAGGTGGCTGGATTCGGGCTGCTTGTCTACGGAACCTTCCTCTTCAACGACATCATCCGGCCGCCTTTGAAGGCATGCCTCCCTCGTGCTGGAGACGGGGAGATTTTACTCCCTGAGGAACCAATTGAGCATATATAACCACCACGTTTTATTGGTTGTGACAGTCTCACTCTGCTTACTTTTTTTCTATTTCTTTTGTTTTTTTTTTTCTTTGGTTTCCTTTTTCGGGCTACAATAAGGGTACCTACCCGAGAATGAATAGGGTTTCTTTGTTCGGCGTTTGGTTTCATGTTGAGGGGTTGGGTAGTTTCATGTTTCATTTGTCTTTTTTAGGGTTGTTTTGGGTTTATTACTTGGGTATGCAGTAAATGGCAGACCTGTGACTTACAGAATATGACTAGCCACCTAAATAACAAGGTAGTTACTGGAGAACTACTACTATTTACAGCCAGAGTTGGGATTTGGGATTGTTTTCGGGATTGAGTACTCGGTTTGAGGAGGTGGGTCATTCACCATCTGTGACATACTTAGTACTGTGTAATTATTGTGCCGTGTTACTCTGAGTAAATAAATAATAGATAAGTGAGAAGTGATTGTAAGTATCCTATGTCCTATGTATGTAGTATGTAGTATGTAGTACGTATATCCTAAACCAAATGATTCATGGTATACATGGAATGTACAATAGATGTATGCAGATAGATGTAGCAGATCAATAAATGAATGAGTCCAACTAGACAAGGACGTAGAGAGCGCACATCTGATGACATGTCAGTAACTGGTCTATACGCATTAAGGTGTATAAAGTAGAGGGGTGGGGGAAACCCACCAAAGAAAGCCCAAAAATCATCGACAGCCAAAAGAACAGATTCTACCATCACTCATTAGTTTCAATCCATCAATCAAGTGAAAAAAAAAGGGTTATGAGAATACATTAAGAGTAGTCTTCCCCCGAAGAAACCTCGACTTCTGCACGGCAACAATCGGCAACTGCAGCATCATCGCCCCGAAACCATACCCGCGCAGCTTCTTGGTAATGCAACCCATGACGAGCTCGTGCGCGATGGCGCTGACGAGGAACGTGATGACCATGGCGACGGGTTTGGAGAACTGGCTGAGGGAGGAGAAGTAGACGTGGCGCCGGAGGAAGTGGTGCACGGGGATGTTCCATTCGCGGGAGAATTCGAGCCTATGTTTGTTAGTATCGTATTATGTGAGGGGTTGAGAATGGTTAAGGGAGGTGACGTACCAGTCGCAGGAATTCCACCAGTCGGAGTAAAAGTGTCGGTCTGCGAAACAGGTGAGCTCGGCGAATGCGCCGAGCACGTACTCGAAGATGACCAGGAACACCAGCAGGAAAGTCACCATGAACGGGAAGAGGAGCATGCTGATTGTCTCGGCGAGGATGAGCGCCCGGTCTGCTGGGTTGTCTGTCACATGCAGCTGCACGTTGGCCTCGCTGAGCACCGGGAGGATGAACTCCTCGCTTACGAGCGTCAGGAGGAAGATGCACCCGAACACGGCCAACGTTTTGTAGGCCACCTCCGTCCAGCGGCGGTTGGGGCTGCGCGGGTACTCGAGCTCGTAGCAGAGGGTCGGGCAGAAGCTGAAGTCGACGTAGTTGGAGAGCGTCAGGTTCTGCGGGTAGGTGACGTTGCCGAGCGGGGAGGTGAGCTCTTTGGCGAGGTCTTCGCGCAGCTCGACGATGGAGTTGGAGCGCCGCTTGGACGGTTTTGGTCGGCGCTGCTCGTGGAGCGACCCGCGTCGGGGCGACGTTTCGGGGTAGTGCACGGCGGCGGCCATCGAGGCGTCGTTGGTGTTGCTGTCGAGGGAGGAGAGCCGGTGCTGCGTTTCGCTGAGGTGGCCGTTGTAGAAGCCGTAAGAGTGGATCTTCATCAGGAAGGTGAGCGTGTGGAGCGTGAAGAAGACCTGTGCGGTCCATGTCCATTGCAGCATGAACGGCCAGCTAGACTTGTCAGTTCTGTGTGCGCGTGTAGGGTTCTCGAGGACTCACTTCACCCACAGCCCCAGCCAGGCGGCTTCGAATAAACTCTGCAGGACCATCCCCCCCTTGGACCACCGCACCCACCCGCGCTTGAATAGATACTGCAGCGGCAGGCTGAAGCCACTGGTGACGACCATCGCCAGGTCGCTGAAGCCCATGGACCAGACGTTTGCCGACAGCAGCGTCCACACCCGCACGCGCAGCGGGGACCCGGTATCCTTGATATTCCGCAGCATGGTGGTAACGACCATGATGAACAGGCTGATCCAGAACAGAGTAAAGAAGCCGCGAAAATTATGATAGTCGCTGCGCGGGTCAAAATGCGAGACACGGGGGACGTAGTCGATGCTGTAGAACATGCGGTTGCGGGCGCGCGCTTGCTTGCGGGCGGTTGAGAGCGAATGCGCCGATGGAGGAGCATCTTCTGCCAGGGGAGTCGAGTAGCCACTGCGTCGTTCATATTAGCCGAAACCTTTGCTATCAGGTCTATCTACTCATTTGGTACGTACCTGGAATCCGACGTGGTGCGCTCTAGTGGAGCGTCACTGAGACTGTCTGGCTTCTTCTGGCCCGGGACAGGGCGAGGCCGTACCAGACCATTGCCTTGAGAAACAGCGGTCGACATGCTGATGAGTAGAGGAGACACTCGTCGTTACTCTCACATCGGTTCCAAAAAAGACAAATATATAAGATGGAGCCTTCCAATAAGGCTAGACTGTCGAAAGGGGAACCAAAATAAGCAAAGCAGAACAATCCAAGATATTAGTACGGTGGTGTACAGGGCTATGCTGAGCAGGCAAACACATTCATCGAATCAAGGAATCATGAATAAAGTACAAGCGATGCAGGGGGGCGGGGAGAGTCAAGAAGGCAGTCCAATTGAGGTGATCGAGGATGGATCTGCAGCTGCAGAGAACAACTTCAGGGATGACAACCTCACGTCATTGTAATCAATTTAATACGATGCATTCGTGTATAAAGTGGATAAAGTGGATAAATACGGACCCAGGCGGTCTGGTTCTTCGGGCAGAAAGGTCCGGGCGGTGTCTTTTAGAACACCTCTTCTTTCAGGCACGGATATCACGAGACAAGCCACGCTAAACCCGAACGAGAGGACACATCGCAAGCCTGAGGCCGGCCGGGCGGCGGCTCAAACGTTGCTCTATTATTATCGACGACATTCATCTCCCTGATTTCATTCCATCTTCCTCCACCTCTCCTCCCCTCACCACCTCTCTCCTTCCACTTCCCCATTCATATTCTTTCCTTTTGGGAATTGCGCGGACTGGTTCTTCGCATTCCTCCTTCGTTTCCCCCTCCCCCTTTCGATATTGTTGGATCCCCCTCCCCCTCCTTAACCCCCCTAACGGGGTCTGCGCGACCGCCGCCATGACGTCCCGTGAGTGTCCTCCTCCACAGATACATATAGGACTGTCGTGCTTTGTCTTCGTTTCTGCAGCTTAGGTCTAACGAACTCCTCATCAGTCAAACAATTCATCCGGAACGTTCGTTCGGCCAAGACCATCGCCGATGAGCGGGCCGTCATTCAGAAAGAGAGTGCCGCTATTCGGGCCTCCTTCAGGGAGGAAAGCCATGACTCCGGCATCCGGTCAGCATTGATTCCGCCCTTTCCCTCTGATGTCCTTCGAATCCGTCTCATATCACGAACAGGAGAAACAACGTGGCCAAACTACTCTACCTCTTCACCCTGGGCGAGCGCACGCATTTCGGCCAGATCGAGTGTCTGAAGCTGCTCGCCTCCCACCGCTTCGCCGACAAGCGTCTGGGCTATCTGGGCACCATGCTGCTGCTGGATGAGAACCAGGAAGTTCTGACCTTGGTCACGAATTCACTCAAGAAGTGGGTACCCCGCCGGACAACAGCCCCAGAGTGTCCCCGCTAACCGATCCAGCGATCTCAACCATTCCAACCAATACATCGTCGGCCTCGCCCTCTGCGCCCTCGGAAACATTGCCTCGATCGAAATGTCCAGAGATCTGTTCCCCGAGATCGAGAACCTCCTGTCGACCGCCAACCCATATATTCGGAGAAAGGCCGCCCTATGCGCCATGCGTATATGTCGCAAGGTCCCCGACTTGCAGGAGCATTTCTTCGAGAAAGTCAAGACCCTCCTCTCGGACCGGAACCACGGTGTCCTGCTGTGTGGCCTGACCTTGGCGATTGACATGTGTGAGGCAGAGGAGATGGAGGAAGGCCAGGAGGGCGTGATTGAGATGCTTCGGCCCCTGGCCGGCGGGCTGGTGCGTGCGCTGAAGGGATTGACTACGTCCGGGTATGCCCCGGAGCACGACGTCTCCGGCATCACGGATCCCTTCCTGCAGGTCAAGATTCTGCGCCTGCTCCGGGTTCTGGGACGAGGCGACCCCGCGACCAGCGAATTGATCAACGACATCCTGGCCCAGGTCGCGACCAACACCGATTCGTCCAAGAACGTGGGTAATGCCATTCTCTACGAGGCCGTTCTCACCATCTTGGACATCGAAGCCGATTCGGGTCTGCGGGTCTTGGGTGTCAACATCCTGGGCAAGTTCCTCACCAACAAGGACAACAACATCCGCTACGTCGCCCTCAACACGCTGAACAAGGTTGTGGCCATCGAACCCAACGCCGTGCAGCGACACCGCAACACCATCCTGGAATGTCTCCGCGACCCTGACATCAGCATCCGCCGGCGTGCGCTGGACCTGAGCTTCATGCTGATCAACGAAGGCAACGTGCGGGTGCTGGTGCGCGAGCTCCTCGCCTTCCTGGAGGTTGCCGACAGCGAGTTCAAACCAACCATGACCACCCAAATCGGCATCGCCGCCGACCGGTACGCGCCCAACAAGCGCTGGCACGTCGACACGATCCTGCGCGTGCTCAAGCTGGCCGGCGCCTACGTCGAGGAGCAGATCCTGTCCTCGTTTGTACGCCTGATCGCGACCACCCCGGAACTGCAAACCTACTCCGCCCAGAAGCTGTACGTGTCGCTGAAGGAGGACATCTCTCAGGAGGGCCTGACGCTGGCGGGCACGTGGGTCATCGGCGAGTTCGGCGACAACCTCCTCCAGGGCGGACAGTACGAGGAAGAGGAGCTGGTCAAGGATGTCCGCGAGAGCGACCTCGTCGATCTGTTCAATAACATTCTCAACAGCACCTACGCCTCGCAGACGGTGGTCGAGTACATCATCACCGCGTCGATGAAGCTGACGGTGCGGATGAACGACCCGGCCCAGGTCGAGCGTCTCCGCCTCTTCCTCAACAGCCGCACGGCCGATCTCAGCGTCGAGATCCAGCAGCGCGCTGTAGAATACACCAACCTCTTCGGCTACGACCAGATCCGCCGCGGCGTCCTGGAACGGATGCCGGCGCCCGAGATCCGCGAGGAACAGCGGGTTCTGGGCGCGCCGACGAAGAAGCGCCCCTCCAAGGGTCTCAAGACCAAGAAGCCCGCGAAGCCATCCGAGCAGGACATCCTCCTCGACCTCATGGGCGGGTCCGACGAGCCAACGACCAGCCCCAGCGGCGCCGGGTCCCAGAACACGGCCGATCTGCTAGCCGACATCCTCGGCGGCGACTCAGGCACGTCCTCGCCCACCCCGCAGTCCCAGCCATCAGGCAAGAGCGCCATCATGGACCTCTTCGGCACGAACGGGGGCTCGCAGTCGCCGCAGCCGCCGTCCACCGACCTCCTGGCGGGCCTCGGGGGCGCGACGTCGACGTCGCCGGCCCCGGCTGCGGCGCACGCGGTCTTCGACAAGAACGGACTGTCCCTCTCGCTGCAGGTCCAGCGGAGCAACAGCGGCAACGCACAGATCACCGCGCGGTTCCGCAACGGGTCGGATTTCAGCCAGTTTTCGAGCGTGGGGTTGCAGGCGGCTGTGCCGAAGAGTCAGCGTCTGCAGCTTAGCGCGATTAACAAGGCTGAGTTGGAAGCTGGGGAGGAGGGAGTGCAGATGTTGAAGGTGTCTTCTTTGTCAGGGGTGAGTACCTTCCAACCTTATACCTTCCAACCCATGAACAGTAACAAACTAACAACCACGATAACAGTCCCTTCCACCTAAACTCCGCCTCCGTCTACGCGTGACATACGCACAGGACGGATCCGCCGCCGTGACGGACCAAGTCGACTGGTCTGAGCCGTGAAGGGCAGACATACAGTGGGGCGATAGGGGGCGTGTCAGATGGGCAATACAATACAATACAATGGTAAGGGTAGGATAGGATATGGTGGTAGATACACGTACATTTAATCGCATCAATATATTCATGGTTATACTGGGTTTGGATTTCGTATTGGTTATGTCTATCTGTATGTTGATGGTTACTATGATCTGTTTACAGTGTTTATGATACCATACTGGGGTAAGGTGTAACTCTATATCTATGAAGCTGAAAGAAGAGAAAGAGATGTAAGGAAATAGAGAATAGAAGACCAATACTATCATCAAGGTCTTTACCATCATAACAATGATAACCATGGTTATAATAAATAGAAACAGATAGAAGACAGAAGATAGAAGACAGAAGACAGACAATCCAGAATCGATCAAGATAATAAGATCAAAGACCAATCAATGAATGAACGATCAACCACCTCCTAGACAATGTCATATGCTAACAACAACGCAATCAACAGCCATATCACCTCTTTTCTTTACCACTTGAGAACAATATCATTCATTCAATCAATCAAGATAAAGGATTGATCCATTCAGAGTGAATGAAATGATTCAATCAAAATGCAATTCCATCATACCTGGTAAGAGATATAAACCCATTCCAATCATGCTGTGTTAAATGACAATAACGATAAAAATATACATATGATAAAACTCCAAGGGGCGACCCTCATCTTCTCTGATAGTAGCAGTAGTAAACAATAGAAGCAAAAAGACAAGGATGGATAAAGTAAAGAAATATAGATAAATAAATGCTGTCATTGTTATAGTCAGGTATACTCATGCTCATGCTCATACTCATACTCATTCATAGTCATAATCATAATAGTAATGATGATAATAATAGTAAAAAAGAAACCAAATCAATCAATCAGTCAGTCAAATCTCAGTGTGCCTCCATCTGCAACCATAAGTCAAATGACGAAATCAAAAGAAAAAAAACACAAGAGAAAATGAAGGTCAATAATATAGTAGGTAGAAAATCAAGCATATGTAGACTGTCGTCTGGACCCCATCGCCGGATGATGTCGATAATCCTCGTGATACTGACGAGGCCCGTCCCGCTTGCTATACACCACATGCGGCGCGTGCGCCGAATCCGGGCTGATCTCCCGCACGTACTTGGGGATCTCATTATATAATGGTTTGGAGGAGGAGGAGGATGGCGGAGGCGGCACCGGTGCCGACTTCTCCGCCGGGTAGATGTAGCTGTTGCTGCGGATGGGTTTGGCGGTGCGTCCTCCGCTGCGGGAGGATGATGGAGGAGGAGGAGGTTGGGAGTCGACTAGATCCGGCTCGTCGACGATCTTGTACCGGGTGGGTTTTGGCGGGCTGCCGCTGCTTTCGCCGGGTCCCATGTCGGGCGTGCCGGGGCTGGAGTAGCCCGAGTCGTAGCGCTCCATGCGGAATTTGGCGGCCGGCCGGCCGGCCGGCGGGTGGTCGTAGACCATGTGGGTGAGGTCGGGGGCGCGGGCGCTGCTCTCGCGTTTGACGCGGTGGTGGCTGGAACTGCTGGTGGAGGGCATGGTGGAGCTCATGGTGGCGGCGCGGGTGGGCGGGGGTCGCGCTGGGGCCGGGGCGGAGGCGGCGGTGGGCATGGGTGGGACGGTCTCGTAGGAGCGCGCGGCGCGGGACTCGAGGTGTTCGTGGGAGCCGTGGCGCGAACGGGAAGAGCCCTGGTGCCGGGCGGACTCGCGGCTGGGCCGCTTGGAGGTGGGTTCCCGCGTGCGACGGGCGGACGAGGAGTCCGGGTCGGGGATGGACTCGTCGTGGCGGCCGTGGGGCGGGGAGCGCGACGAGCGGTGGTGACGGTGACGGCGGGTGGGGGGCTCGACCTCGATGGACTTGGTGCGGTGGATGTAGCTCTTGGCGGTGTTGTGCAGCATGTCGTGCTTGGACTCGGCGCGAGCCTCCGAGTCGCCTTCGTCGTCGTTGTCCTCAACGTCGACGTCGTCCCGGGAGTAGCGGGGTTCCGAGCGACGCGACGTCCGGGGCTTGGACTTGGACTTGTGGCGGTCGGAGGGGCGGCGGAGACGGACGTAGACAGAGACGTTGCTGTCGTCGGAGTCGCCGCCGCCGTCGGATTCAACGTAGGGGGCGGAACGCTCGTGGGACTTGGCAAAGGCCTCGCGGCGGCGCTCCTTGGTGCGGTGTTTGTCGCGGTTTTCGTAGTGGGCGCGGGTGGTGTCGCGGGCGGTGGTCTCCCGGGGGGCGCGGGCGGCGGCGGCGGCGGCGGCGGCGGCGGGTTTGGACCGACGTCGCTCCTCGAAGGGCGGACGGGTGGCTCGGTGGCGGCGGTTGTACTCGTCGTGTTTGCGGCTGGTGGACTGGGGTTCCTCGGTGAAGCGCACCTCGTCCTCGAAGAAGAAGGACTCGCCGGGAGTGCGCTCCTCGTAGATGTGACCGTTGCGGAACTCGCGAGAGGTGGCGCTGCCGCCTCGCGCGGCGGCCGCGGCACTGCCCCCGCGGGCGAGCATCTCGCGACGCAACTCAGTCAGCCGGACCTTCTGGTCATACTTGAGGCGACGGGCATCGTCGGAGAGCAGCTCGTAGGCCTGTTGGACTTTCTGGAACTCATCCTGGGCCTTGGCACGGAGGGACTGGTCCTGTATCTTATCGGGATGACATTTGAGGACGAGTTTGCGGTGGGCGGATTTGATGTCGGGTAAGGTGGCCTCTTTGGAGACGCCTAAGATGGCATATGGATCGATATCGGGATCGGACATGGTAGATCGTGGTTATGGAGGGAAGTGGGGCGATCGGAGGGGGGGACGGGGGAGAGATGAATTTGTAGGAGGAAGAATCAGGGGCAAAAATGGGGGAATAAAAGGGGGAGGCGAAAGAGGCAAAAGGAGAGAAAGGTGAGGGTGACGTGGAGACCGCAGGGAGCAGTCGTTGAGGGTGGCTCAATGCATGAAGAATGGCACAATCATAAGAAAGGCTCAATGTCAGAATGGCTCAATACATAAGAATGAGCGAGAAAGAAAGAACAATGATTTCTCAGCACGGGATGGACGGCAAGATGGGCGGATGGGGTGTTGTTCCTGGGGGCGAAAGACGACGAAGAGAGCGAATGGTGGTCGAAAGGAGAGGGGAAAAAGAATGCAGCCAGGCGGCGAAAAGGGACTGCGCCACGATTCCAAGTAGCAACACCAAGAAGAACAGCAGAGATGAAGCGTGGAGGGATCAATGACCGATCTGATGTATGGACTATGAGACCAGATACTAGTCAGGTATGGATGGAGCGAGTTGTATGGCCAAATGCCCAATGCAGCTGGGAGACAACAGATATAAATGATGAAGATGAAGCAGCGGTGTGAACCGATCCAGACTGAAATTATCTAATCCAGCATGTACAGTGTAGAACCTAGAATGGAACCCATAATCTAGAATATATAATATCCTCGAATCTCCAAATCAACCCAGCCAAAGTTGAACCGCCTGGCCCGCTCATATCACCTCATCCTTCCGACGGATCCCAGCCTGTGGATGGGGAGAACAGGAGCAAGTGACGATGTTCACCTGGGAGGGGGGCATGACGGTCAACTCCACTCGACATCCTGACGAATCAAGCGGTTGAAGCGGTTGATTTGATCTTGACTGGAGAGAGCGATGAGGAAAAACCCCGCAGAGACACGATCACCCTTTTGATAGGTCTCTTGATCCTAGAGGGATCCCCTCCATTCTCTGCTACATTATGATTCTATCCCTATACGATTACCACTATGATCTCTACGGAGTACTATACTATTCTATATAGATATACTAAACCATATACAATAAACCATGTACAGATAGAACCATGGATCTCTCCGGTTCGTCCCGCACACCCAAACCCCTCCATGGTTGTTCCCCCCGCGGCGCTTAAGATCATCACATCACATCCCTCCCACCTTCTGATCATGGTGATAACATGTCCTGTAATCTAGATTAGACAAGAAGGGAGCCTCGCAAGTAGCCAGTCAATCAGTTAGTCGATCTTCCCACCCCAGACAGTCATCTGCTCCAGACCCCTCTTCGCCTTGGACATGGATGGCCAGGGCTGACTGGCTGACCGAGTGTCCACTAGTCCTGCAGCGATGCTTCACTTTTCTTTTCCCACGCGGCCAATCTCATCATGCGGTTTGGCGCGGGGGTTGACTTGGAGGGATCAGCAACTGGATGGACCTGTTTGTTTGAGGATACTTCTTTTGATTGATTGATTTGATTATTTTCTATCTGAGATTAGTTGATTGATCTATCTATCACCTCTGTAATATATTATCTATCAGATATGTTCTCTGATCGTATGGTGGCAAGAACGATCAAATGGTGATTTGTATCAGCCCGATGGGAGTGGGTCTTTGCCCCTCGTGGAGCCACCTTGGTCATTCCGGTCATCAGTATTAAATTAGTATATTATATTATATTATATTATTGTACTAACGAGGTTCCTGCTTTTCTCGTATTGACGAGGATCCCACCTCCAAAGTCACCTATTGGTCCCCAGTCTTCTAGAATGATGCTTTCCTACACTTCTAGTATTTGCCAGAACTTATCCGTACCAAAGGTACCAGTAGTTGAACTCTAGTTACCTCTGAACCTTACCTGGGACACCCTCTCCCATTTTTTCCTGCATGATTTGCTACATCTCAATATCAATCTTGATAGGAGCTCGCAGTGAAGCAAGGTATCATCCCTGACCTCCAGTCTTCATCTTCAAGCTCTCAACCTGAGCCCGGATCACCCCACACAGGCAACTCCACATCCACCACAATAGGCGCATTGAATCGCTTGCCTCCCCGATGCGGGTAGCTAGTGGCCACGATTGCGGCATTGACGATGCACGTTTCCTGTCGCTTCAACGCTTCTGCCTCCGCTTCCTCTTCCTGCCTTGAATATTCATCCAGACGACCTCCAATAACCATACTCTGATCAAAACGACCACGCCACACCCCAGAAGCACCCCCCTCGTTGTCAAGGCGACGACCCCCCCTCCTTCCCGTCAAATCAATCAAGCTCATCTTCTTACTCCCCACTGGCGGGAGCAGCTGTTTCTCTCTCCCCCCCTCCCCAGGTACAACCCCATCCAAACTACCACGACGACTATCCTGCAAGGAACCCCCCCACCGCACCCTCTCACACCCCCGCGCCTCATGAACATGCCCACAGACCGCCAACAACGGCCTCACCCGCTGCAGTGCCTCCCGTAGACCCTTGCATCCGACTGATGTAGATGTAGACGCAGACGTGGACTCACCTCCAACAAGAGGCCGGCTGTCGCAGTGCGAGTGAGGCGGGGTGTGCGTGACCACCACGTCGGTGTCCAATGGGATGTTGTTCCATAGGGCTGTAGCTGCAGTAGGAGTTGATGAGTCGTATCCGAAAGCCCAGGGCCCGGATAATTGGGACTGGTGAGTTGGAGAGTAAGGGGAGCCGAAGACGGTGAAGGTGGTGTTGGGGCCGTTGGGCCGGGTTAGGCGGATGAGGGCGGATTCGTGCTGTAGGAAGAGGATTGGGGTGGCTTTGAGGGTGTTGAGGCTTTCGTGGTGTGTTGTATTTCTTTGTTGTTGTTGTTGTTGTGGCTCGTTGGGGGCACTGAGGCTTGGGTCAAGGCTAATGTCGTGGTTTCCTGGCCAGGCTTAGTTGTTGTATACCTATACAATCCTGTTTTTCTTTTCTTTTCTTTTTTTATATTTATTTTCAAATATAATGATTGATGTGATTGATACCATATCAATAAAACAAAAATGTATCAATAAAGGATTAGATAGACAAACCACAAATCACAATCTTAATCTCATAATCCGCTCTCGATATCCAATCCACCGTCTTCTGCAACTCCGCCAAACTCCCCCGGTTGGTCAAATCGCCCGCATGGATGAGCACATCCCCTGGGGGTAGTTTGAACCCCGCCTCGGAGGGGTTGTAGGCGTGTGTGTCCGAGACGCAGACGAAGCGAGTTTTGCGATGCATGTATTTTTTTCTTTTCTTGTTCTTTTTATTTCTTTCCCGTTTTTTTTTATTTTTTATTTTTTTTTTCTTTTGTCTTTTTTGGTTGTTCTTAGAGTTGTCTTTTTCGTCTTCCAGTCAAAGGGAAATAGTGTGGCCTTGTACAGTGTACGGCGTGGCTGGGTTATGGTGAAATTTACCTACTGTGTCACTGCCACTGCACTCATGTAAGGGTACCAATCCTAAGGGAGTGGCCCGGGTGAGTGCTGACTATGCCCAGGCTGCAGTGGTCAGATATCAACGGTCGGACTCTGCACTGCGCCCACGGATATAAATAAAGGTATAGTTCTTTGATTGAAAGTGTAGCAATTTCCTTGTTGGGTAAATCCAGGTCACAGCAATACTCTCTTGGAGCTATGACGACTTGAGTAATGATGGGTCATTATGGGTCTGTGGTCTGTGGCCCCGTGAGATCTTAGTGTCTGTGGATTGAACATCGCATTTCCTAACTCTACTGGGTCATTGTTTAGCGATGAGGTTACTTCTAGAAGGTATCGATATTTTTAATACATACTTCTATACTTCTACTCCTACACTTCTTTTCCATAAATCATACTAAGCATCGTATCTCGATCCACGTGATCGATGAATAAGCAACCCCTAGAACATCCATGATTTGACCTCTTTTCCCTCATGCTTCCATCGCACAGACTGTCAGATTGTCAGACTGTCAGTCAGACAGGCTGGATATTCGGTAAATACTTTCCTCTTCCAAATTCCTCAACAGGAATCATTTCGTCATCGCTACTCCAGTCAGGGAAAGACGCACCTTCAACTCCAGTCCCCGTCAAGTAATGATGTCGATCGGCGGGTCCTCTTCTGCCAATCATCGCCCTGTCCATCCAGCTATCGGCCTGGGATCTTCGGGTCGGCCGGATCAAGGCAGGTCCATAGTCCTTTACGAGGTGTAGGACTACTACGACCAAGAACGGGAAAGACGACATAATAATTCCCCGACTGGCGCTCGAGGAACCATCTCTCGCAGTCATGGTTTGACACTGTGTGACCCGACGCTTGTCACTCCTCACTCCATTGCTACTCCATCCTTCCCTGGCCTCGTGCGATTTGCTTCCCCGGATCACACCCGTCCCCACCTCGTGGTCTTCTCATCGTGTTGACCGTCTCACCATGTCTCGGTGGAAACGCAGGACGAAGAGTCGCGCCGACAAGGATCGCAAAACCTCAGGCGTCCTGGCCAGTGGCTCCTCGTCCGACGCTCGGTCGACGGCCCTGGCCTCTCTTCATGCCGTCTCGACCTCTCCGGAGAGGTCGCGCATAGAAGTGCCGTCGGATCCCGTCGAGGCGCGCAGGCTCGCCAGGCGTTACGCCGAGTTCGGTCCCCTGGGCGATGTGGCGCATCTCTACACCAGCGAGCACCCTGGAGGAGAGATCCCGGACCCCGTCATCGACGACCCGCCGTACTTCTTCGTGTTGACCACCTACCTGAACTTTCTGGTCCTCATCTTCTTCGGCCACTTCCACGATTTCTTCGCCAAGTGGTTCTGCGCCGACACCTACCGGCACCTGCGCCCCCAGAATGGGTATGCCTCGCTGTACAACGACTTCGAGAGCTTCTACACCCGCCGGCTCAAGCAGCGCATTGACGACTGCTTCGAGCGGCCCACCACGGGTGTTCCCGGACGGTACATCACGTTGCTCGACCGCGTCTCCGACGATAACGTGCTGTTCCAGTTCACTGGCACTACCACCGACACCCTCAATCTGAGCTCCTACAATTACCTAGGGTTCGCCCAGTCCGAGGGCCCGTGCGCCGACAATGCGGAGGCTACCATCCGGCGCGATGGCATCAGCATGGGAGGCAGCTGCAGCGACGCTGGGAGCTCCAGGCTCCAAGGCGACGTGGAAGACCAGATCGCCCGGTTCGTTGGCAAGGAAGCGGCCGTGGTATTTTCCATGGGCTTCGTCGTCAACGCCACTATCTTCCCCGCCCTCGTGGACAAGGGCTGTCTGATCCTGTCGGATGAGCTCAACCACGCCTCCATCCGCTTCGGCTCCCGGCTCTCAGGCGCCGCTATCCAGGTCTTTGCCCACAACAACATGGAAGATCTGGAGCAGCGGCTGCGCGAGGCCATCGCCCAGGGTCAGCCCCGCAGCCATCGCCCGTGGCGGAAGATCCTCCTCACGGTCGAGGGCCTGTTCTCCATGGAGGGCACCATGTGCAACCTCCCGCGCATCCTCGCCCTCAAGAAGCGGTACAAGTTCCACCTGTTCGTCGACGAGGCCCACTCCATCGGCGCGGTCGGCCCCCGCGGCCGCGGCGTCTGCGACTACTTCCAAGTGGACCCGGCCGGCGTCGACATCCTTATGGGCACCTTCACCAAGTCCTTCGGCGCCAACGGCGGCTACATCGCCGCCAGCCGGGCCATCATCGACCAGCTGCGCTGCACCAACGCCGGGCTGGTCTTTGGCGAAGCCCCGTCGCCGCCGATCCTGGCGCAGATATCCTCGGCGCTGCAGCTCATCGCCGACACGGACCCGCGACATCCCGGTCAGGGCCGCGAGCGGGTGCAGCGGCTGGCCTTCAACTCGCGGTACCTGCGGCTGGGCCTGAAGCGCCTGGGGTTCATCGTCTATGGGCACGACGACTCGCCCATCGTCCCGCTGATGTTATACAACCCGGGCAAGATGTCCGCCTTCTCGCACGAGATGCTCCGGCGCAAGATCTCCGTCGTCGTCGTGACCTACCCGGCCACCCCGATGGAGCTCTCCCGCGCACGCCTGTGCGTATCCGCCGCCCACACCAAGGACGACCTCGACCGTGTCCTGCGCGCGTGCGACGAGATCGGCACTGCCTTAAATCTGAAGTTCTCCTCGGGCGTCGCGGGCGGGCTGCGCGTGCCTCCGCCAAAGGACTACTCGTGGGTGGCCAAGGGGAGGAAAGCCACGGCCGTGGCTCTGCCGATCGAACCGCCGCGGTGGACGGTGGACGACGTGATCCTGCACACCACGCGGGATGCCAAATTAGCGTTGTATTAGGGATTTACCCGGTTACGTTTGATGATTGTTTCTTCTTTGTTTTGTCCAAGGGACATACACATATAGCGATAGCGTTTTATTAATCATAATCTTAATGTTAATCTATTCATTTTATCAATAAAATCAAGCCAGCTTAGTATATCCCTGCAATACGTCTCTACCAAGTAGAATACTACTACCTATGTGCGGAGTACCTCCGTCGCAGATGAAAGGATAGATAACGATAAGATAAGGATGTTCCACGTGACATAGGGCTGAGACCCTCCCCCGTGACCAGCCGCTCATAAAAAAACGGCTGAGTCATCCACCGGCCGCACACAAAGGGCTAAGCGACCCGGGGACCACTCAACCCACGGCCACTCACCGTAGGGTTTTGTTGCGAGAGATTCGAATTGAAACCTTGCCCACAACGACAACAACCCGCCGACAACCCCCTCCCCCCAACCTCCAACCTTCAAGGGAGTATCCTAGAGCCGCGCTCTTCCTTTCGCTGGATATCCTTTTTGAAAACGGTGATTGAAGAGCAGGATGTCCGCTACCGAGCCTGTGGTGCGTTGCCAACAATTTCCCATACAATCCATCTTGAAATTGCATTCCGATGTCTGGACATGTTTCCGGGTGTGCCTTATATTATACCTTCGCCGATGAGAGATATATATGTCTATCGATTTCCGCCTATATATACGCACACGGATACACAGACAGAAAGATCGGAATATACACGCAATTTGAACGCATACGAATATTTGGTTGGATATTGGCTGACGGGTTTCTTTTAGGTCGTCATTGACGGCAAGGGACACCTTCTTGGTCGCCTGGCCAGCACTGTCGCTAAGCAGCTGCTGAACGGCCAGAAGATCGTCGTCGTGAGATGTGAGGCCCTCAACATCTCGGGCGAGTTCTTCCGCGCCAAGCGTACGTTTTACCCTCCCGCTCGAACCTGTTTTGGCTTCTGTTGCATATGGATTGGATCCGTCGATTGGACGGGGCGGTATCGCGATTTGGATTGGGTGCATGTGGATTGAGAGGAGGATTGCGACATCAGATGTATCGGATTGCGGTGAAACTAACTAAGCTACAGTGAAGTACCACGCCTACCTCCGCAAGATGACTCGTTTCAACCCCACTCGCGGTGGTGAGTCCTACCGACAGAAAACCCTCCAGTGAACGCCAACTAAATCGTACAGGTCCCTTCCACTTCCGTGCCCCCTCCCGCATCCTCTACAAGGCTGTCCGCGGCATGATCCCCCACAAGACCGCCCGTGGCGCCGCCGCCATGGAGCGCCTGAAGGTCTTCGAGGGTGTTCCCCCCCCGTATGACAAGAAGAAGCGCGTCGTCGTTCCCCAGGCCCTCCGTGTCCTCCGCCTGCGCCCCGGCCGCAAGTACTGCACCGTCGGTCGTCTGTCCCACGAGGTCGGCTGGAAGTACCAGGATGTTGTCGCCAGGTGTGTATTATCGATCTGTGTTGTGAGGAACGGAACTAATAGTTGTGCAGACTCGAGGAGCGGAGAAAGGTTAAGAGCAGTGCATACTACGAGCGCAAGAAGGCCGCTCGTCGCCAACTCGTCCACGCCCAGAAGTCGGCGGGTGTTAACGAGCAGACTAAGAGCCAGCTCGCTCAGTATGGATACTAGATACCTGGTTGCGCGGCTGGTTGCTTGTGTCTGCTGTGACGTGGGTTTTTAAAGGGTTTGGGAATCGAACGGTTACTTTTTTTTTTCTTTGCCTTTCCTCTCTCTCTTTCGCAGGGGAAATGGAAAGGGAAAGAAAGAAAGGAAGAAGGAAAGAAGAAGAAAAAAAAAATTATAAAAAAGTTTGAACGGGAAACAAACCGGAATAATGAATCGACCTTCATCTTATATTATTATCTTTCCTCGACCTTTCTTATTTTGCTTTCATACGCTACGGTATCTTCGTCGCAGGGTGTGATGCATGGATGGCTGGGGAGGTATTGATTTCATGACTTTCAACTTTTTTTTTTCTCCCGCTGGGAAAAGATAAGAAGGGCATTGGAATCATACAACATGAGAATGGCAGGCAGGTTATTATCGTTGTTCAAGGTAGTTCTGATCCCTGTTGTCACTTTTTTTCTGATTTTGCTTTCACTTCTTTCTTTCGTTCTCGTTCTCGAGTACTGTTCTGTTCTCTCACCCTTTGATTTCTCCGCGGTTGTGGCGGGTTTTCAATCCAAGCAATTATTTCCTATTTTTCTCTCTTCATCCACGGAAAGAAAGTCAAGTCAAGGATATGACATCAACTACGGAAGGGCAGAACAAAAGAATACAACAATGACAACAATTACGAGCAAATACGGATCCTATGTCTGATGTCCATTCCCTTATGCGCGCACACACTCTCGGAGAGGGAGTGTGTGTTGTGACTGGCTATTGCCATTACTATCCATATCACAACCTACTGAGACCGGCCCGATCGAATAAACGAATGTATATGAATATTGAGCCTATGCGACTACCTATATCCGTCTCCATATATCGGCTTACCTGGGTACCTACCTGGCTATCGTCTATCCGACGATGTAGATGGTAGACAGTAAAGCCATCTTAAGTAGGAGGTAAGGCAGGCAGTAGTCAGTCATGGAGTAGATATTACCCCAGTCCCAGGCCCAAGACCCATGCACCGATGCGTAAACCACATATCAATCTCTATACACATAATTATAATGTGGAGTAGTTAATGCTCACAATGGACCCGAGGTAATAACCCCATATCTCAACTACGTAGATTGCAATAGTAGTCGGACGACCGGGCGCTAAGATAGATTGGTCTAGGTAACTAGTAGTCGATGATGAGCGGCTAGTTAGGCTAGTTGTGCTCCGTACCTTGGCTGGGGATTGGTTTCCCCACAAACTTCACCTTTCACTATATAGTAGGTTGGAAGGTCGTGGGGATAGCTGAGTTGGGTTTGGATCATTGCCCAGTGGTGTATTTCTAATACTGGGTAGGGTTTGGCCTGTCTAGTAAGGTATAAAGTACCTAACCCGGGGCTGAGTCTCAAGTGGGTGAGAGTGGACCTGGTTACTTTCTTGGGGTAGGACCTCAGTGGGTGGTTTTGTGTCCGGTGGCGAGGTGTTGGGGTATCTATCTATGTATGTGGGTGTTGGTTATGGGGTAAGTATCCGTAAGTAGGTAGGTAGGAATGTGGTTATTTGGTCAAGCATGTTAGGATTGATTATGTTGTGTTTGGACACGTATGGTCTGTTGTGGCGGTGATGCTGGATGGACCGTGGATGTATTAGTAACAGTACCTGAATCCCCCAGGTACCAGAGGTGTTAAGTAGGTAGGTAGGTGAGAATCAAGCCCAATGCTATTTCTCAAGTCAGTATAAGTCTACTCCAGTCAAAATATAATGATTACTTTCCCAGTGAGTATTGAGGGTGGAAAGTGAACGGCTAGTTATCCGACCCGCCTCCGCTCGAACTCCCCGCGGACCGACAGCGTTCCCCCCATTCCCGCCTCTCTTCCACTTCCACTTCCACTTCCTTTCCCCCGCATCTTTTTCTCCAACCCCGGCGCTTCATTCTCCGGGTTCCTTTCTCCAGTCAATCATTTCTCCCCTTTCCTCTCTCTCTCCTCTCCTCTCCTCCCCTTCTCCTCTCCTTGCCCCTGTCTTCCCCTAGTACTTCCTTACTACCTACTACTGCACCTACTGTATACCCTGAGCGCTCCCATTGGCATACAGGTACTGAACCTTGCCAACACCACCACCACTATTACCACCACTACGACTACGACTACCCTAACATATCAAACTTGAATCCTCTGTTGGGTTCATAACCTATATACATCATGTCCTCCGCCAAATCGCGCCTTTCTGGCTTATTGGGCCATTTCGCCTCGTCGGAACCTCCCCGCTACGAGCACAATGTTAACTTTCACACTCTTTCGCCCACGTTTTTCTTGCCTCGGGCGGCGGCTGTAGAACCGGAGGTATATCTCGCCCACTCCCTTTCTTACAAGAGAAAAAATAAAATAAAAATGTGTGTTGGTACTAATTATCCCAGGCTGAGGCTATCTATCACGTTACCGCCAACAAGCAGGTCTTGCGCAGGTCGTATATGGAGACGGCGGACAGGGCACGCGGTCTTGCATTTTATATCAAGAAGCGCGGATATAAGCGGGTTGGTATCTTGTGTCCGAATACGCCTGCTTTCTTGGAGTCGATTTATGGAATTGCTGCCGCTGGGGCGGTCAATGTTTGTATGTTTCTCTCTCCCTTACTTTCCTTGCCTCAATTCTAATGAATACAGCCGTGAACTACCGTCTCAAAGAGGACGATATCGACTATATCTTCAACCACTCCGACGTGGATGCCATCATTGCTGACCAGGAGTATCTGCCGCTTCTCCAATCCTTCCGGAGCACAAGGCCCTCGTTCCCCGTCATCGTCGACACCGATACGGATGCCACCGAGGGCCAGCTGTCTGGCCCCTTTGACGAGGCCGTCCTGGAAGGCCTGCAGCATGATGTCGACACTGGCTCCCAAGGCTGGGTCGGCCTCGAGGCCCAGGCGGCTTCTGAAGACGATGTCATGGCCTTGGCTTACACCAGTGGCACGACTGCCCGCCCTAAGGGTGTCGAATTTACCCATCGTGGCTGCTACCTCGGCACCATGGGCAATGTGATCGAGTCGGGTCTCAATCAGCAGCAGGGCCGCTGTCGCTATCTGTGGACTCTGCCCATGTTCCATGCTATGGGTGCGTCTCTTTCCCGAAGAAAATCAAAAAGAAGGGAAAACTAACTATTCATAGGCTGGACATTCCCTTGGGCTGTCACGGCTGTCCGTGGCACTCACTACTGTCTGCGCAAGATCGACTACCCCGAGATCTGGAGACTGCTCAAGCAGGAGCAAGTCACCCATTTCAACGCCGCCCCCACGGTGAACACCCTGCTCTGCAACGCCCAGGAAGCCGAGCGCCTCTCTCACCGCGTCTATGTCACCGTGGCCGCCAGCCCGCCGTCCCCCCACCTGTTCGAACAGATGACGGGACTCAACCTGCACCCGGTGCATGTGTACGGCATGACGGAGACCTACGGCCCCATCACCAAGGGGTACCACATGGCCTCGTGGGAGAACCTGCCGCGCGACGAGCGGTACAAGCGCATGGCGCGACAGGGCCACGGCTTCGTGACAAGTCTGCCGGCCCGCGTGATCAAGACCGAGGTGCCCGAGGGGACCATCATCGACGTGAGCCGCAACGGCAAGGAGATTGGCGAGATTGTCTTCAACGGGAATATCTGCGCACGCGGCTACTACAAGGACCCCGAGGCGACGCGGAAACTCTTTGCGGGTGGTGTGCTCCACTCGGGCGATCTGGCTGTGTGGCACCCCGATGGGGCGATCCAGATTATGGACCGCGCCAAGGATATTATCATCAGTGGTTAGTCCCTTTTTCCCCTCTCTCTTACTTGATATCCTTTGTTTCGCCTTTTCTCCCCTTTCTCTCTCTATATGTATTAATTGAACAATTCCAGGCGGTGAAAACATCTCCTCAGTCGCCCTCGAATCAATGCTGGTGACCCACCCCGACATCCTGGAGGCGGCGGCGATCGCCGTCCCGGATTCGCACTGGGGCGAGCGACCCAAGGCCTACGTGACGGTGAAGCCCGGCAAGCAGCTGGAAGGGCCGGCCGTGATCGCGTGGGCGCGGACGGTCAGCGAGATCAGCAAGTTCATGATCCCGCGCGAGGTAGCCGTTGTGCCGGAACTGCCCAAGACGAGCACGGGCAAGGTGCAGAAGAATGTGCTGCGGGAGTGGACCAAGAATGGTCGTTAGGGGATAGAAAGAAAGGAAAGGGATGTACATTTGTATATAGTAGCGTTGAACATCCTGTCAATAGATCGTCGGGTTTAGATAGCGGGTGATGAGAAATGGGATATATGATTTATATATGATTGATCTATGTTAACAGTACTTAATGAGTGACGCTAATAAAAAAAGGTGCTAGACAGAGCTCAGACCAACGGCCCAATCAAGGCACGGGACCATCATCGTCACCTGTTCACTTTCGCTTCTCTTTTCTTCTGCTCTTCAGACTTGCTTTCAATCTTCTTCTTCTTCTTCTCCTTTTTCTTTCTTCTCTCCTCTAAGTTCTTTTTTTCACTAGTTCTATCTATTGATCATCGCTCTCGATCGGGCTGTCCGATTGGAAATCCTGACAAATCCGGTCCATTTGCCCCCCACTGGTTAAAGTGAGTTAACCGCCGCCTTTCCCTTCCCATCATCCAATCAGTCTCACCTCATCCATGAGTCCCATGTCTTCCTAGTAGGTATTATTATTACCTTACTATTATTATACCCTTCTCTTTTCATTCCTAGTCTACTTTCTGACTGACTCCGGGATAGTCTCGTTGGATAGATAGATACATATCTTGTCCCTTTATCTGTCTGTCCCCTCCGACTTCCCTTGTGACTTCGTGATTTCCTCCGACTTCCTCCCCCACAAAGAACCCCCAACGTCGACCGACTTTTCTCCTCCCTGTCCGGCCACTATCGACCGTCTCTCCCTCACCTCTCCATTCGTCGCTTCGTTCTTTCCCTCCCTTACCTACTCTACAACCTCGCTTCGCCTTACCGCTGCACGCTCCTCCCCTCCGACGCGCGTTCCTCATAAGCGCCCAGCCCAGCCCAGCCCAGCCCTCCCCTTCACCACCGCCCCCCCCCTCTCCTCCCCTCGCCTCCCCTCGTCTCCCCTCTCCCCGCTCCAGATCGTCCACATTTTCTGCCGCATCCCAAGGGCTGATTGATTAGCCTTGGAAGCTGCGTTCGTCCCCATCAGGTACTCGGTTGGGTTGAACCTGCAGTTCCCGACCTCCGCCCGACGCCTTCTGGACTCTCGACCAGGCTCATGGGATACCCAGTCCATGCCGGCCACTTTACCTCGTGGATGACTTCTGCTTAGACCAGAGGGAATTCCGACATCTCTGGTAATCTATTTTTCGACAGACAAACAGGTAGAAGACGAAGAAAGTTGCGTGGCGACAACCCTCAAATGGCCCGCTCACGACAGCCGGCTCGGTTTTCGAGCGAAGCTCCCTCCGAATCCTCCTCCGCCACCTCCCCCGATCGCACCGTCGACGACGATACCGACTTCTTCACAGCCCAGGCCAACGACTCACAGTCCTCCATCGGCGTCGCAAATTCCCGCGACATTCACCTTCACGATGACGTCGACATGATGGTCCCGCCGATCGCCCGCCTCCCCCCCGAGATCCTGATCGCCATCTTCGCCAAGCTCAGCGCGACGGCCGATATGCTGAGCTGTATGCTGGTCTGTCGCGGCTGGGCCGCCAACTGCGTCGGCATCCTCTGGCACCGACCGTCCTGCAACAGCTGGAAGAACATGGCGAGCATCACGGCCTCGGTGGGCAAGATGAACGGCTCCTTCTCCTACGCGGAGCTGATCCGACGGTTGAACCTCTCGGCCCTGACCGACGATGTCAGCGACGGCACCGTCGTCCCTTTTGCCCAGTGCAACCGCATCGAGCGTCTGACCTTGACCAACTGCTCCAAGCTCACGGACAAGGGCGTCTCGGAGCTGGTTGAGGGCAATCGACACCTGCAGGCTCTCGACGTCTCCGATCTCCGGTCCCTCACGGATCACACCCTTTTCACGGTGGCAAAGAACTGCCCGCGGCTCCAGGGGTTGAACATCACCGGGTGTGTCAACGCCACGGATGATTCGCTAGTGACCGTGTCGGAGAACTGTCGACAGATCAAACGCGTAAGTGAATCCTCCTCTCCCCTAGCTGAGTGGCGAGTCTAATATGGAGCACAGTTGAAATTGAACGGCCTGACGCAAGTAACGAACCGGGCGATCATGTCCTTCGCGCAACATTGTCCGGCCATCCTCGAGATCGATCTCCACGACTGTAAACTAGTCAAAAACCCGTCGGTCACGGCGCTCATGGCGACGCTGCAGAATCTCCGCGAGCTGCGGCTGGCCCACTGCACTGAGATCGACGACACGGCCTTCCTCGATCTCCCCAAGCACCTCTCGATGGACAGCCTTCGGATACTCGATCTGACGGCGTGTGAGAACATCCGCGATGACGCCGTTGAGCGGATTGTCCAGGCGGCACCCCGCTTACGGAACCTGGTGCTGGCCAAGTGTCGCCTCATCACCGACCGGGCGGTCTGGGCGATCTGCAAGCTGGGCAAGAACCTACACTACGTTCATCTGGGGCACTGCTCCAACATCACCGACACGGCGGTCATGCAGCTCGTCAAGTCGTGTAATCGGATCCGGTACATCGATCTGGCCTGCTGCAACAGTCTGACGGACCGGAGTGTCCAGCAGCTGGCGACGCTACCCAAGTTACGGCGGATCGGGCTGGTCAAATGCCAGCTCATCACCGATCAGAGTATATTGGCGTTGGCGCAGCCCAAGGTCTCCCATCCGACGGGTGTCAGCAGTCTGGAACGGGTGCATCTCAGTTATTGTGTGCATCTGACGATGCCGGTAGGTCCCATCCCCCCCAGTCGGTGTCTTGACACCCAAAGGATTGTACCCGCTAACTTATCTAGGGCATCCATGCCTTGCTCAACCATTGTCCCCGTTTGACCCATCTGAGTCTCACGGGCGTGGGGGCCTTCCTTCGGCCCGAGCTCACGGTCTTCTGCCGCGAGGCACCCCCCGAGTTTACGCACCAGCAGCGGGAGGTATTCTGCGTCTTCAGCGGCGACGGGGTCAATCGACTGCGCGATTTCCTCAACGGGGTGATGGAGCCGCCCCGCGACCTGACCGAAGCGACTATGTACGACGACGACGAAGAGTTGGATGAGGAGGAGGGCCAGGTGACGGGCCTGATGCATGCGACGGCGATTAACGATGATGACTATATTGACGTCGGACATACCCATGGTTGATAGTTGATACCCCCTCCTGTTTGTGCATGATTTGCTCGCTTGCCATCTATTTCTATTTTGCCCTATATCATTTCCCATTGCCGCGATCGATTGTGTTTCGGCTGTTCTTTTCTTCCCGGGCCATCTCCGTCTCCCTGCTTTTCGAATGGGGGGATATAATCGCAACGGGCGTCTCGTCGGGCTGTCCGTGTTTATCATGCATTGGAAGCGTTTTCTGTTTTACTGGTTCGGAGCGGTGGCTTTTGCTGGTGGGAGTGGTAGTTGCTGGATCTGGTCGGTGTACTGGACTCGAAATTTATGCGGTTTCATGTGGGAAGGGACCAGTCTTCCTGACGATAGCCAGTAGAGATCCCTGGTACTGGTATTTCATAGTGGGTGGGCCGGGGAGAATGGGGATGTCGGGAACGGTGGATACTGGCTGTATAGAGTTATATACGCATGGCGTGTCTTGTCTTTTATGTTCCGTTCTTGTTCTTATTTTCTCTCTTTTTCTCCCATGCATTGAATGGAGTTCGGATTTCATTGCCATTCAAATGAATTACGATTGAGTATATTTTCTCTTGGTAGCTGGTTAGATCCTGTAAGGGTTGCAAGGGTTGTCAGTAATGCTGGATGCATGCATACGCCGTGTCACGTTTCTTCTCCGCCCTCCCCCGCTTCCGCCAGCCGGACGGGTTTCCTGATCTCCAATTACTTCATCGTCGGTCAATCCATCCGTCATCCATCATGTACCTCCGTTGATTATTTCAGCGTCATCTCTCTTGTTTATTGAGGCGGTCATATCCCTTTTTTCTGTGTTCGGCTGCCTGTTTCTGGCTTAGACCGTCCACATGGCACCTCGCAGGTCCTCCCGGGCCAATCCACTGGCCTTCACCCCATGGCCGGTCACCTTGATTACTACCCTCGTCTACCTCGCGCTGGTCATCCCCGTTCTGGTCATCCACAACGTCGTTCCAACCCCCCCACGGTCGAACCCGAAAGGCCTAGATATCGCCGAAGCATGGGCCGACCTGCAGTACCTAACCAACGGGTTCCATCCATACAATTCGCACCGCAACGATGAAGTGCGCGACTACCTCCTCCAACGCATCCACGAAATCGTCGACGACGCCCCCTCCCCAGAGTCCTACCAATCGGCCGGCGACGAAAAGCCCGCCGTCTTCGTCTTTGACGACCTGCGCTCCAACCTAACCTTTGCGGACGGCGCCACCGGCACAGGCGTCTACTTCGAAGGGACCAACATCATCGTCTACGTGCGCGGCACCGACGACGACCGCGAACACTGGTGGGAGGATGGTGACAAGGAGGACGCCCCCAGCCGCGGCGGCGTGCTGGTCAACGCGCACTACGACAGCGTGTCGACCGGGTTCGGCGCCACCGACGACGGCGTCGGCGTCGTGACCTGCCTGCAGCTGCTGCGGTACTTCACGACGCCGGGCCACGCGCCGCGTCGTGGTCTCGTCGTGCTGCTCAATAACGGCGAGGAGGACTATCTGAACGGCGCGCGCGTATTCAGCCAGCATCCGATCTCGCGCCTCCCGCGCACCTTTCTCAACCTTGAGGGTGCCGGCGCGGGAACCCGCGCCATGCTGTTCCGCACGACGGATGAGGAGGTCACGCGCCACTATCGGAGGGCGCCCCATCCGTTTGGGTCGGTGTTGAGCGCTAATGGGTTTGATATGCGGTTGATTCGCAGCCAGACGGATTACGTCGTGTTCAATGGGGATATGGGCATGCGCGGACTCGACGTCGCGTTCCTTGAGCCGCGCTCGCGGTATCATACGGATCAGGACGACGCGCGACATACTAGCAAGGGCTCGCTGTGGCATATGCTGTCGGCGGCGGTGGGGACCACGCAGGGCCTGGTGTCCGATCCGAGCGAGCAGTTTGATCGGCCGGTGCAGGGCGGGGATGGCGCGGGCGCGTCCGGTTCCAAGGGGGTGTGGTTCGATCTGTTTGGGAGCGCGTTTGTTGTCTTCCGCCTGCATACGCTGTTTGCGATCTCGGTGACGCTGCTCGTCGTGGCGCCGCTGGTGCTGCTCGCGACCGGCGTCGCGCTGACCAGGGCTGACAAGATGTATCTGTTTCGGTCGGAGGCGCGGTCGCCGGACCGCCTCGAGGGCGTCCCGCTGCAGGGCCTGCGGGGGTTCTTCCGGTTCCCGTTCCTGCTGGCCATCCCGACGGTCGTCACGGTCGGCCTGGCGTACCTGGTGACCAAGATCAACCCGTACGTCATCAACAGCAGTGAGTATGCGGTCTGGAGCATGATGGTGGCGGCATGGGTTTTCCTGGCGTGGTTTGTCTCCCGCGTGGCGGACTTTGCGCGGCCGTCGGCCTTCCACCGCGTCTACACTCTGACCTGGATGTTTGCGGTGTACTGGGTGCTGCTGGTCGTGATGACAGTCTACGCGAACCGCGACGGGCTCGCCGGGGGGTACTTTATCTTCTTCTCGTTTGCGGGGGTGTTCGTCGCGACGTGGATCGGGTACCTGGAGATGTTCGCGCTCCCCCGACGGTCCGAATACGCCAGCCTCATGCACCCGCCGTCGCGACACACCAGTACCTACGGCAGCCGGCTCGGCACAGCCGCCTCAGGCGACGACCCGGAGACCGAGCACGACGATAGCGACGAGGAGCACGTCGTCGAAGAGGAACCGACGGAGTCGACGTCCCTGCTAGGCAGCGGCCCACGGACAACATTCGCCAACTACGTTCGGGTAGGCCACACAGACAGCCACGGCGACGAGGCAGAGACAGGCGACCCGCACGTCTACGGGCACGAGCAGCCCTGGAGCGCAAACCTCCTCCAATGGAGCTGGGCAGTACAATTCCTGCTCGTCGCGCCGATAACACTCATAATGGTCGGCCCGCTCTCACTCCTACTCACCAGCGCGCTGCACCAGACGGGCCCCGACGGCAGCTCCTCGCTGTTCATCTACATCGCACTCGCCAGTCTGACGACGTTCCTCCTGACCCCGCTCCTCCCCTTCATCCACCGCTTCACCCACCACATCCCCGTCTTCCTCCTCGCCGTCTTCACCGGCACACTGATCTACAACCTCGTGGCATTCCCCTTCTCCGACTCCAGCCGCCTCAAGCTCTTCTTCATCCAGGAACTCGACCTCGACACGGGCTCTACCCGCGCTTCCCTAACAGGCGTGGCCCCATTCGTCCAGATCGCTGCGAAGGGGCTCCCTAGCGTGCACAGCACGCAAAACCTCACCTGCGACCCCGTCGCCAACCGCCTCCAGTGCAGCTGGCCCGGTCCAGCCCCTAACGTGGTCGACACCACCACCCCAATGCAAAACTGGCTCCACCTCAACATTACAAAAGATGATGCATCATCGAAATCGAAGTCAGCGCACATCACCCTCTCGGGTCAAAACACCCGCTCCTGCCGCCTTCTCTTCACCCGCCCAATCGGCTCATTTAGTGTGCACGACTCAGCTACCGACCCAGCGCGCTTCCCGGACGGGAGCAGCAACAGTAGCAGTGAGAGCGGCACGAAAGAAATCCGCCTGTGGAGCCGCACGTGGAATGCGACGTGGGAAGTGGACGTCTCTTGGGAAAAGAATGACAATGGTGATGACGATGAGGGGCAGCTTGAAGGCCGCGCGGTGTGTATCTGGAGTGATGGGAACAAGGAGGGTGTTATACCTGCGCTGGATGAGGTGAGACGGTTCGTGCCGAGTTGGGTGGCGGTTAGTAAGTTGAGGGATGGGTTGGTTGAGGGAGGGAGGGGGTTTACTTTATCTTGACTTGGCTGGGATTGATATGAGCGGTTTTCTGATTGAGTTTGTTGCGGTTGTTATACTATCATTTATATTGTTGTTGATTGATTTATTGATATGGTATGGTATGGTATGGTTGATGTAGTCGATATGATGGTATGATGGTGGATACTGTGTGTATGGACCATGCTTTATTTAATCCATGGATAGGGTAGCGTTATTCATATCTATTATCAACATTTATTTTTATTATCATTGTTCTCATTGTTTCTTATTGAGTTGTTTTATCGTATAATCATTATATATCTATATTCCACCCAGTGTAAATGACAAGTCAAGATATTCCTACCGTCTCTATTTCCTCTACTCTCCTCTACAGAGTATAGGGCACAGAATGGCACCATCTTATTCACCAAGTCTCCATATAAGCCTACCTAGAGGGATACCTATGCCACTAGTGAATATGAGTCAGTGATTTACATACATAGAAGAGTGAATACAATCAGCCATAGCCAGGGGACTTGTGGTCTTTCCCACGCAAGGTGTACGTTGTATTTGATTCTTCTCACCTTCTGCAACTATTCTAACTTTTCATACTTCAGATTTATCAATATTGGACTGTCCTACCCGGTTTTCACTACTTAAGGTATATATGCTATATACTATAGACCAGGTCTTTGGGTTTTAGCTTATGGCTTGTGGCTTCTCGCTTAGCACTTTACCCTCAGAATCATCAACACAGATATGTACACAGCGAAGCCATCATCTGGGCTAAAGAGCGTCGATACGATCCCCGGAAGTAGGAACCTGACGCAACTTTATCTATCTACCGAATATTCCAAATCATGGATTATATGTGCGAGCAAGCAAGGTGCAGACATGATAGGACACGGCACTCACAGCCCTTCTAAATTTGGAACTACAAATTTCTGGCCCTGGCAAGATGGTCGTTTGCAAGGCATTATCTATCACAATTTTAATGCAGTCTACTGATCACTCACATCTATAGGGGCAGAGGTCTTCTCTCGCAGGTGGGCCTCCATGCTCGCAGCCGGTGCCTTTGGTCCCCCAGCTGGCAGCTCCCTACCCACATCTCCTAGAACGCCCCCTTGCCATCTATGGCGCCAGTGTGGCCCTATCCAATGGCGGCCGCCCAGGCGGTGTTAACTAGCCCTGGTACGACAGAAAGCTGGCGGCATGCTCGCTGGGCGGAAGTAGGGGGCTCGTTTTTGTGTTTTATAAGGGGGATTCCACTGAAGGCTGAAAGAAGGTTTTTGGAATAGTAAAGACAATCGGTCACAGACCTGATCTTTAAGTTTTTTTTCCACAAATTCAATCTTGATTCTCCATGTAATTCAATCTGTTTGATCGTTTCAAGAACCATCAAAAACCATCACTCATTGACCGTTTCACGACCCTCCACAACTTCCCGTATTCTCCAGTTACATGCCATGTTTCGCACAAGTCCAGCCCAAGAAGCGAGAGACAGCAATTGTTCATTGACAGAAAAACTTAACTATAAGTTATGTCCCCTCACGAATCCTATGCTCCATCCGAATCTGCTGCAACGAAACAGGCCGGATTACAGGAACTAAACACTTCAGATGATGGATCGCATCACCCTGAGACTCAGCAATACCGGCATCCAGCAACTCCCCGACAATAATAGCTCCGTAACCACACTGCCTCAGCGCTACGGCTTCCCAAGCCTCGACCACAGGGGATCGCAGGGCGAACTCCCACGTTCCTCTCCAGGTGAGCACAGCAGGCTGCTCTGCCCCGACTAGCTGGTATCTAAAAAGCATAGCCAGCCCCTCTCGCCCATTCCATATCTCCATGGATCTCAGTTTTGGCATTCGCAGGGCTACTCCTGCCGCTGTCTGGAGCATGTTGTCGAGCTTAAGTGGGCTCGCACTGGGCGTGAGCAGTCGTGAAGTCAGTGCAACTGAAGTCAAGCGGGGCCACTTCCAAGAAAGCTCGCAAGCATCGAGGAAATAGCTCGCATCTACAGTGAATGATGCCGAGAGGTGCTCGAGCTGGAGGCTGAGTTTGGCGACTGCTCGGCTGACTTCTGCGTTGGGGATCCGGATAAGCGAGCAGCCGTCGCCGAGGAGTCTGGAAAAAGGTAGTGCGTACTGTTTGTTGGAGTTTTCAAAGAGTGTGAGTCTTTGTAGGTTGGTGCTTGTGGTGAGTGATTCGAAGAGGAGTCGGAAGTCTGCGTTGAAGATGAGTCAGTGATAAGAAATATACATGGATGGTAGATATAGAGTGATCAAATGATGTAGGAGCACCCACATAGATCTATCCAATTCTGCTCAACATCATACCACTGCCGCCAAGGCTCGTAGTGGATCTCCTGGAGATTGGGAAGACGGGCAAACATCTGTGCTAGTGCAGTCGGCTTCCACCGTCGGCGGGTCTGTTGGCGTAGAAGGACGCCTGTGACGGCTGGGACTAATGGCAGTTGCCCCCACCACTCGTTTTGCTGCTCGCCGTTGGGAAATGCGTCTGCACCCATGAGTTCGTCGAAGACTTTGAGGATGGCACATGTGGATGGAGTGGAAATCGGTTTCCCGGCAATCCAGCCATGCTTGTGATTATTGGGGCTGGCTAGAATTGACTGTTGCTTCTGCTGTGTGCATAGATCCAGATCATGCTGATCAGATGGGATAGGAATATCAGGTTTGAAAGTCAGATATTTGAACCAGTGCTCCGCGTCGCTGGGAGAGTGAACACTGATATCAAGCAGCAAGTTTCCATTTGACTCCCACGTGCTGAGAGTTGAGAACAGATCCTGCAATGCTGTGATAAGCATGGTATTGTCTGCCTTGCTGAGCCCTATACCGCCTACACGGTGAGGCGCACACTTGGCGCAATCATATTCTTGGAGTTCCAAGCAGAGCCATATGTAGTGTACAGAAGATCGATTGCGCTGGACCATTGAGCTAAACTCGGCGAGGCGGGGCGCTGTGAGCTTGATGCGGGCGAAGTTGCGCGGCTCGATCATCGCCTGCCACTCCTTAGATACTACGGCGAGGCCAGTCACGCGACCACCTGTCTGCAGGACAGCTTCCAGAATCATGTTCCGGATCTCTGCGGGCAGGTAGAGCCAGGATGACTGGCTGGGTTTTGATGATGACATTGGGGTTGGTTTTGTGTTGGGGTTGATGGGAGGGAAGATGGTTGTTTGAGGCATTGGACTAGAGGGGAGCTGGTTTTATATAGGGGGTTGGTAAGTTTCGAAAAGCGTAATGAGAAGGATGGTGACCTAGATGTCGTCACTCTTTGCGGAATGGCTATTTCGTGACATTCCATGACATAGAGATGTGATAATGTCGACTGATAGTAGGGCTGGTGCGGGATGACGGACATGGTGTAGATATAATAATTTACTTCCATACCAGGTCTACTTAGTTTACCAGGTCTACTTAATTTGACATTTGTTTGATATCAGCTATCTGCCTCGCCGAGTGCAGTCATGCCAATCTTTCTATCAAGTATCTGGATGGTGTCTATGGAGTGAGTATAGGTGATTGTATAGGTTCTATAGCATATAGTATAGATGTGTAGATCTATAGGGCAACGTCTAGAGTCTCTAGAGTGAGCATATAGTGGCTGTCTTATTATAATACCTAAATACGATAATCCCATACCAGGTCTGTTAAATATTGCTTCGTAGACCACCTCTACTCCTACCATGATATCAGAAGACAAAAATGCAGTTTTAATCATCCAGGTCTTTCGTCTAGCACCCTATATGAATCATTCATTAGAAGGAATAGGTACATACGACCATAGGGTGTGGAGAACAGGGCTTCCCGTCCGCTCAGCCGTACTTAAGCCACACGCCGGCCGGTTAGTAGTATGGTGGGTGACCACATGCGAATCCCGGCTGTTGTATGTTTTTGTTTTCCTTCTTTTTCTTTTTGATATATTATATCTTGATATCAACATGCTTTGGTTGTTGGGATTAGTCAGGGCCACTGTTCTGTCTTCAGTTCTTCAGGAGGGGATTTGAAAATGTCTAGATCTCATCAAGTAATCTCCTATATTCATATATTTTGCTTTCCCGCTCGAGAATCAGCGCATTGTCATGATATCTTTTGTAGCCGAGTGCTAATTCTTCTCAGTATCCTATTAGACAGAGAGACCTGCCGTGCAAACATTCATTGGACGGTGGGTATAACCACAGGGCTATCAGGCAACTTTGAGCTTTCTTGGTGTTGAGAACAGGACAGCAGACTATTATTGTACCCAAACCCCCGGGAAGTCGCAGTGAGTTCATACGTGCCTTGAGGGAGTTTAGTAGGAGAGTATTTATTCCCTCTGTGATGGCATATCATTGCATCATGGGAATAGCCCGTCTCGAGAAAGGCCTGTTGGTTCTGATCCAGGTGGCCGTTCAACTGGCTCAGCGTATCGGCGCGGCCATCTTCTGCACCGTCAGCACGGCTGCAAAACGCGCGCTGGTTATGGACGAGTACGGCATCCTAAAGACTTATGTTTTTTCTCTAGCCAGGCGGGGTCGCTTAAGCCGGGCATCATGCGGGTCAAGAAACGGTGAGGGAGTGGATCTGGTGCTCAACTCGTCGGCGGGGGAGGCATGCAGCGGCGATAATATCAATAAACATTAGTATCTGTTGGTGATTTCCATTCCAAGGTGACTTTCACTCTAGCCCATGTTATGTATTAAATTGCTGCAAGCCGTCTTACTATAAGGAATAAGACATCTGAGTTTGATATGTTGATATAAGCAGTAGATAGTCGTCTGTGACTAGATATAGACTACTTAAATCAAAGATCTAGTATGATAGTCGACTGATTCAGCTTGGCCATGTGAGCAACATCAAACGGGCCAGAAACAGTCTTCTTGCATCCACCACTTGTGCTCTTGCCCTCGAAACGCTCACGCAGAAAACGCATCCAGTCGGGGGAACTAGCCGTGATCACATCACCGTGGTCGATGCCTGGATACAAATTCAGATACACCTCATTACCAAATCCACAGGTGTCATTGTAGGCGTCGATGGTGATCCGAGGCAAGATAGTGGTATCTGCCAACCCCTGAACGATTAAAAGAGGTTGCTCTGCTTTGGATCCCATGGCCGGAGAATTCCATTTCTGCCAGGTGGAGAAGTCTGTGCTGTTTTTGAGCGCGGCTGTGCTGGTAATTATTTCCTTGGGAGAGAGCCCGAGTCCAAGGGTCAGGGCCCCATCGTTGCAGGATTGCGTGAGGTCCGCGATCTTAGCTCGTTGCAAGAGCTTTTGCGAGAAGACTGACATATCCGCCGAGGGAATGGCACGTCGAAGGGTAGTCGACAACCATAAGAATATATATGTGATATAGTAAGTGTTATAGTCGGACCGGGGGAAGATTGTCTCCGCCGTCAGAAGGATCAAGTCGTAAAGTCTCGAACCTGGCGCTATGGCAACGCTTCCCACGTAGTTACCGGCTGCGGCTCCAGACTTGATCAGGGGACTCTCAGATAGCTTCCAGACAGCTCCCCCTCCCTGGGAGTGGCCAACACTTGCCCAGTCGTCGGTGAAGGTGTTTGGAAAGATTTTGCGAGCAGCAACCATGCCGTAGTAGAGATCATTGGCATGGGCCGGGAAGCTACTGTATTCGTGCTCGATATAGTTGTTCCCAAGTCCCGCGTAGTCTGGGGCAATGATGGCATATCCGTTATGAGCGAGAATACTCCAGGTGTCGTAGTCGTATAGTGCAGAGGTCGTAGAAGGCGGACATCCCGCGAAAATGCCGATGGAGCCGTGGGCATAGGCAATGACAGGATATTTCTCATCCTGGCGAGCCGAAGTGTATGGGATTGCAATAAATCCGGTCGCAGGCACCTTGGTTCCATTCAAGCTGACGGAGGTATACTGGTATCGATAGGCGGTAAGCCCATAAACCACACTTAGGGATGAACCGTTCAGGGGTTGGAACTTGAGGAGGTCACCGGGCTTTGACGATGAGAAGTTGCGAGCAGTGGCATAAAAGTCGAAATCAAAATCCGTGCCGAACATCTCGACGTCCTGCTTTCGTCCCTCGTTAAAGGCTCGCTGGCAAGCAGCATCGCAGCCCAGGGATGTGAGAGTTGAAGCCGATGCATTGAAGTTTGCAGCGGGTTTGGCCACTGAGAGCGAAACACTCGACAGGGCGAGAATGAGCCTGAGAAACATTGAGAAAGAAGTTGACTTGGACTGTGGCATTGGTTTGAGGAAGCAAGGTGTCGCAATTTGCAGCACTGGGGTTCTAGTTAAATAGTGCCCGACTCCTTATGTAGTAATCAACTCCATTGTTGGATTGTTGGAAACTGTGGAGAACCATTTTGTCACATGAGTAGACTTAGTAACGGGATTATATCGTTCGGCTTATAGTATGTCTGAGATGCCATACAAAGCAGTGTGGTAAGGTGACACTTCGAATCCAGACTACAGTAGCTTACCATCTCATTCATGTGTGTGATTGGGGCCCACAGCCTAACCCACTGTGGGCCGGTGGCTAGAGCTTAGCCAGCCCGTGGGAGGGGGAAAGGCGCCCGCAGCCCGTCCATCTGAGCCCACCGGGCGGGCAGTACCGCTCGCTCCCGCCCGGCCGCTCTGGGCGGCCTGTTTTGGCCCATTTAATGTATAATTTTCCGAGTCAGAAAGTTTAACTTGCTAATTTAACTAATGTATATCTGTTTGTCTTTCTTTGCTTTTGTTGTAAGATAGTACTGCTGCCTAATGTGGATAGTAAGCAGTAAGCAAAGTGTATATGTCAAGGCGTCTGACTGGTTGATAAGGAGGGACGAAAGGCCAATGACACTAGATGGTTCATTGATTGTGTGGATCTCTAATACCAGGAAAGGGGATATCAGACCAAGTCTGAGTGTGTATATAATAGCACCCAGATTAAAGTGTACTGATGCTAGTCGCGCGAGTTCCAAGATTACGCACCAGCTCGCACTCTTCTCTTTGAAGGCACCCACCTGACTACTGACTGCACGTAAACCACACGCCGGCCGGTTAGTAGTATGGTGGGTGATACATGCGATGCCCAGCTGTTGTATGTTTTTCTTTTTATATCTATCTATCTATATTTTTTTAGGATTATAAGGTGTAGCGCCTGATTACTAGTATCATCACGGCCCACAATACACCCCCTCGTCCATCTCATCCATATCCTCCCACGAATATCTCATCTCCTCGCCATCACCCATCATCTTCCACAGATCCCACAGTGCCCGGGGTTAACACTTCATCCACCCCGGAAGACTGTCGTACTGGTCTACTATTGATTAATTCGTCTATCGCCTTTTCTTGCCGCCCCCCAACCAGATATAAGTAGTATGTAATCACGAGCTTCGCGTCATTCTTGATAGCAGCCTCCATCCTTGTGTCAGAAGTGGGTTTTTCTCCGCGCCAGATCTGCATATATAATAGATATCCCAAGTCAGTGTACATGATTATTGAAAGTAATTATCTAATTAGATATGGCAGTAGTGTCCTTTGCTAACATACAAGTCTAAGTGCTTTAAGGCTGAACAGGAGAGTTAATATTAAGGGTCTCAATTTTAAAGCTAACAAAAGCTGTCTTACTATACTTCCTCAAAATCAAGCGCTCATGTTCAAACGAAATGCAGACCTAAGAGTTGGGTCTCCGGTCTACTTCTTGGGAAAGCAGTGGACGCCGAACATGGTCCAGTCACGCCTTCCCTACCCGAACGGCCTGGATCAAGGGCTGAAGAATAAGAGCGACAGTCTTCTTAGCGATGCCACTGGAAGCTACCTGCTGCCCTGCAACGAGGCAGCTGTCAACAAAGGCAATGATTCCCGTGACTAATGGGATCAGCTGTCCTGGAGACCAGAGGTCCCTCGATGGCGACAGGTGGTTCCATCGCAGAGTCAGCTCGACGGAAGCAACAAAAACGACCAGCGCTATCCAGCGGAGAACCCTGAGACCCGGTTGCAAATCCCATATCCCATTACCAGTGATATGGTTAATCATCTCGTTTTCACGTTCATTGACTTCCGTTCGGCCCTGCCTGTGGCAATGCCAGGCGATTTTCAAGATACGTAAAATCTTATACGCAATAAACAGCGAGCTCATCGCACTGACGACACAGAATACCAGCATAAGGTACCGAAACCAGCCATCAATGGATACCTTGGCGAAGAAGAAACAGAACACATTCTCTGTCTGTAGGGGGTGGAGCGTGTCGACGAGATCGGCAAACATCCATATAAGCGCGACCCAGGTTGCCTGCTCGCCGACTAGGAATAAGAGAGTCCCGAATGCATCGCTCACTATATTCTCTGGAGCTAGCAACATTGTTTTGGCTGGGAACGACAGCCCCTGCAGGAGCAAAAGAACGGCGATCGCTTCGCTGGGACTGAAGCGACGTCGGGCGGCGAAGACGAACCACGAGGCAAGGATGGAGAGTGTGATCGACCCGATGGCTACTTTCATTCCCTTTGCAATACTGCTGTTGTTGTTGTTGTCGCTGCTGCTGTAAATTGCCATGGCGACAGATTGGAGGTAGAAAAAGATACGCACTCCAAGGCCGTACAGATCTTGAGCAGCACCACGGTCTCCGGCCTCTAACTCACGAGAGAGTAAAACTGAAGGGCTTTTGTTGTATACAGTGTCAATTGCAGGCATATTGTACTCTCTGACAGTTCTGTAGTCCATTAATACATAAGCTCCGCGAGAAAGAGAAGCGAGTGTTGAAATACCTGAAAGGCACAAGGAAAATCTGTTGGAAACAGCCGAGGAAAAGTTGTCCATTTCTCCCCTTTGGCGTGGCAGTGTTATGTCTTATTTAGTCGAGTTGAATACAGCCTTGTGCTCGAGTATACCCCGCAAGTCACTTCTTGTGATGATCGCAGGCCACGAAACGTTACGCCGTCTGCACAGCCTTTCGCTTGATGATCACCGTAAAATGTGGAACAGTGATGTGTATACAGCATAGTGCAAGTGACAGGTCCCAATATTTTGACTTGGCAATACTCATACAAAAAGCCGTGTTGCTTGACAAGGCTTGAGAACTTAGATTGAGTATCAGAGATTAGGGCTTTGTTCTGTGAGGAGGAAACATGGCATCATTCAATACTAAGTAAATAGACTGATTCATTTTCTCTTCCTTTCTTCCTCCTCCCCGGTACTTCTCTCTTCATACCATTTTTCAAACATTTCGTTGCACTGAATATAAGGTTATCTACAAAGGACAAAAGTGTCATGGTATCTTTTATAGCCGAGGGGTCATTATCTTCACACGTCTTTTATGCCACTGTATCTCCTGACCTTCACCCGTGAGATAGGCTTTCAATATGGATTTGCCTGAGAAATTCCCTCTAAGCATGGTCCTGCGCCGAGTGGCCGATCACCTCCACGATCACCACAGCGACCTCACAGTGGCGCTTTCCACTAGCCATGTCACGTAGGAAGAAGCTCTAGCTGCAGCTATAGAGTGTGTGCGTGGGCTTCCTGACCGCGTCCTTCTACCCACCACCAACCCAGCTCAACGAGAAGCCTTACGTATCCAGGCTCTTGAAAATAAGCGTTTGTCAGATGATACCATTCTCCTACCAGGCCGCCTAATTCGTACCGCGGGAGAATTCAATCCAGAAGATTGCTTGAAGTCTCCCACCCCAGGCCGTCGTGTCATACTCAAGAAGAATCTCCCGGATGAGACTGATCCCTCGCCGCACCGGATATAAGGTTACTTACAAAGCAGAAAAGCGTTATGGTGTCTTTTGTAGCCGTGTGTTTATTCGTTCCACACCAAATACCATCGACCTACATGCTTCACGCACGAAGCGCCCGTTAGCCGCTCTTGCCGGCAACGCCAGAATCACTGCCATTGATTGGGAAATAGGTACGCCGGAATGCATGCTACGATTCTCCCAAGCTGTAATACATCCTGCGACTGTTAGCTGTGGAGGAAATTCCGTTCGTGATCCTATCCAAGCGCTGCCTTCTTGTATTTTGCTAATAGCCCGCGAGCATGTGGTTTATGGTGATGCTCCTATGCAACCTGAGTATTCTTACTCAGGCTATATTCAGTCAGAACACCCATATAAATCACACAGGGATTATAAAGGAATAAAAAAACTCTGCCATACTGGCGCCACCAGCACGATCGTCACGAAAGGCCTCCAGGACCGATGAAAACGGTCACAATCTCATGATATTGATAAATTCCGAAGTTATGAAAATTTGCGTCCAGTTGCAAGACTGCAAGGAAACGTGGAGATTCGAGACAATAATTTATTTGAGAAAACACCACAAGTCAGCAGACGTTGGCCGATTGGTCTCACTTCCACAAGCTCCTGGACAAAACGTTCCAAACACACTTATCTGATCCTATCCACAGGGATCACCAAAACCCTGATTTACCAACTCATTATTTAGTATGACCTCTCGCGTGGGCTGTGGACAAAAAAGCCCCCCTGGATACTCATTCGGGCATTATCTTATGCTGGGGATATCAGTCACGTCAGGCCCTCCTGAAATGCATTTCCGCATTTTGGTGCAGTGGTTGATATAGTATCTTCCTACATCCTATCAAATTCAAGAGCCAGTGCCCATACCTCCAATCTAGTTATAATAATCAGAATAAAAAGCACAACAATACATTACTGAAATAACCTATGTGATACTTACAGATATCAATATTAGTATAAAGTTGTTAGAGCAACGCCAGACGCACTCGCCTAGTCGGGGCGATTAGCTGGGTGGCTGGGCCAGCATGCCTTGAGAGTAAACCCGCGTCCGAGTCCGATCCGATGCAACGAACAATCTGGTTGGAGCGGAGTTATCATTACAGAGAAGGCTCTAGGGACTAGTCTTGGCTCTGTGTGGAACGAGTGGCCGCGAGAAGCGAAACTAAAGCTGGGTGCCTAGATTGTCGATATGGAGACTAGGTTGACTACCATACCGTTTCCGAAGCACGGCTGTATCTATTTCAAAGATGACTTGCGGGCATTGACTGGAAGATGCGAAGGTACTGACGTCGACACCTCCGATACTGGACCTCTTGGTCGCTTTTTGATAGGCCCTCTTATCTCTGTGGAGCTTTGGGAAGGTAGCAGAGGAGAAATGAGATTAGATCGTGGTCCCTGTAAGTTTCACCCTCCTTGTAGAAAACATTTCTTTCAGCTGGGGAAAAAAGCAATAGCAGCGGAGCTCCATTGCTAGTGAAAGGGCGGTTGTCAGATAGTGTGACATCTTGGGGGCACTGTATTGGTCAACGTTAGGTCAGACGAGGGAAGAGAAGAGGAATTGCATAATCATGTGGACTTTGAGTGAGTGAGTGAGTGTGTGTGTGTGAGATGTGAAGTATCATCTTATCGAACGAGATGTGTGGTATCAGAAATTAGATACCCATCTACATGTATTGACTTTCTTATCGTTCATTCATTCAAGTATTTATTATTATCTTGGTTATATTTATGTAGTAGTATGTAGTTGGTATTATGTCCTGCAGCACACTCCACCAGCAGTTGATCACAATGTACCATATCTGCACAAGCACATATTTCTCTTGTGTCCTCTTGCTGCTGTGGGATGGGCCTGTGTCGCTCGACCTGTAGGTGTCCTGACAGGACTGTCTGGGAACGAGGTGGAGTGTAGCTGCAGGTGAATCTCTGATGTACATGACATGATCGTGGCTCGTGACTCGTCGGAGTATGAATAAAGTGGAAGGGAAAAAAAACAAACAAACGGGTATGGGTATTGCAAGAGAATCAAAAGGATGAAATAAAAAAGAGCAAAAAAATCATGCAGGACTCTCACTCGAGTCCTTCGATGGCATGCACTTCTGCTCACCGAGTGGATAGGCATAGTCAATCGGATTTAGATCGCATGGGTAGGAGGGATGGTTCATCCGGGTCTGGCTACTGCTGCTCTCTGAGTGGGAGCGTTCGGAAAGACCACTCTCATGGTCGTTGGTGGTGGTGCTGTGCTCGAAGATGGCGATGGACATGTCGTCCTGGTCCATCCAGGGGTGGGAGCGACGGCGGGTGGTGGGGGCGGCGTGGGTCATGTCGGAGGTGACGCGCGTGGCGTCGACGAAGTCGGGGAAGTCGCAGGGGTGCTGGGTGATGGATTCGGCTTTCCAGATGCGGCTGCGGACGAGGATGACGAGCTTACCGAGGACGGCGAACTCGAGCTTAAGCTTGACGCTGTAGACGACACCCTTGATCATGGTCTCCATGATGTATTGGTTTTTGAACTCGACGGCCAGCAGGGCGACGTCCATGGCGATGATGATGAAGTTGATGATGACGAGCTGGTACATGATCTTGCGCTTGCCTTTGTCCGGGTCGAAACGCAGCATGCGCGTGGTCTCCCAGATGTAGAGGCCCGAGAGAATGAACTCCTGGATGCAGAAGCCGGTCATTTGAATCTTCTCCATGATGTTGTAGCCGGTGGTGTAGTGGGAGCGCCTAGGCTCCGGGACCATGTTGGTGCCGTAGGTGAGGACGGTAGTGGGGAAGTGGAAGATGATGGCGTCGATGATGATCATGGCGAGGACGGGGCGGAGAATGCGCCGCGTAGGCATAACCAGGTGCAGACGAGAGTACAGGACGACGGACTGGCCGGTGACCATGCACCACCAGCCGATAGTGAGGAGGGTGACGGGGAGCCAGACTTGAGATTCGATGAGTTTGAAAAACTTGAGGAGGAAGCCGACTGAGTAGGGCAAGAGGCCAAGCGAGGACGTGACGAGGAGACTCCAGAAGTAGAGGCCGCGATATTGGCTGAAGGTGACGAAGACGAGGATGATCAGTTCCATGGCGTTGTACCAAGTGATGCCGGCCATAGTCGCGATGGCGATCTTCATGCCGAGTTCTCCGCCATCGTACCCCCCGGTAATGCCGTTGCCGGGGGCATTATTGGTCGGGTTGGCCATGACGGATTAAGCGACGCGATCTTGAGCGGATGGGGGGAAGGGATTCATGGTTATCGCGTAGTGTAGCAGTTGTGGTGGCAGTCGGAGTGTCGAGATATGTGTCGGTATATAACTGTTGTAGTGGTGTATTTTCAGTACGGTATAGTAGTGGTGGTTGAATATGACATAGTGGTAATTATAGGGGGGTGGAGTATTGGAGTATTGGAGAATTGGAGAGTGAAGAGCGTGGAGTTGGATAGATAGATAGACTCGGTGAGGATCAGTAGTATGAAGAGGAATCAAAGGGAAGATAAAAGCGGATGACGGAAAGAGGAGAAGAGGAGAGAGGAAAGAAGTGAAAGAAGTGAGAAAGACAGCGAGAGAGAAAGAGAAAAGAAAAGAGGCTGTGAAGTGAGTTGGGGCGGAAATCCTGGAGAAGCAAAAGTCACGAAAAGGATGAACGAGTCAGAATTCGGGCCAGGATAATAATACTAATACTAATTATAATTATAATGACGATGGTTTTATTATTTGATTACCCTCTGGGATTTATTAATATCATTGCCCAGATTAATCATGTCTAACGGAGTTCGTTATTACTGATCTTGATATTTATATTTATAATTCGAATTAATTAATATAATCTCCATCCTCGCTTCTCATCTGAGATCCAACAAAGAATCCAAATCTGACACAGACCAAGGAGAATACGATCCACCGACGTTGGATTGCCAGGTAGGACAAGTATCATCCTGTGTCCAAATCTATAATTACCTCGACATATTTAAATCAATCGAATGATAAAAAGCCCCTAGACTGTATAAGGAGCGGTTCCTGTCCGCCATCAACCCATGAACCATGGAGACTCTGAATTCTCTTCCCAACTGCCCCTGCCGTGTCAAAGGGGAGGATCCAAAAGTTAAAGAGAGATCCTCCCTCCCCTCCTTGAACTTGCCAGTTCCCTGCTGGACTAGACGCTGACCCACCCAGAACACAAACACGGTTCACTACGGAGCCAGTCGCAGGTCGCGCCTCCACTTTTGTCTCCCTCTCTCGGCCGTCCCCACGAGAAAAAAAAAATAAAAACTTTCCGGGGTTTTCCTGGGGATTTGCCAACTGCAGGTCACTCCAGCAATCCAGCTTTCTGGTTGGTTGGTTTCCCATTGTTGGTCAACTGAGGGGACACTGGTCCATGGAGGTGGGAGATACGGTGAACTCGTCCATTTTCTGACTTGCGAGAACTCGTATGACAATCGGGTCGCTCCGCCGAGGAAGAAAATGTCGCACCAGGATAGTCCGTAGTTACTTTGGCATATTATGTCGAGAATGGGGCAAAAAGAAGAACACATTAAATGACATAAAAAAGCACAAAACAAATAAAACAAACCAATAAAGATTTCAAAAGGAAAATGAAAGAAAAGTCCCGCGGGGCACACGGGGCAACCCCCCGAGGGGAAAAGGAAACAGAGACAGATGACTTCATCGTCACCTCTCATTAGGCTGAGCGCGCTGGCTGGGCTGCGGCTGTGAGGCTGCCGAGATGCTGGCAGACCAGGGTTGAGGCCTGAGCCGACAAACCAAACCGACAGACAGACAGGCATTGCTGCCTGCCTCGAAGGATTTCATGTTAGTCCCGATTGAGATAGATCGGGACTAAATCACCCAGCGGAGAAACCGGCTGACAGACTGGCCCTGCTGGCAGTGACTGGTCGAGTGTCGGATCCCTTTGCCCGCCGACCGCACCAAGGAATTAGTCTGCATGGGGAGTTGGTCCGTCCAGTCGATGATGATGGTGTGGTGACGGCAACGAAGCGGATGGACTGGGGAGATGATTGGAGATATAGATCGAGGAAGTTGTCGAGTCGTCGAGTCTGGGCTGCAGTAAGGAGGCTGGCGATGGGATATATTTGGGGATCGAGATGATTGGGAATCCTTGCTTGGACAGAGCCTCACTGACCTTGACTGACCTGTCACTGATACAGCTTGCCCTCTGGCAAGGGAGGACTACTTGATTGATTGCACATTTCTATTTCAACCAGACCTAATATCAATCTCAATAACCAGAGATAAAAATAAAATATGATAAAAATTATCACAACAGGATCGAGATTGAAAAGAAAAAAAATATTGACCGACGCAGGGGTCGAACCTGCAATCTCTTGATTCGTAGTCAAGCGCCTTGCCATTGGGCCAGCCGGCCTGGATTGATGGAAAGGCTTTCCACTATGCTAATCAAATTCCCATTTAACAGCAAAGTGTATTCAGCACGATTCAGCACGGATGCTGCACGAAATCCACCAAATAAGGGTATTATATCTTCCATAGAATCCTGAAGGATTGATTCAATGTCATTACTATCTATTTAATTAATTGGTTAATTTATGATATTCTAATCCTCGCGGAATCTCCATAAACTATGCAAATAGTGATACTCGTACTATTTACGACCCCCATCTCCTAGCTGTTTTGAAGGTCAAGATGGTCCCCGAAGATCGACATCCCTTACATGACATCAACCCTACACGTGCACACCTCCTTGACTATCCAATATCCAAGTATCCACACGTGTTCCTCACCCCCGCCCGAAGGATGCAACGGATTTGACTCTTGGTTTGGTTGGAATCAAGACCAGTCTGGATTAGGGAATGGTCGGAGTCCAAGACCACTCCGATGGATTTCTTTAATTAATTCATGATCCAATCTCCCCCTATTCTTTCTCGTCCCGAGGGTCCATGAGCAGTACGGTAGCATATGGTATGATCGCACCGCAGCAAGCTCCAAATCCCGACAATGAAATGGTGGTATCTTGCACTGCCCACGGGGGTGAACTGAACTAAACCTGGTGTGACAGGCAGACAGACAGGCTGTGTGATTGCTGGACGGGTGACAGATGCAGCAGCGGTGAATCCGTCGGTTCTTTATTGGGTGAGATGCCCCTCAGCCTTCCTCTCTAGCCTTACTTCTTGACTATCATGCTTATGGGGCGGGTCGGGAGGTAAAAAAGCTCTGGAGATGGAGACAGGTTGTGATGGATGTGCACGGGCTTCTGGCGGTAAACATTTCCGAGGTCTTGTTCATCTGTCACATTCTTGGGGTTTGATTTCTTGTGATTGTGTTGTTTTTTTTTGTCTGGTCTTGATGGACAGACTTCTCGTGTTAGAACAAGGACTTTGTAAAGCTGACGAGAGAGAAAGAAATACTACACAAATTAAATAAAATAATGAAAATAAAAATTCCCATTTGACCCAGACGCCCATGTCAATGCTAAAGCCATCCAATGTCTCCTCAAGCCCCCCCACCAAAATCCTGTCATTTGCTTATCCCACGCCAAAATATATATAACCAATACCCACATAGCACATAGTAGTCGTCCCTCGTAAACTCCCGGCCCCCAATAATATCCTTTGATTAAGAGGGGGTGAAAAAAAGAAAAAAAAGGAAACGAATCGAAAGGAAACATAAAGAAAAGAAAAAAGAAAGAAAATCTACACCGTACCTCCAGTAGACCAGACAAAATCAAAAGTTGCAGACCGTCCAGTGGGTGAATTACTGGGTCTCCCCCCCCGTCGCCGTAATCACCCGGTCAACCTCCCCACGACACTCCGGCATCGCACTGCGCATCTCCCGCGCCAGCACATCCCGAAATCCCCGGAACGCCTCCTGCTTCCCTTTCAGGTCCTGATTGCCGCGCTGGACGAGCTCGACGAACTCGCGCGTGTAGATGTCTGGGTTTCGTGCTGCGTCCACGTAGTCGATGATCTCTGGCGGTAATTGGATCGTGCTGACGGGGGGGTCTGTTGAGGATGCTTCTTGATCTGTATGCTGCTGGTTGTTCTCGCGCGTGTCGTTGGAGAGGGTGGAGAGGGCGACGGTGAGGTTTTTGCTAGTTCAGTGAGTATAAATAAAAGGATGGGTTGGGTGAGGAGGGAGGTACATCTTCCGGACGAGTTCTTGTTGGGTTTCTGGGCCTAGGTAGCCGTGGACGGCGGATTGGATCTCGAAGAGGTGTTGGATGATGTCTTTGAGCTCGGCTGCACGGGATGTTAGTTGGCACGGGGTATTTAATAGAGTGGTGATGACGGACTGTCTACTGTGCTTAATGTGACGGGCGCCATTTTGCTGTTGGGGTGCGATGACACTGAGGTAGACGGTGGTGATGATGAAGCGATGTTGGAGTGGTGATGGCGGTGACGAAGGCGGAGTGGAGGGGCACTTTACTCAGTATACTCCGTCCTTGCTACATTAAAATAATTCAAATAGAGTTTCATTTCTATTACCCAGACAGTGTACGCAAAGGATGGTCAAGGAACACTATCAACTAACAGTTATCCACGCACGACATCGTCCGCTAGAATCATGCTATCTGCAACCTTCCCAAGTCCTCTTCCAAATCCGTGGCACGCGTCACCCCGGTGGCAGTTCGATGGCGCTGGCCACCCACGGGCGATCCACACTCAGGACATCTAGACAGTTGCACAGCGCCTCCGCATTCTCCGATAGTAAATGGATGGCCATTCTCGCAGTAATACCAATGCCCGGTACCTAAGAACTCCCGAGCCATGGCCTTCACGATCGCGACGCGTTCCTCGCTGGTGATCGGGGCGTAGAAATTCCCTGCGCAGAGCATCTGTTCCGTGCCTTCAATTTCGCCGTCGAGCCCGCGCGCTTGACCGGGATGTTGTTCGCACAGCAGCTTGGCCGCATCGAGAGCCGCTTTCCCTTTTTGGAGGAGGTTCTCAGCTTGAGCGGGCTCAGTGCCGGCCTGTCGTTCCAGAGCGCACAGTTGGGCCTGGAACAGATTGCCCTCGATCTGCTGCAACACTCGGCGCGAACTGGCGGCCATGTCGATCAAGGCCTGGCACTGCTGACGGTTTGCGCGCAGGTTGACTTCCAGGGTGCTCTGTGCGAGCTGGACTCGCTTATGCAGCGAGAAGAAGTCGCCCAGGAGGGTGGTGTCCAGGCGGATCAGCAGAGACAGTGCTTGGATGCTGCCTTTGGTCTGGAGTACGCTTTCGTCCATGGCGAGCTGCCCGGTGGTTCGTTTTCGCCGACGTGCGTCCTCCACGCGGCTCCACACCTGGGTAAACGGCTGCTCCTCCAGATCCACCTTCTTGTAGTATGCCACAATTTGGCTCCTCAGCTGGTTCATATCCTGCCACCTTGTGCTGCCGCACTTTCTGAGATGACTGTTGATGAGTTCGACCTGATGGTCAGGAGGTCCCTGGATCTTGATCGCCATCTCTTTCCGGAAAAGTCGGGCCACATGTCCCAGTTCCCGATTCTGGAGGTCTGCGATTAGCTGCGGCAGCTTCTCGGCCATCGGCACATATGCTTGGTTCAGATACAAGATGAACTTCTTTGTGGCTTCGTCTAGCAGTACACGCCTTACCAGTCTCCCGTAGCGGGCGATACTTCTTAAAGAGCCTCGGCAGGTGGCGCACGTCCGGACACTATCATCATTGGAGAATGGCGCTGACGACGATGCAATGGCAACGGGCTTTCCCATCTCGTTCATAACATAGTGTTTCTTAAGATTCATCTGCCCATCCATGCTCTCCACGGTGAGAAAATGACCACACGGAGGAAAGATGCAAGGGCTCTCGTCAAGATCGATCTCCCTATATGTCAGGCTTAGAATGAAATCAACGGGGGTGTCGGCGATCTCGTCAGTTGCGCAGGTCTGGCAATACTTCGCATTGGGACAAACTTCCCCGCACAGCGACGGGCACCGGTGGCCACAGGATAGGACCTTGTCACATCGGAGGGAGCACGGTGTATGGTCGCACGGAGCGGCGCAGGGCATGGTGCAGGCGCTATGAGGACAGGCCGACAGACACGTGGGCACTGCACACGGGGCGCATGGCTCCGAGCATTTTCGGGGACACCTGGAATGGCCGCACTGGACCGGGCAATCTGCCATGCATGGTTGACATGGCTTTGAACCGTGACAGGAAGCATCGCAGGCGTGGGTACAGGTCGTGTACGGCCGGCCACACTTTTCGGTACATGTGCCATGGTCAACCTGGATACCCTCAGCCCCGTGGACTGTACACTGCCAGCACTCGCGGTTGCAGCTATGGCCACAAGGCAAATTGCTGCGACATAGCTGGGTGCACTTGTAGTCACTCTTCGTCACGTCAATGTGGCATGCGACTGTCACCTCGTGGTCGCAATGGCGGACTTGCTTCTTGACGGGCATTGGGCACTTTACTGTGCTGAGATCTTGAGCCTGCCAACAAGGGAGAGTGGCCATCGAATGTCCGCAGGGCAGCACTCGTTCAGCGTCAAACACTTTGATAGGGCATCTCTTGGGACATGGATCCCCGCACGGCTTGGGGCACGCGTGGGTGCATCCTTTTAAAGGCCGCGGACACGTCTCGAGGCAGTAAACCGCTTGATGGAGCAATTCGGAGTGGCATTTCTGCTTACACGGGTGGCCACATTGTAAGCGCTTTCCGCACAGCAGGTTACATCCTCCTTCTGGCGAGAACTGCGTGAAATGTTCTGGCTCGGATACCGCGATAGGCGAGTCCGGATGGCGAGGGCATTGCAGGTCCAGGGTCGGCCCTAAATTGCCCGCTTTGTCGAGGATGTCCAAGACCTGGGCCCACATCTCAACGCCTCTTGAGGTTTCTGAGTTGCCGATGATGTACATGCCGTGTCGTGCGCGGGAGAGCAGGACGTTGATTCTGTTTGGCGTCCGGAGGAACCCGCACTGGTTCTGGTTGTTGCTTCGGACGAGGGAGATGACCACTACTTTGGCCTCCTCGCCTTGGAAATTGTCTATAGTGGCAACTCTCAAAGCCTGGAGGACGGTCGATCTGGCGACGGTTGCGCTTGTCGGTACCTCTTCTTTGTTAGCCGTGTCCTCGTCTGCGAATCCCGCTTTGTCGAGGTCTTCCTGATCGCGTTCTCCAAGAGCGATGGTGAAAGACTGGGACAGTCTCCGCCGCATCCGATGTAGCTGGCCCAGGTACGGCGTCAAGACCGCAATGTCACCGCTGCAGTAGACGCCCTGGCGGAGAAGGTGACTGACCACAGCCAATGTAAGGTCTATCTCGTAGTCGTTCCAGTGTGACGTACTGACCGCCTCGTCACTGGCGGCTCTGCCCTCAAGCCGCCGATGGTCAAGCCAAAACAGCCTCTTGCGCATCCCCATGACCTCGGGATATTCACCGACAGAGGTCGCGTCTTTCAGCCGGGGGTACAGCGTATCTCGGACCAAATGAGCGATTGACGGGTGCATGCGGCGCTGCGTCTCCAGCGTGCAAAACGGCATTCTCCCCCCACTGTCGTCGTCCGGTTGGACTAGTCGTTCGAATAACGATAAGTCTAGAGAATACTTCTGACCAACGTTGCTTTCGCGGGATAGCGCGTAGTTTTGGATTTGTGGCCGCAGCTGCTGATGGTCTCCGATTAGTATGACGTGCTCCACGGACGGTAGCAGCGAGGTAAGCATGTGAGCCTCCAGGACTTCGCCAGCCTCCTCGCATAATATTGCCTTAGACTGTAGTCGGCGGAGCATATTCAGGTTGCGAGCTAGACCGGTTGTCGTGATCCCGACGACATGGGCGTCGCGAAGACATCGGAGGTTCACCTCGTCTTTGATATCGTCGTACGAGCGTTTGGTCTTTAGATGCTGGGATAAAATGACGTTGGCCTCAGCGTGGAGACTGGCCCGACGCTCATCAATCCAATGGTCATGGAGAATCCTGCGTTCTCTTGCTGTCATCTGGTCGACGTGCACTTTCTCCAATTCGCGCAATCTGCGAGGCTTGGCCTTGCTTACTTTGCCTGAATGCAACCACGAGTCTATGATGTTTTGTGGTCCACCTTTCGAATATCGTTGGAAGCCATCTTTATCTTTCCCAAACAGCTGGAGAAAACGTTCCGGGTCGTGAGCGGCAAGATATTTTCTCAAGTCGAAAGATTCTAGTTTCAGGGTGTCAAACTGTTGTTCAAGCCCATCGAACTCTGTTTGCAGGTTGTATCGGTCCCGTTTCTCAAATCTCGTCAAGTCGACGTTTCGCGAGACCTCTCGGAGATTCTTTGACTGCAAGATCTCGGATTTTGACTGCGAGCCAATGCGGATAACCTGGTTTGTGATTTTGCTTTCCAGGACATCCTCCAGCAGCTGATCGAGCGCATGGTTGGTATAGCAGACACATATTATCGGCCCGAACTGGCGTATCTTGTTCCTGTTAGCTAGGAGGACTTTGATCAGCGCAACACCGGTGTAACTTTTTCCTGTGCCTGGCGGGCCTTGGATCAGCCCGACACGCCGCTGCAGCGTGTGGACCAGAGCTTTGGCCTGTCCCGCATCGAGCGTGGAGTGCTGCTGTAGTCTTTCCAAGTCGACCGGCTGCGACGGCCGCACCTCAAGAGTTGACCGATCATCCATGAGACATTGCAGATTGAAGCCGAACCCGGGCCTGCTGGCATATGCCGGTGGAGGCACATCAACATAGTCAGCGGTATCTCCCGCGTCAGCGACCAGGATTTCCGGCATCGGGAGATTCGAATTAGCCTTCATATTCTGGAGCGCCAGTAAAGTCGGCTGAAACGACGGCAGAAGCACGCCCGGGAATTCCACGAGTGAGATTGCCCGCCCGCGATCGTTGGCACCGTGGCAGCCCATCACACTAAGCCTATTCTCCTCCGTTGGCTCGGCTAGCTCGACGATAATTGACGCAACATTCTCGTCTTCCCAGAGCGACGATTTCAGCGGCGCGGGCTGCTGCCGCTGTTCCCCATCCGGGCTCAAAAGCCTCGGCCAGTCTGGTCCTGCCACCGTGCAGAAAATAGCGAATCCAGGCGACCGGACCAGACACACCAGCGCGCTCGTCTGGAGTCGCTTCGACGCTTCCCACCAGTCCCGCCGTTGGGCCTTGGTCTTCCCGCGGACGTTCGACGGTTGCGGGAAGTCGACCAGCACGCGCAGACCAGCAAAGCGGTTCAAACCCAGACGTTTGATCGTGGCTTCTTTGTACACGTGCGTCCTCGTCTGGTTATTACCATACTTCTTACCACGAGAATCAACCGTGCTTGACTGCAACTCGGCATGGATTGCGTCCCTCAACTGGCCCACCGTGTCTTCTCTGAGCAACCGAAAATGCCTGTCCAAAAGTCCAGCAATCCCGCCTTCGTGCCACTGCCGCGGATCCTTAACGGGGAGGTACTCTGTCCGCGAACTCAGTATCTCCTGGAAGGTGGGCAGGATTTTCACATTGCAGATATCCACGTGGTCGTTGTCGTGGCGCCCGCCGGGGGGGTCTTTCTTCACGATAAAAGCCGCAGGAGCCGCAGCGCTGCTGCTGCTACTTTTCTGCGCGGGTCGCACAGACACGTTCGATACGAGTTCAAACCGCCGCAGCAGTCTGTCTAGGAGCGTCTGCGCCTGAGGTGACGGCGACACAGCGGTCTCGCATAGGGCCTGGAATCGCATGGCAATCTGCTTCAGCGGCTCCTGCACAAACGCTGTAGAGTTCTTCTCCACGATATGCCAGAAGACTGACAACGCGGCGTCGATACACGCCCCTACAGGATCAGGGTCAAGACCGGAGCCAGAACCAGCATCAGTCCCGCCCTCACCCTTCCGGACCAACAACTGAACCACATCCGCCAGGAACTCCAAAAAGGGTCCCGCGCGACGGCCGGCAACACCGTACAAGAAATTGTAGATAGTGACGACCGCCTGCTCGAGAACCAGCGAGGCGAGCACGTCTGCGTGCGTGACGACCGCGAGGAACGGGGCTACCTCGTTGGTGTAGGTGGCGATTTTGGTGGCGTCGTTGTTGTTGTCGTCCATGAAAGGGATTTCTTTGTCGTTGTCGCGCTCGACAAGAAATAGGAGCTGGCGCAGGCCGGCTTCTGTGGCTAAACTGCGGATGACGTCCTGTTGGGTGTTGGGGTCGATGGAGATGAGCTTGAGGGCTGTTTGGAAGAAGTGTTTGAGGCTGGTTGGCTTGTAGTGGGGGCGTCCGTTCTGCTGGAGGTGGCGTTTCCAGGTGAGTAGGTCATTTGTGTTGTTGTTGTTGTTGTTGTTGTTGTTGCTGTTTTGGTTTCTTGGAGCGCGAGTGCCCTGGAAGCCTTGCTGGTCGTGGCTGAACTTGCAATTCTTGTACTTGCAGTGGCGGTTGCTGGCGTACGCGTAGCATACCCTGTTATACATGTTAGTACTGTGGCATATGTGATATGGTATGTTCTTAGGGGGAGGCCATACCCTTTAGGCCTCGATTTGAAGTCCATGTTGTGTGTTGGGTTAGGTCGGGCGATGGGGATGGTGGTGGGATCTATGTGTATGTTTTGCAGTGACTGCTGGTTGTAAAGGGGTGTTCCCTTCTTCTTCTTCTTTTTCTTTCCTTTATCCTCTTCTTCTTCCTGAAAGAAAAGAAGTGGTAGTGAATATAACCCTCCTTAGTGAATATTGTAAAAGTCCGATCTAGTGAATGATAACAGAATTGAGTGTACCAGTGTCAATTTGAGTAGTAATAGCAGCATACTAAAAGTAAAAACAAACCCAGCCAACACAATTGGATTGATTTACCCATTTAAATGATTAGATTCCAATACTTATACTGATATCTTCAAAAATCTAAAAACGCCTCACTCTCATACCTACCTACCTAAGCGCCGCCTTTGCTGGGCTGTGCATACCTACGCCAGACTAATGAACAAGGATAGTATTCTCTTCCTATGCATGGTGGCACAGGTAGTCTGCCTATCTTCTAATCTATTGGGAGTGGTTTCGAGTTCATGTTGTCTGTCTGTCTGTCCGTCTTTCTGGGTGGTTGGATGGTTGGATGGTTGGGCTAGGTTGGGCTTTGCCGCAGTTGGCAGCGATGGCGCAGGTTGTGGTTGCTGCTTGGTGTATGGGCTTTGGCTGAGGTTGATTGTTTTGTTTTTCTTCCTTGAAATTGATTTTTTTGAAGATTAGAATGGGCGGAAAAGAAGAATAGAACGAGGGAGGAAAGAGGCTTATTGCCTGTTTCTCATCTTAGGCTGAGTTTGTGGTTTGGTATGGATGATAGAGTGTTTGGTGTTGGGTTGTGTGGGTGGTTGTACCTACTACCACCACTACTACTGCTACTACTACCGCCAGCCCTAGTTAAAGTAATATTTTGGAACAATAAATATATAATATAGCACTTTATGTAGCTGTAACCATGTTTTTATACCGTAAGTACACTACTACTACTAGATACTCGGGATAGAATAAAGTAGATGGTAGAAGTTAGGGTTACCGTGACACGTGCTTTTACTACTATTGCACTTAGTATGGATGCAACGCCTCTCAGAAATGCCAACAGTGAGCCTATCAAGTCCTCTCGCTGCATCCTTAGATGTAAATGAGGCACATCTGACGATCAGCCCTATCCTGTCGTGCTATTCATTTCGCATAGGAGCGCCTTCATCTATCGATGGGTTGTGGATTGGGTCTTAGTTTGAGTCCTTCTCCAGAATCCTTAATTTGAGCTGTTTCAAACCAATCTAGTTATATCCGTGACGGATCTGAAACTCCAGCATGACTCCGAAAGGCATGCTCGATAGCATCAGTCATACCTGATAGATCGGATGATGGGCGGTCCCGTGACAGGTCCCCGATGATCGCTCGTGGGATCAGCAGGTGGGTTATTGTAAGACCCCGTTGGCTGTCTCAACTCACATTATGGGTTCTCCACATTCTTGTATCTGACCTCGTGAGGAGAGGAGATCAAAGGATGAAGCAACGGAATGACGATAAACAAGCAGGTCACGGGATTGGATGAGGCTGACTATCTGCTTATGTAATAACCCCCAGAATTCATGTGATCCCCACCAATCAGACCCCGAGAAACACGCTGAGTCAGTAAGGCGGTCAGACAATGATCCCCCCTGATTCGATCAGCCTCCCTCTCTCACTCCACTTCCACTTCCACTTCCACCTTCATCCTCCACCTCTCTCCCTTCTGCCTGACGGAGAGTTTCTGCGTCGACTTTCTGCTTTCTCTCCCATACAGACTCTGAAGATTGTCTTCCGGTCCATCTATTGACTGTCCTTACCCTCATTTACTGCTGGTCAGTCGCCAGTCTGCTCATTGCGCCGCATCTCTTCACTCCATCATCCCCTGTTCCGCCGGTCCACCCAGGCTGACACCGCCCCCATCTCCTCCCCGCCGCCAACTGTCCTCCCCTTCCAACTGAACTTCTCCCCTTTCTCCCCCCTCTCTATGCCGTTGCGGTAGTCGTTTCTCTCTTGACTTTCTCTGGCCCCCCGCGAGGGTCGCCATCCGCCATGTCTGCCTACTCCAATCCTCAATCCTACCAGAGCCACTCGGCTTCCCATCGACCCGTGCCTACCTACAACCCCGTTGCTGCCGTCGCAGCTCCTGCGGGCACCCTGCTGCCCGGCACCAAGATCCAGGTGGGAAGCCATCGCGTGGTGGTCGAAAAATACTTGTCCGAAGGTGGTTTCGCCCATGTTTACGTCGTGCGGTTGTCCAACCCCGTCGATGGCTCCGACAGGACTGTCCTCAAGCGCGTGGCCGTCCCTGACAAGGCCGCCCTGGCCAACATGCGCACCGAGGTCGAGACCATGAAACGCCTCAAGGGGCACCGCCACATCGTCAAATACATCGACTCCCACGCCTCGCAGCTGCGCGGCGGTGGCTACGAGGTCTTTCTGTTGATGGAATATTGCTCCGGTGGAGGTCTGATCGATTTCATGAACACCCGACTGCAGAACCGCCTGACTGAGCCGGAGATCGTCAAGATCTTCGCGGATGTTGCCGAGGGCGTCGCCTGTATGCACTACCTTAAACCCCCGCTGCTGCATCGGGACCTCAAGGTGGAGAACGTCCTGATCTCCCGCCATGGGGGCACGACCTACTATAAGCTCTGCGATTTCGGGTCCGCGGCGCCCCCGCGGCCGGCTGCCACGTCGGCCGCTGAGGGCCGTCTGATCGAGGATGACGTTCAGCGCCACACGACGTTACAGTATCGCAGTCCCGAGATGATCGACGTCTACCGCAGGCAACCCATTGACGAGAAGAGTGATATCTGGGCGCTGGGGGTTCTTCTCTACAAGCTGTGCTACTACACCACCCCGTTCGAGGAGGTTGGCCAGATGGCGATCCTGAATGCGAGCTACAAATTCCCCAACTATCCGGTGTTCTCGGATCGTCTGCGGATGTTGATCTGTTCGTCCCCCCCCAGCAAAGCCTGCGTGGCTTCAAAGCTAATGCTTGGCAGCGTGGATGTTGAAGGAAAACCCGCAAAAACGGCCGAATATCTATGAAGTCTTGCGCGAAGCCTGCCACATGCAAGGAAGGGATGTTCCCATCAAAGACGTAAGCACTCTCTGCTCATATCCCCATCCCCACCGTATCTCACCCCCGGACAGATCTATGCCCACCGCTCCAAATCAGAGGCCCGTCGGTACCAAGAACTCCCCTCCCCGACGGACAAACCGCAGGTGGGGGCGGTCTTCTCCCCGCCGGTCCAAGAAACCCATATCATCCCCGAAATCGCCCCGATGCGGCGAGGTCGTCCCACCCGTCCCAGCGACTCGCAGCAACCCTCGGCTCATGCCACCCCGTCTCCCTACCGTGGCTCCGCCGACCCCTTTGCGGTCTTGGACGGCGGCAACAGGTCGCGCAACTCCACCGACGAGTTCACCAACCGGTTTCCGTCGTTGGACCAGTTTGACATTCTGCACGAGAAAGGGGACAAGTTTGAATTTGACGCTACCGTGGCGGAGTCCAAGGACGATGACGGACTGTCGCAGCGCCTCACCAACGCCCTGGCCGATGACGCCTTTGCCAAGCACCCAGTCTCGGGCCGGGAATCCGAGGCCCCGGCCCATAGGCGCCGTCAGCCATCCCCAGCGAAGAAGCGCACCGAGGAGTCGCGCGAGGAACCCTCGCGGTCTGCAGTCCCCCTCTACCAGCCTGTGCCGCACAAGCCCGCGATGGTGTCGACGGGCACCATGACTTCCCCGCCGGAGACGCCGCCTGCCCTGCCGGAGTCCCATTCCCGCAGTCGACCGATCTTCCGGTTCGCCTCGTCGGACAGCCAGCGGCGACCGGCCAGCCAGCAGTGGGCTGCCGAGGAAGAGGAGGAAGAGGTGCGGCCGCCCCTTCCAGCGCGAGTGCCGTCGTCGCGCCTCGAGCCCCTCCCGCGGAAGTCGGCGGAGGGATTGTCGAATCTCCCGGCCTCCTCGCGACCGTCGTTCGAAGCGCTGCGGCCCTCGGCGCGGGATCTCGACGACCATGTCGGCCGGTCCAAGTCGGCGAACAGCGGCACGTCGCGGCCGGTCTCCATGCAGGCAGGCCCCCGGCTGGAGATGCCTCGGGCGTCGGACAGCGCACGCTCGTCCCTGGACCGCCCGCGGTCGCCGTACGAGATCGGGGAGCCGCGGACGGAGACCGAGCGGGCCAACATGTCGGACATTGAGTACCTGCGGGCGCGGGAGGAGGAGGAGTCCAACCGCAAGCGCGAGAAGCGCCACAGCGCCAACTCCAAACATGCGAAACGGTCCAGCCTCTCGACCCTGTCCCTCGCCAACACCAAGACGATCTTCGCCGGACGATTTGGCGACGCCTTCCGCCGTTTCGAGCAGACCGACGGCAAGGCGCAGTCGCCTGCGGGCGAGGAACCACACCCGAAATACCCGGTGACGGTGAACACCGAGGAGGTGACAACGGTGACCGCCCCTGGCGGCGCCCTCGCCGACGACTACGACGAGGACGACGACGATGACACCGACATCTCACCCGAGATGCGCCGCGAGCTAGAACGCCGGCGGCTCTCGCAGGAGGAAAAACGCGTGGCACAAGCGGCAGCCGAATACCGCCGGCAGGTAGCCGAAGGCGGCGCAGTCACGCGGGATCCCTCGTCGCGCTCATCCGCCATCCAGAATCGCGTGCAGTCCCTCCTCAGCGAGGGCCACAAGCCCCCGCCGCCGCCCAAGACCGCCACCGGATACGGACGGTTCACGGAGGAGTCGACCCCCGTCCCGCACCCGGCTTTGCAGGCAAAGCCAACCTCGAACCCCTCCTCCGCCGCCGACTCCCGCATCCATACCCGCAGCGCTCTCCCATTCTACACCACCACCACCACCTCCACCACCTCCCCGTCCGCCCACCGCGGCGCAGCCGCAGCAGACACGGTCTCCCCCCTCCCCGACCGCTGGGAAGGGCCGCCCGTCCTCCCACGCCAGGAAACAGCCACAACGCAGCGCACAGGCTCCTCCACCTCGCGTCCGCCCGCCCCGCCCAAGCCCAAGAATCTGCGCTCTGACCGGCCCACCAGCCGCGACAAGGATGACGCCGTCTACAACGTCGATGATGATAACAACCCGGGCGACAGCCCCTGGGAAGCGAACTTTAGTCGACGATTCCCGAGCCTGGCGGGGCTGGAGATGGTGGAGACGGAGATTGAGATTCCGCGGATGGCGAGTCTCCGGACGAAGGAGGTCTAATACTTTACTATTTATATTATATTATATTATACATACACATACATATACACATACTTTTTTATAGACTTTTATAATGCTGTGTGTATAGATTCCGATAGATACTTGGATAGTGGGTGTAGTGATGGTGGATTAGTACGTATGGCAAGCTTATATTGGTTGACATCTACGCCGGAGAAGATAAGCAGACAGTGAAAGAAAAGATAAAAGAGAAATAAAGATTAGTAGGTAGTTTTCTACTGCGTTTCCATTTTCTTCATGCATTTGATGTAGTTCATTATTGTTTTTATCCATTCCATTCTATTCCACATGGTGAATATTGTCCTATCCTATCCTATTCTGCATGCATTAATTTCCAACCCGACAAGACAGAGCTCAAGTAAGTAACATAAGATAAAATCGAGCCAAAGAGAAAAAAAAAGTGAAATGAACCGTAGTGAAATGTTTAGATAGAATCGAGGAAGATAACGCCGACCAGCCAGTCCCATAGGTTGCGACCAGAACACAAGATGAGATGAAATAAAAAAGATAACCCCGATCGTAGAAATCAATGCCCATCCATATTGACAGGTACTGAGTTGCTTCCTCTCTTTGTATCTTAGTTTTCCGTGAAGAAAGAAAAAGGGAAAAGGAAGAGAAAGCCATGTAGACAACATGACAGATGACAACGTGTAGACGATCGATAGATGATAGATAGATACCACAGTAGCATGGCCAAAATGAAAATGAAAATGAAGATTAAAGAAATGAAATGAAATAGGAAAAGTCTATCAGGTGCATAACAACAGCTAGTATCGATCAATCAGTCAATCAATCAATCGGTCAATCAGTCAGTCAGTCAGTCATTCGTAAGGTACCGGTGCCGCGGCAGCATAAGCCTCTGCCCTTTTTGTTTTGGTTCTTTTCGTTCGTTTTTTTCTTTATCGGATTTAGACCTCTGGTCCAGGTACCATCCACAGGACGGTATGATGATGTAGATGCAATATATGCAGGGATATCAAAGAAGAGGAGGAGAATCGGAAGAAGAGGGAGATGAAGTTTAGAAGGGGAATCCGCCGAAGCCGCCGCCGCCGCGCTGGCCGCCCGCTTGAGCGAACCCGCCGCCGCCGTTCATCATGTTGAACAGGACGCTAGGGTCGATGTTGACGCTCTGGCCTCCCATTCCTCCCATTCCTCCCATGCCACCCATGCCACCACCGAAGCCGCCACCGAAGCCGCCCATGCCGCCACCGCCGAACATGTCGGCCGGATCCATCAGGTCGTCGCCATTGTCGTAGGCCGCGCGTTTCCTGGTATCGTTAGTATTGGAACTATAAATTTGTTCTAATTTAAGGGAAAACATACTGAGGATCGATCAACGTCTCGTAGGCTTCTCCCACCTCCTTGAACTTCTCGTCGCACTTCTGGTCGTTCTGGTTCTTGTCCGGGTGGTACTTGATCGCCAGCTTGCGGTAGGCCTTCTTGATCTCGTGGTCGGACGCATCCTTCTCCACGCCCATGATCTTGTAGTAGTCCTTACGCTGGGCCTTCTTGAGCTCGAGCTCGGCCCGGCGGATGTCCTCCTGGATGCCCTTCTCGGTGGGGTTGGCCTCGGCCACGGCCTTGTAGTCGCGCGCGGCCTCCTCCCAGTTGCCGGCGCCGCCGTAGGCCTTGGCGCGCACCTTCTGGGCCTTGGTGTAGCCGGGTTCGAGACGGAGGGCCTCGGTGCAGTCGGCGACGGCCTCGTCGTAGGCCTTGAGGTTGATGTGGGCCTGGGCCCGGTTCTGCAGGATCTTGGCGTTCATGTCCTTGTTGGAGGGGTCGACGGCCAGCGCCTCGGACCAGCGGTCGATGGCGCCGCGGTAGTCGCGCACCTTGAAGGCGGCGTTGCCGGCCTCCTTGGTGCGGGTCAGCTTCTGGACGAGGCGCAGCAGACGAATGGCCTGCTTCATGTCGGGATCCAGGCCCAGCACCATCTTCAGCACCTTGAGCGCCTGGTCCGTGTCGCCCATGGCGTAGAAAGCGCGGGCACGGATCAGCATGGCGTCGGGGTCCTGGCTGTTTTCCCGCAGCAGGTTGATGGCGATGTCCTGGGCCTTGCCCAGCGAGTTGTCGTTGGCCAGCTTCAGCTGGCCCTCGGCGGCCAACAGCGACCACGCGCGCGGCTCCTTGACGCCCGAGCCCAGCAGCTGGCGGGCCTGGTCCAAGCAGAAGAGCACCATGGAGATGCCGCGGTCCTCGCGCAGGGTCTCCTGGGCCTGTGTGACAAAGCGCAGCATCTTCTCCGCGGTGGCCTTGTCCGTGGCGGAGGCGGGGGGCTCAATGCGGTTCAGAACCTCCAACGCCTCGGCGGGGCGACCCAAGCTGGTCAGGATACGGGCGAGACGGTAGAGGATCTTGGAGTTGGCGGGGTCAAATTCCCGAGCACGTTCACAGTCGGCCAGGGCGTTGGAGTATTTATGGGCGCTCATGTAGGCGGCGGCGCGGTTGGAGAGGTAGACGGGAGAGGAGGGGTTGATCTCGAGGGCTAACGTTCGTCAGTACCATATTTGAAAAAAGGAACGTATCAAGAACATTGGATGAGAAATGGATGAAGCGCCATACCCTTAGAGAACTCCTCGATGGCCCGGGAGTAGTTGCCATCCTTGAAAAATTTGTTACCGGCGAGTTTGAAGGAGTCGGCCTCGGGGGTGTCTCCGTTGGAACGGTGAGGCGGGGGCGTGGGGGATCGGTTCTGGTTGACTCCGTTGGTGTCGGTGGAGGGGGTCTGAGGGTCCACGTCCATGGAGCTGCGGGCACCCGATGAGGCCATGGCGGATAATCGACGCAGCTCGTCAGGCGGAAGGTTGAGCGGATGAAGATCGGGGTCCCGACGTTTCCTCCGGGTTAGTGATTTCTTCGGTTTCTGATAGGGCGGCGGATTGGTCCAATGTCGAAACCGGTCCACGGGAGGCGCTGTCGGGGTCGAAGCGGATCGAAGGTGGGCGTAAGAGGGGGAGGAAGGGGTAGTCGAAGGAGCAGGCGACGCCGCAAGAGGAGGATGGCGGGGAGGAGAATTCTTCTTCTTCTTGGGAGGAGAGGGAGCGGGTTTGCGAGGGGGGATCGGAGGGGGAGAAGACGAGTAGGGAGGAGGATGGGGAGGATACGAGGGAGGTGGCGGAGCCGAGTGACGATTGGAAGACGAAGAAGAAGAAGAATGTAGAGGAGGAGGAGGTGAGGATGAAGATGGCGATGATTTCTTGGAGCGGAAGAAAAGCGTCGGCAAAAGTTGGACCATGGTCGCTGATTGGTCGGGTCCGGATCGAAGGACAGCGAAGGCGGTGGAAGATTACCTAAGCATATATCTCGCTTCTCTATCGGTCAACGGGCAACTGGCGACTGGCAACTCTCATCAGAACTGGACAGCAACTCGACATGGAACAGACGGGGGAGAATGGATTATACAGGAACGATGGAGTTGAAGAGGTCATGGCCGGCTGATGGCTATCGATTTAATTCAAGAGGCTGGAGGAATCCGTGTCCGGACGATGTTTTAGCTGCATACTCGGCCACTCCACCGCTTCTCTTCCTTTCCCTCCACTTCGATCGGTTTGCTGCCATTTTCTTTTTTTCTTTCGTCTTTTTTTTCTTTCCTATCTCTTTTCGACCAGGATTGCCAGTCGAAGCGATCTTTGTGACCTAGAAAGAAGACGGTCTGGATGGATAATGGTTGAGGTGACATTTTCTCATTCGTCACATTTCCAAGAACCCATCCGGACGATCATCAACCTCGTCACGTCAACCCAACGGAAAAAGAAAAACACAGCCAAATAGAAAGGCAGAGAAACCGAAACAGAAAAAGGAAAATCATGAACAGACCAAGTTGTTACCTGTCATTGGCCCCTACAATCCACTTCCACCCAACCAATGGTCTTGGTGCTGCACAGCCAGATCAACACCCCCCCAATCAATGACCATCGTCCGTCGCCTCCACATCTTCTTCCTTCTTCACAGTCGGGGAAGAAGTCGGCGTCAAGATCTCCTCCAGCTGTAACGTCGTCTCCATCTTCTCCACCAGGGACTGAACCGCCGTCTTGATTTGCGTCTGGGACGCCGTCGCCTGCTGGATCTGTGGTGCCACCAGCGCCGCGTGGTAGTCGCGCACCACCCCGGTGAACGTGGTTTCGATGCTTTGCAGCTGCGAGTCGCTGTTGCGCTGTAGCGTCGCCAGATCCGAAATCAGACGTAGCGTGCTGTGCTGGAACACTGCTTGGCTGCGGGTTCGCGCCGTGTCGGACATGATCCTCTGGATCCGCCGCAGGGTCCCCCGGCCTACGTGGGTCAGTGAACCCTATCCATATCCTTTCTGGACATAATAGTAATAAAAATAATCCCAAAAGTAAGAAAGGAATAAACGTACCATACTGGTCCGCACACGCCTGGTAAGTCCCTCTCAGTCCCTCCGCAATGCTCTCCGCAAACCCTCGGTGCGGGTCCTTGGATTCGTTGCGGATCCCCTCCTTCGTCATCTGGAGGTGCTGTGCGATACTCTCGGCCGTAGCTCCCTTGATCCTACCCAGTCGCTGGTCGACCGATGCCGGAATGCTGTCAACGGAGGCCAGTGCGGCTGTGTGGAATCGGCGGAGAGACCGGTCCAGCTCGTGCTGCAGGTCCAGCGTAAGCTGCGGCACCACTTCGTCAAACACAGCCCGCCACGCAGCGACCAGCCTTCTCAACGCCAGATTCGCCAATTCCTGGTTGAGGTTGTGTCGGCAAAACACCCCGTCTCCGCGGCAAACAGCTTGGTATGTGTTATATCTCATGGTCGTGTTCCACCGACGAACCGCCCCGGGGAACTTCTCCTGGCCTCGGGCAATGACGTCCGCTGCATCGTGGTCAGTGAGGTCGATGCATGTGGTGGGGGAGGGATAATTCACGTACGAATTCTGGCTGCGATCACTACATCGATGGCTTGTTTGAGATTCTGTCCGAAATGGGCTCGGTGTTTCTGCCATGCCTGCACCGGTCAGTCTCGCCTGACAGATATCATCTTCAGTCATAAGGAGGGGAAACGTACTTCTTCCAAATCTTTAGCAGCCAGTGTAAAGTCCACCTCAATAGCACGACGCTGCTCCTCCGACAACTCCGCTGCCAACGGGTTAGGCGTCGTCCACACCGACAACGACTGCAGCAGACGGTTAAGTTCCACAAGGAACCGCCGCGCCGCCGCCTCGCGCGCCCGCTCCGTCAACGAGATACAATGCTGCTGCAACTGGGGAATTTCAGTCTGCTTGAGCGTCGTGAATCCCTCGACCACCGACTCTTTAGGCATGCGGCCCTGCATCCACTGGTACGCGCGGGTCGACACGCAGAACACCGGCAACTGTTCCTCCGCCGCACGGTAATCCCGCGCTGGTCGAGACGGTGACTCGTACAGCTCCTGGTCCGTCTCTCGCAGGATCTGGACAAACCCACGCTTGAGCTCCTGCTTGGAGTATGCGTTGCGCGCCTCTATGCACTGCCGTTTTGCCTGCTCCTTGCGTGCCTTGTCCTGCATGTCCAGGGCGTGCAGCTCCTCCTCGGCCGTTGTCACCTCCTGTCGGAGCCGCTTCCGCCGGGCGTTCAAATTCTTCTGCTTGCTTTTGACAGACGCATAATGCGCACTTAGCTGTTCTGTGCTTGATTGCTTCGGCGTTTGCCTAGAGACGGGGGAAGCTCCCGCGGTTGGGAACACATCGCCCTCGGGAGTCGCAGAACCGGGTAAAGTGATGTCGCTATGCTTTCTCTTGTTGGGCGACGTTTCCGACAGGTCGGCCGGGGCCTCCGCCAGCTGCGCCTCGAGCTTCTCCACGTTGTCGTCCACGGTCTCCAGTGCATCCCGTATGCTGTCCCGTTTCATGCACAAGTCTGTCAGTCGCGCCTGGAGCTCCTGGCGCCGGGTCGACCGGTCCTGACCTGACTCGGTAGCCGACTCCTCCAGCCCCAGCGACTCCTCCACCTCGCGGATGGAAATGTCATCAGTCTTGGTGCAGATAAAAGTGATGTCGTTGAACGCGTTGTCCATATGCATCTGCATCCGGGAGCTATCGTCCAGCAACTCATGCGCCACCTTATCGTCGACCGCCCGATTAATCGGCGCCACGACCCAGTGCGCAGCACATCGCTTCTTGTACTCCAGCGACACGGCCGTGCGCCCCGCATTCGAGTCATAAACACCCGGCAAATCAACCAGCACGGCACCGGTCGCCAGCACAGCGGACTTGAGAAACACGCGGACAACCCGAATCAGCGGCCAGATACCGCCCTCATCCGTCTCCCCCTTCCCCGCCGTCTTCTTCTTTCCCTTCGCCCGACTATCAATATAAGCCCTCAGCTTCTTCGAAAACAACTTCACATCATCCCCCTCCAGCACAACCCTCCCTCCCAACCTCTCCCGCAACGACGACGAAGCCATCAACTCCCCCACCTCCACACCAAGCACATCCCCCGCAGTCCTCAAACGCGGATACACAGCACGAATCTTATCCAGCGCAACCGCCGCCTCCGAGTCACTCGCAACCTGCCCCACAGCGACAGCATCCTCCTCCGCCCGCAAAGCCTGCTTCAGCGCGACAAGCTCCCTCTCCCACTCAGCAGCGCTCACGAACTCGATCTCCGCGCGGTACCGCACGGCGTTGTCCGCGTTGTACGCGATCTCGATTGCCACGGCTGTGGCGGCGCGCATGCAGTTCGTTGTCAGAATGCGCTCTTCGTCTGTGATTGCGTTGATCAGGGACGATTTGCCGGTGCCCGTGTTTCCAGTGACTGCGATGTAGACTTTGGGGGGTGTGGCTAGGGTGGTGATTCTTGTGGCTTCGTCAGCCCAGGTGGCATCTGTGGTGGTGTTTTGGAGGAGGGCGTGCAGCTCGTGCAGGAGTGGGAGGCTGCGCTGGACTGTCTCTTCGAGGGTGGTGAGGGTAGTTTTTGCCTCTGTCTTTGTATCTTTGCCTGCGCTTGTATCTGCGCCTGCACTGGCACCGTCGTACCTCGCCCCGATAGTCAATTGGCTCTCGCACGACTTGGAGAGTTTCTCAGCCGTAGCAGCTGTAGTTACCGAATTCAATCTCTCCCTGAAAGTAGTAACTGCACATATCAGTATATCAACACGGCTTTCTCTTTATCTCTCTTTCCATTTCTTTCCCTCAGGGAAAGAAGAGGATTAAAAAAAGATATACACACCAGAAACCACCCCAGAGACATCCCCATAAACCGACACAGCCAGCTTCTCATACCGCCCCATCTGCAGCCCGTAGCCCACAGACATGAGTAGCAATCTCGCTTTGGCGAGAAAGACATCCCTCAGGATTGGGGTTAGGGCTAGCCATCTTTCATTGGGGACTGGTTTTGGTTCTATTATTGTTAGAGTTGTGCGTATACTATACCTTACTCCAAATCCGCAAAGTGGAAAGGGATATATGGCTGGAATGATACACCCACACCCACACCGGCACTCTGATATCTAACGAGGATGGAAGACAGAAGAGGGGGGAAGGGGAGATAGTAGATTATTACTCACCGACAGGCACCACACTAGAGGTATTAAGACCAGATGCAGACACAGAAGTAGGTGAAGAGAAGAGGCCAGGATGGAAGTTACCATGCTCGATGCTGTGGAGAAGAAGGGCGATTTTCTGCTCGAGGTGGTTTTCATCCTGGGTCGTGTCCATTTTATGGTTTCTTATTTGCTTTATCTCTTGGTTTGTCCTTCGAGGGTAGTAGGACTTCCCTGGGGACTGTTAGTTGATGGTTTTCTCGGGCTTAGAAGTGGTAGATGGTGTCCAAGTACTGTGAAGTTACTCCGTATGGAAGTAGGGTGAGTTGATGGATGAATATGTGGGTTGATGGATTACAATTAGATGACAAGTAGTAGATAGGAGATGGATAGTAGAGCAGAGAAGAAGAGAAGAAGAGAAGGAGAGGAAGAAAAAATCAACAGAAAAACAGTCATCGCCGAGACGAATATCTCGGCGAGCTTTAGGTATTCACAGGTTGTGATGATGTCGTGCTGTTTCGTGGTTATTGTTGTTGTTGATATTGTTGACAGACGTGAGAGTAGGAACAGGTGTCGTTTGTCTGCTTGTCATTATATTCACTATATACTCAAATGCTATCATGAGAGCATATGTGATGGTTTATTTTGAAATATTATTGAATTCATTTGCTAGATGGGATATCACAACTAGTAGTATAAGAGTATATGGCTTAGGGCTAGACTTGGAAAGATAGGTAGTAAAACTGATATTAATCAAGAAAGCACACAACTAGTTGAGAACAATAGCATCTAAGAACTAGATATTATCTCGACCTCAATAGAAAGCGTCACTATCCATAGAAAAAATAGAAGATGGTCTTATGTTGATAATATGCATGGCTGATAGGGGCAAACGATACTTCCTTGGATAGTAGAATAACCTGTTAACAACCACTACACAATAAATGAATTTAATATCAACCTAGTATCATCATAGGAATGCGACTAGAATTAAGAACCATACTATGTCTAAGATCGCCTGTAGCAGACTGGATCTTTGAACCATGCACCCTGTAGACTTTTGTACATGCTCCATTTTATGCTGCATGCCAAGATACTAGGGTTGATATATGAACAGGGGGGTGATCTGTATCCAGTATCTATGGGTTTCCTATCCGATCAGGAGAAATAAAAAGACGAAGATGTACACACCATAAATTTACAAAACAATAAACCTGTTGTGATAGTCATACCTAAACCCGCAATATACCGGCTAATTTCACTAGACCAGCTCTCTCTTGGAGAAAGCTTCCTTTAAATCCATCGGTTCAACCTCATTTCCATTGTCAAACATCCAATCAGTCTATCCAGCTAGATAACACATCGCTAAATTTTTATTCAAAGACAACATGTTATCCTATATATTCAGATTACCTTCCCTGCAGCAGAAACAGCAAGCATCCCACTTATTCTCCACAGCAGCATATACCAAACATTTCAGCAGGAGATAAACGCGAGAGCGCAGGATTCTTTCAAGAGAAGCCCTATCCTACAAGCAGCTCCAATCATATCACAACCAACAAGCCTCCCCAAAGTCAGATATAACCAAACCCGCATCAGAAGCAACATCCCACTGCGGCAGGGTAGCAGAACAGAGTCTAAAAATACTCCTCGCACCGCAGATGAGTCTGGCGCTGACACACCGCCTAAAAAACTAGTTCGTAATGCACTGTGGTGCCAGAGTCCACTCCCCGTACTGCTCACGGACACATCGTGCGCGGCGCAGAACGGCGCAGACGTGCTTGTCTACGCGGCGGAGATGCTGCGCAGCGGCGTCTCCAAGGCCTAAGAGAGCCCTGCGCGGGATTTCTGGAGGAGCGACCACCAGATGGGGGTCTTCAATGGCACGATAAATGTATAAATGGAATTATATGGTGGTAAGAAGATGGACATTAGGATTGGGGGCGGTTTGGGGGTGGCTTCTTGTGCTGAGGCTAGCAGCGCTGGGGATTACTAGCGGAAGCCATGTACTTTATGGGGAGCGGTTGGAGATTACTTCTGATTGTTGATTTATTTTTGATTTTGGTCAGATTTACACTGGGAATAGTTCGTAAATCGTGTGCTCGTTTACATAGTGGGGCGTGTCCATGGCTATGGCTATGGCTATGGTAAAGGGTGATCGAACATCATGCTCTCTAGAATTGACTCCATAACAGGACATAAATAGATTCTTTTATACACCGCTAATAACAATCATAAGCAGTAAAGAACACACGCGATAAGTAAGCAACCAACAACAACAATAACAATACCAACATCACCTAGGTAATCAGCTAGGTAATCAACCAACAAACACCCAACCCCCACTAATCCATCAATCGAAATAGAAAATGCTCCGTACCGCCCCTCCTAATAATAAAGATGATCGCCCACAGATCTTCATCTAACAGTGGAGCCCAAGCGATCAACACGACTACGACTCGTCTTCCCTTTCAGTTCGGGCTCGGTTTCCACTATCTGCGCTATGCTATGCTAGGTTATTTCTATCAGTTAGTATTTATTGAGCTAGGGAAATAGATAGACACACGAGTCACGAGTCACGACAGATGAGGGAAATGAACACGAGGCTTGAGAGGGGGCGTAACCAGGTAGTTATAGTGTCTTACTCAGACTATGGGGTGCTTGACTAGTTGGCTAGCTACTCTCGGCTCAGCCCCTGCTCAGGCCTGTCGGTGAGCCGTAACATGTGAGGTCTCAATATAGCTTTTTTGTCTTTCGATGTCGAGTTGTATGTGTAGGTAGGTAGAATATTGAAATTTTTGTTAAAGAAGTTATGTATGTATGTACATTTGAAGGAGAAAAAAATAACACCACCGCCAAGTAATACAGCCAAAAACAGGAAGGAAAAAGCAAATGAAAGAATGAAAGAAACCGCTATTCATCGCTCGTAGACATCATCAGAATAGATCAGTACTACCCAGTACATAGACACAGGTAGTAATAGTACATATTGTACAGAATACTTCCACTCTCTTTAGAGAAAAGCCAGAAATAAAAAGTTAGAAAAGATCATTCAACCCGATTGATCCTCCTCGCCACAGCAGCCCATCTCGACGACCCCCTTCTCCCCTCGCGTCCTCCCCCACCGCCGCAAAAGCCGCCGCCACCAGTTCCCCCCGCCTCGTGCGGCAGCGGCGGGAGCGGGCGATCGTAGATGTGTCGCTCGTACGGTGGAGGCGGTGGCGGTAGCAACATCGCCGCGGGGAGCGACATGTCCGCCACGTCCAGCACGGCGCTGTCGCGCAGTCTGGGCGTGCGGTCGACGGCGTTCATGTGTGCTGGGGTGGAGGAGGAGGCGGATGAGGTGGTGCTTTCCATGGAGCGCGAGTGCGCCAGGGTGGGGTGGCTGGCCCAGCATGGTCTTGATACCGGTGATGCGGGGGCTGAGTTCACGAAGACCCAGATGTTTTCGCTGTCGAGCCAGACGAGTTGCTGGTGGGCGCTGCTTTCGCTGCGGCTGTGGCCGTGGCTGGGTCGGGAGGATCCTGCTCCGGAGGGAGAGAGCGTCCGTTGGGGTGGACGGTGGGAGAGGTCGTCGTGGTCGTTGTGGAGGGTGTTGCGGCTGCTGGGGCGCGAGTAGGTCGTTTCCCAGAGGGTTTCGACGCCGCTCCAGCTGGGGGTGGATTGTTGTTGGGTTGGGGGCGGGTGGTAAGTGTGCTTGTTGGGGATGGGGACGGGGCTGAGATCCCAGGTGATGTCGGCGGGGAGGTTGAGGTCCAGTTGGATGCGTGGGATGTGTTGTGCTGCAAGGTCGGCATCGTTGAAGGGCGAGATGGGTGGTGAGGGGGATTCGCTCAGGCGGGTGATTGGGATTGGGGGGCCTTCGAGGGAGGAGAGATCCATTTTGAATTGAATAGTCTCTTCGTTTCTTTCCTCCTGATATATCTTCTCCCTCTGTTCGTTTGTTCTGTTGACCTGACTGGTGTGAAATTGAAAAAAGTGGTTGTGGACGGTGTGGTCGTCTGTCAGTGTGTATTATAAGGTGATCATGGCCGGGCAAGAAGCGTCATCCCAGTGAGGATCAGTTTGATGGATCGTAGAAGGATGTAGTTGTGGATGCAGTTGTGGATACAAGCCGGCAGGTCTCAATTCCGGTCAATGATGAGGGAAATTCCACCAAGTTGTACGTATACCCTTCTATAAGCCGTATAAGTATACGCGTTTGCAGGTTGGGAGCGTATACAATAGTATAAGTAAGGTAAGGCAAGGCCCAACGCAGAACGCCTATAGTATCAAAGGATCAGGCAGTGCAAACAAAAAAACAATGGCCACAGCCAAGCACCAACAATAAAATAATATTGAGCATCGCCATCGACTATAATCGCCATCCAACAACACACAAACCCCCAGCATGCGCCCCTTTTTTATTTTATTTTTTTATTATTCCCACCTTTCGAGTTTTCAATATTTGTTTTACTCGTTTCACTTCCCCCCCCAATTCCTTTATTCGGTAGACTAAGGGTCGACACGAACCCGTCCTTTTCCCCGTTCGGTACAAAACTGGGGGGATTCCCACCGGGCAGTCCGACGAAGGATCAAATGGAAAACACCAGTAACTACTCCTTCGAGTCTAGTTTTGTCCGTGGACAAAATGATTTCCGTGACTGCTCACCTACCGAGGGTGGCTTGTCAGCGGGGTTCCCCGCGATCGTGTCGTGTCTTGTTTGGAGGCGAAGTTGAAAGGAGAGACGGCAATAGTACTACGTAGTAGGTATGATACAAGATGGGGTTATGGATCGGAGTGACCGACGGAGGTCGTACCACATCACGTCATGTTCAAAGGATCGGGGTCAAAGGATTGAAGTCTTTGTTAGTATATTTGCCTTTGTATATCATCAAATCCCCATGTAAATCCATTGTATGCAACTACATATGAAAGCATTGATATGACCGTAATTACATTTATGGAGGTACATAATATAATGAACAAAGAAAGCAGAGTAAGACGAGTGCCTCATAAGCATATACCTGAAAGAGCATTTCGTCGTCAACGAGGGAAAGAAAGCCAAGACCCTAACGCGACACAGCCACGGCAGTGCCCCTTTCGGCGCAGCCCTACCGACAGTATTCCCCGATGGGTCCGATCCTTTGATGGGCGGATGGCGGATGGCTAGCGGATGGGCGGAACTAATGATGATAATGATTATTTCTTATTATAGTCGGTCATCTTGTTCTGTTTACAGGGACCATCGCACATTAGGGGGCGAGTCAGATAGTTACTATGATGACACACTGTGTATCCGTGCTTGGCTGGTTTATTTGCTGGGTGTCCCGGGAACGACTTCTAGAAGAAGGATGGAAGATTCTTCGGTTAGATCCAGCATTCCAGATCTGGGTTTGTTGTGATCCTGTCATTACTCAATAGTGCGGTGACAGGAAGAGGGGTGAATAGGGTTCGGGGTGATATATCTCGCCTATGGTCTAGTAGGTTTAGCAACGTCGATGAAACATCCATGCGATGAACTATCAAATACCACCATCACTACTACTACTATTACTGCTACCACCACCACTACCATTGTCACTACTACCCCTCTCCCCTCATACTATTGTAAGTATAACCACGATGACCCCGTACATCAAAGCAAAGTATCAGCTGGACAGACCCAAAAGGATGCCAACTGAGCCTCGCTACCAAAGGCGACCCCTCCTGCAAAGGATCAGGATCCATCCATTCAGCCTGCGTTTCTCAGTTTGGCACAGTCCTCCTCAGAAAAACGAAATTACCTCCGTGCACACACATGGCACCGAAAACATAAACAAAATAGACAAATCATAACATGAAACAAGCCTTCAAACATCACCACTTGACTAGTCGCATCACAAGGCATTAGGGTAGGGTAGGCTCTGTGCGATAGACAGCTCAGCTAAGGTTGACGGGCAAATCACAGCAATCCCCTAAACGGTAATAACTGACCATTTTCCGCAGATGGCACTACCTGTCAAGTGATCTTCTTGTGATCTGACCCCCAGACAGTCACTGTGGTCGACGGGATTCTAATCCATTTGCCTGCTTGGGTAGTAGTTAAGCTGGAGGTTGAAAGTAGGGCGGGCATTAGGTTTGACTACATTTACCTAGAGAGGTAAATATGAACGATCTGGTACTGCGGCTAATCTCCACCTGGCAAGGCACCCTGCCAGGCGGTAGTGGTAGGTAAACTAAGCAGGGTACGGCAATGTCACCATCACTTTCAATCTTCCCGCCCAGCCCACAATCGAATGAATGGAGTGTCTGATGGTCTGACCCCACTAGCTAACTAGCAGGCCACCTTAGAAGTAAGTAAGCAGGAATATATTAACCCTGCAACAGGATCACTCTGGCGGTGAATGTGGAAATAACATCTGTCACTTACTACTCTATTCAAGACCGCCTCCCTTAGCCTGGTAGATAACAACATCCTACCCTACCTTATTTTTTTTCTAGACGGGTTGAGCACACAATGCACACATTAAATGGTGTTTTGATCATTTCAGGTTGCATAACCACAAACTACTTTATTGACTACATTAACAGTTCGTGGAATACCAGCATTAAGGTAGCCGGTCCGGGTGTTGACTGTCCGAGTGTCCGAGAATCTTACCCTAATTGGGTAGGGGAGGGATATTCAGGGGGGGACAATGGGTAGAGTGAGACGAGTGAGACGAGCCTGCACTGCTGTGCTGCGCTCCTCGCAGCCTTGCCTTGCCCCTTGCCTTCCAGCTGACGAGTCCATGCATCTGTTTCTACCTGATACTGTGTACCACGTACTCTCTACTAGATAATAATGAGAACTACCTCATCAATTCGATAACATAGAATTAATTATACAGACCGAATAAAATCATACAAATAAAAGGTATATGTTAGAAAGAGAATAAAAAGATAATTGGAAATTGCCCCTACAGGAAGATTGTGAAAGCGTTCATGGTTTACATTAAATCGTATCCAACCAGCCAGGCTTGCTCGAGCATGCTTCACACAAACTCCTCCGAAGCAGTCCGAATAGGACATTTCCAAAGATCAAGAAAGGCAGAAAAATAAAAAGTAAGAGATATAAAAAAAAGATATCAGGCAAAGAATCGGATTATACTTTCCTCCAAACCACAAGGTTCACAACAACACAAAAAAACGAAAGCTAAATAACATACCCCCCTCGTCCGCTCTCCTATCCACATCTCTCCCTATAAACACAACTCCACATTCACTTGGTCCTGGACAAGTTCTCCCCGCCGGGGTATATAGCGAGGTTCAAGGCCCAGACTCAAACTGAGAGGGATCCCGGGGTTACACTATAGACACGAAGGGAATCTAAGCCAGGAAGAAGGCGGCGGCGGCGGCGGCGCCAGCAAGGCCGAAAGAGCCGCTGACGGTGTTGGCAGCGCCGGTGAAGAGGGAGCCAGGGGCGGAGGTGGAGGGACTAGATATTTATTAGTTGGGACAGTTTGAGAGTAGATGGGAGATAGAATACTCACGTCACGCCACCGCTGGGGATAGCACCCGCAGCAGAGGAAGAAGCAACGCCGGTGGGGACGACGGGGACGGAGGGCTTGTTGCCAGCGGGCTTGGTGGGAGCGGGAGCAGAGACGGTAACGACAACCGGCTTGGAGCTGACCTGGGGCACGCAGGTGGTGAACTTCTGCCACGAGGTGGACAGGGAAGGAGCCGGGGCGCTGGGGGGAGCGGGAGCGCTGGTGGGGGCAACCGGGGGCACGGCCTCGCTGTTGCTGGGGACGCCGGTGCTGCTGGCAACCTCGGAGGCCTCGGAGGAGGTGACGGCCACCGGGGGAGGGTTGCTGGGGGTGACGGCGCCAGCACCCTCGGGGGTGGAGGTGGGGGTCTGGTTACCGGGGCAGTCGGTGACGGTAGGACCGCACGAGGTGATGGTCACATCCTCGGTCTGGTAGACGGTCTCGACGTCTCCGTTGGGGAGGGCAGCGGCAAGGCCGGCGAAGAGGGCAACAGTGGCGGCAGTGAAACGCATTTTGAATGTGATTTTTGTGTTTGATTTGCGGGTTGCAAAAAAATAAAACCGTCAAGGTAGGTTTAAGGTGGGGGTTTGAATTAAAAAGAGAGTGGTGGTAGTTGGGGGTATAAAAAGAGTGACAGACCGAAGTCAAACGCGTAAATGCTTCAAGCAGTAAAAAGTTTGGGGCTTGGGAAGAAAGAACGGATAGAAAGAAAAGATGGAGGCAGACGGGGGAACTGGACACCTTTGTATGGCCTGGGAGATTACCCTGGAGAGATCGTCTCAGGGTGTTTTTTTATTATTATTATTATGATTATAATTATAGTACAGTAAAAAAATGATTAAAAAAAATTATAATAATATAATCTAAAAACCACAGGAAAAGAAGAAAAAAGGGGAGTCCATAGATGGAGACCTTCCCAGTACAACTAGTCAACTAGACTCAAAGTCAATCATCCATTCCCCGATCAAATGATGGAGAGGAATGCGGTGAGTCGTCGGACTCGGTTGACCTCGTGGGATCCGTCTAATGGATCGATGGGATTATCATTGGTGGAGGGAGACGTGGGCAGGATCAACTACGCGATCACTAACTCACTAGTGTCGGGGTTAGTCTGGCGCATGCGAAGTGAGCTGGTGTTGATCTGTCGGTCCTTTGCTCTTTTCAGTCTTCTCAACTCCTTGGAACTTGATGTGCTGTCATGGACTGCTAGACTGGGGGGACAATAGTCTCCCCAGTCTCCTTCAGTCTCCTCATGGGGATGATCCCATAATTTCAGAGTTCTCTGTATCACCTTTTTTTTTCTTTCTTTCAGGTATTACCCTCATCTCACCCTTTGATATTGAATCAGAGACTGCATATATTCCCCTGCAGATAATTCCCCCACTCATTGGACGGATAATATCCTGGTAAGAACAAGTTCATAGTATTCAGGGGAACGGCCAAGCCACCAGACGTTGAACCACCACCCCTCCCCAGTTAGACTTCGTTTCAGGTCCATTACACAGCCAATCACAGTATAGTGAATGGACCAGCAGGATCCGTTCCTGACGCCATGAGCCATTCATGCACCTGGACTCATCCCGCCGTGGGTCTTTGTTTGTGGTTTCTAGACGAATGATCGGAATCCTGGTGGGTCGATATCCACTTCCCCCTGTTTCCTGCTGCCATTTTTATCCTCCTTTCTTTTTTTCTCCTTCTTGACTTTCCTTGACCTTCCTTTCCTGTTGGTGTCTTTCTTTTTTATTTTTCTTATTTTTTTATTATCTAATTGATATTTTTGCTCTATCATCTGAGCCATTGTTAGGTGGGATTGTTCCCTGGCTTTGTCTGTGGCGAATGAACCCAATCCTTACTCGACCAGTCCTCCCGATTACTATCCAATCTGACTCCGTATTCATCTAAATCAAGCCCTATCTCTGGGTATCATCCTGAGCAGCCAATCGACTGATTGAACCAGGCAACCAGGATGCATTTCCACTCGCAATTAGATCCCTCACTGCGGATGACTCCGACCGTACAATACTCGGCTAACCACGATCTCCCTCCGTAGTCCATCCATAGTAACAGACTACAGACTACGTCCAACCGTCCTACATCCTCAATCCTTCATGCACCGTAAAACTAAACTAAACTACCGACAAGCATCCCACGATCTTACCCTATCCAGACACCGTCCCCCGAGACCTAAATCGAACGAGACATCCAGGCGAGAATGCGCCCTGCAGCGCCGCGTAGCGCACGCACGGACGCAGCGGCAGCTTCTCATCTCCGAGCCTTACGCCAACGTATCCATCATCCCTGATAGACAACGGGGGTCTAGAGTCTAGACGCCCGTCGAGGGGGGAAAATAAGGCGTGGTGTGTCGCTCGACTTGCGCCACACTTTTCGAAGCTAAAGCTTATCCCTGTTAGGTTGATATCGTCGTCTGCGTTCTGGGGTCGTGGGATTAAGAATCAGGGGGTGAGGCGTCGGTTGGCTTGCATTCGGAGTAGTCTATGGGGGGTTTTTCCTTTTTTTTTATTCGTTTGTTTTTTGACTTTTAGGGAGTGGCGCTGGTAAGGTGCGGGTACTTTTTGGGCCGTTGTGTTACTTTGACTGATTGATTGATTGTTTGACTGACTAGTGACTAGTAAGTAGGGACTGGTGTGTTGACTGTTGAGGTTTGATAGTGGGTTTACTTTTGGGGGTTGGATATGGGTTCTCAACGCACGGGTGGTGGATAAGAGCCTAGGCTTCGGTTTGGATGTTGGATGTTGTAAAAGGGATTTGGTGATTGCTCGATTATCTCGAATATTCAGGGTTAGAACTCAGGAGGTAGTGTGAATATTCACGTCGTTTGAAAGGCTTCCACCGTCTAGTCGTGACAATCGACAGACTATTGACAGCCACGTGCCGCGTCTAGATATCAGTGCACATACACCGTCGCACCTACAAGGCAGCTAGTAGCTACATCCAACAATGATAATAATTAGATAGCGGTGAACCGCAGTGGGCACTCAACATCCACTGACTACACATCTAGACCGGCTCGTTTTCTCCAGATTCTGTAAGAATCCGGCTAGTTCAAGCGGCTTCTTCGGTCGGTCTTCCAGTCTTCCGTGCGTAGGGGAAGCCGAAAGAGTCGAGGTATACGAAAAGGGGCGGCGGGGGGAGGAGCACGTTCAGGGGTTGACCCAAAATTTTTCTTAATTTTCATCCTTGTTTTTTAACCCTGATTTTAGAATCATATAGTTTGGGGTAGTTGATAGTTTATCTGGGGACAAAAATAGCATACGTCTTGTTGTTTAACTTTGTCTTTAGATAGATATTGGGAAGTTAAGAACAGCGGTCGATAGGAGATTTTTATTGAAAGGAGTGGAACAACTCAATAATATTACTCAACCCTCGTACAGCACACTCGATTCGACAAAAGAGAGGCAAGAAAGAGAGGGGAAAACTGGATTTCCCAATGCCCACATGTGCGAGTCTCCACCGATCAACAGGGGAAGAAAAGAAGTTCGCTCGTCTTTCCCCCCCCTTCTTCTCCAGTAGCCCTGCAGTGCAACAATTGTGATGTGCGCTACTCGGCCGTTTCCAGGTTTGGTAACCATGGCTGCGTTGTTCTTACGACCGTCTTTTTGGTTCATACTACGGATACCTTGGTAGTCTACCTGTTGACCTGGGTATTGGTTAGTTTATCGTGGTGTGTATGGTGTGTCAGGAGTATCTCTTCCTCTAGTCCTAGACACTGGTACTGCCGGTCACCGGTCACGAATTGACAGCCTAACAGTAACTGGGGCGTCGCCAGGAGCGTCGCCTGGGGCCGCCTACCTTTCCTATTAATGCAGGAACCGGGATGATCGGGGATGATCTAGTGGGGGGACAAGTCTGGTTGCGATGGGCTGCAACCGAGGATCGGCCGCCGTCCGGTACCGAGGAATATCTCCTTGTTCATGATAAGAGTTGCCTGCCAGCTGGACTATGGAGTATGGTGTGGACTACGGGGGACGTTGACACCACACCTCCTATGGTTAACTTATACTATCTATTTAGGACGCTCCCAGAATTAGGATGTTGAAGATTACCACATGTTCCGTCCTTCAATATCTGGAGCAGTGATGCTGATCAGTCAACCCTCGGGAGAGTTACCGACTACGGTCAATCACGTAACAGGTCCTAATTAATAATGACGGGCTTTTCTTCTTGTCTTCATCGCTGGAGCCTGGGATGGAGTGCGAGTGGTGCCCGCTTGGCAGTCCATTTCATGCCTCCTTATGGACCCCGTTTCTTTCTTTAGAGATGCGTCCCACGGTTACCATCTATCGGATTTGGGCTACACAATTTTCATCGAACGACAAGAAAAGTCAATGATGGCTGTGCACTGTGCAGTGTGGCTGCCCTTCCCCCCCGAGTTTTTTTATCTTTCTTTTTTTCTCCTAGTGGGTCAACCGCACTTTGATTCCTCCGATGTCACTTGTGTTTTTTTCCCTCTTTTAATTTCCTTTGCTTTTATTAGTGGCCTTCGAAGGTCTCCCTTTCCCAAACAATCCTCTCACCTAACCAAGATCCGAAGATACAGCCGCCGGATGATGTCAATGGCTACGACTAAAACCGCTGCTGCCGCTTCATCACCACAGGGCTGAAGTCCGCACGTGTCATCCTGTCCTGTCATTGGCCTCGCTGCGGTCAAAGCGTCTGGACTTGACGCCCGAATCCAGTACAAGTCTCCCCCCTTCAGATGTAGAGCAAACGTCGAAGCCTAACGTGCTTGGGTTTCATCATTCTTTCTGTTGGCTGACGCGTCGGGGGTTTTCTTGTTCGGAGCCTACTGTTAGTAACATCGGAGGGGTCCGCCCTTCGGACGCGACCAGGATCCAAACTAATCTTTTTTTTCGGCGACCTGCATTGGATTTTTTTTCTTTTTTTCTTCATCTTCCTTTGATTATATTTTTCTCTTCAGTCGGTTGATCCGGGTGATAGGAAGATCTGAATGGTTGGAAGTGGGAAGGGAAGTGTGGCTGATGGGAAATATAACCGCCCTGATCAGACTATCCTTAACCATGGTGCGAGACTGGTGGGTGGAGGGTTCAAACTTTATAGGTGGTGAACAGCCACACCGGTCAGAAGCCAAGTTGTAGTCAGTCCGGAGTATTGTAGATGCCCTTAGGTTCCATGTCGAGAGGATTATGGTCTGAGACTATCGAACAGTCCCAACGCAGGAACGATAAGATATGATGATACCCAAGCAGCCGTGCAGTTGGGCCGTTTCAGTCGGAAACTACAAAGATTATGTGGATGCCTGATGGTGTGGATGCCTGGGAACCGAGGCATCCATCGCATCTCCTCACCTCACCGACCACACTCAATCGAGTCCATCTCCCGATGTCTCTGCTACAAAGTACCTATCTTGGGTACTCGAGCTCAAGGACGTTCAGACCGTGGATCGAAAATAAGAGAAGAATGGCACACCCAAGGTGACGTGCAAATCCATCCAAACAATCAATATTGCTGCGCCTCATCCAGTCTGGGACATCTCCGTCAGTCAGCCTTTTGAAACAGAGCGGATCCACCGTCTCGGCTCCATCAGCATCATATCCGACTTGGGCTGAAATTAATCGGTCGCATGCTCCGGGATGGAATGATGATAACAATGCTGATCAATCTAGGTTGAGGTTCTTATTTCATCAACCATATTTATCAACCACCGAAGGTACCTGGGTGGTCGTGACAAAGTACCAGTCAACTGATTGTTTCTGGTCCAATCGAGTCATCCTCAGGCACTCCACTTCTTCTCTTCTTTCATCCTTCTCAACACCTCAGGCTCCCTTCTCTCCTCCATCTACATTCGCTTTATCTGAACTGACTGATTGTCTGGTTGATTCTGATTGTTATTTTGATATCCATCTTCTTTGATTCTATCCATTTGATTATCATGCTTCGTTTCCTATCCTAACTACGATGCTTCCGGTCTAATCTGTTCTGGACCTCCATCCATTTCTCGACCCCTCTCATCCAACCTTGGCCGCGTGTTGCTGCAGCCCCACGGACTGACTTGACTTTCTCTCTCTCTCTCTCTCTCTCCTCACACACTCGCGCTCTTCTCTCTTTGTTCACCCATTTCTGATCCCTCTTTCTGCCTTCTACGCCTCCTCTTTCTTTTCTTTTTCTTCTTTCCTGTTTTGATCGTTCTTTGCTTTTTTCTTGACTTTCTTTGTTCCGCTATAAAAACCCACCTCCTTTTCTTCCCCCCCCCTCTTTTCAAAGTGTCTTCCTCAAAGACCGCCGATCTGGCTACTTTGGCTGACCCCAACGAGTTGTTTTTGCCGGGTGAGAGGCAAAACAATCTCGCCATGTCATCCTCACCCTCCGTTCCCCTCCTCAAGCCACCCGTCCCGGGCAATCGCTCGCACAATGGTAGCCCTCGTGCCCCCAAACTCACCCTGGGCATTCCTCCCTCCCCCAACGCTCGTCCCGGCCCCGGCAATGGCGTCCCCGTGGCCGCTCCCGTCCCCGACGGCCCTCCCCAGCTGCAGCTCCCCGTGAACTCCCGTCCAGCGCCGCCGCAGCTCCGACTCGCGACGCCCATGGGGAGCAGTAAGGACGTCTCCCAGGTCGCCAACGGTCGCCCGCCCCCGCTCTCTCTCGCCACCTCGGGGTTGAACGAACCCAATGGTCAATCGCGGTCGGGCAGTGGCCCCGCCTCGGCTTCGTCCTCCAACTACTCCGCCCTGTCGTTCGCCATGGGTCTCCGACAACCCCGCGGCAGCACCCCCGATCCGTCGTCCGCCATCAGTTCCGTCTACTCGGACCGCGAGGCCACCGCCCCGATGGAGCGGGAGAATAGCGTCACCGCGCTGATCCCCGATCTGGACAAGTTGAGCTTGGAGAAGGGCAGGCCCCTGGATCCGGATGACCTGGACGATGAAGGCTGGCTGGCTGCCAGCGAGCAGAAGAAGATCGTGGAGTTGGGTAGCTTGGGCGAAGGCGCCGGCGGAGCCGTCACCCGATGCAAGTTGAAGGATGGGAAGACCGTGTTTGCTTTGAAGGTGAGGATTCTATTCGAATTCCCCCATCCCCGTGATTTTTCCTAATAACCCATCTAGATCATCACGACCGATCCCAATCCGGATGTGAAGAAGCAGATCGTTCGAGAACTGAACTTCAACAAGGACTGTGCCTCGGATCACATCTGCAAATACTACGGAGCGTTCATGGACAAGTCGACCGGGACCATCTCGATTGCGATGGAATTTTGCGAAGGTGGTAGTCTGGACAGTATCTACAAGGAAGTCAAAAAGCTTGGCGGTCGGACGGGCGAGAAGGTACTAGGCAAGGTCGCGGAGGGCGTGTTGAACGGGTTGACGTATCTCCACAGCCGGAAAATCATCCATCGAGGTAGGTGTTTCTCAGTCTCGGCCCGAGTCCCACTCGCTCGTTTCCCACTAATTCCCGGACAGATATCAAACCATCGAACATCCTCCTGTGTCGCGATGGTCAGGTGAAATTGTGCGATTTCGGAGTGAGTGGCGAGTTCGGCACCAAAGGTGACGCCAACACGTTTATCGGCACGTCCTACTACATGGCCCCCGAACGGATCACCGGGCAGTCGTACACCATCACCTCCGACGTCTGGTCCCTCGGCGTGACCCTGCTGGAGGTCGCGCAACATCGCTTCCCTTTCCCGGCCGACGGGACCGAAATGCAGCCGCGTGCCGGTCTGATCGACCTGCTGACCTATATCGTGCGACAACCGATTCCGAAGCTGAAAGACGAAGAAGATCATGGGATCCGTTGGTCCAGTAATTTCAAGTACTTTATTGAATGCTGGTATGTTGGATGTCTCCGAACCGCCAACTCCTTCCGACTAACCTGTTCGTTCTAGTCTCGAGAAAGAGCCTCCACGGAGAGCGACCCCCTGGCGGATGCTGGAACATCCCTGGGTGCTGGACATGAAGAACAAGAAAGTCAACATGGCCAACTTTTTGCGGCAGGTGTGGGGGTGGAATGAATAAAACCGCCCCGTGCATCCGGCCGATATCATTTTCAGCGCCTTCTTTCTTCTGCCCCGTCTCTTTTTGTTCTCTTTTTACCACCACCGTCACCCCTAATGCCTTGCATATTTACGGTCTCTCCTTAAATGCTTACAAGTGGCTGGCCCTTGTTGACCAGGATGTCAAAAAGCATATGAACGTGACTTCTTTACGACATTCATTTCGATCATGGCAACGTCTCTCCTTGTCGGACCCCCTGGAGTTGGGAGTGGTTTTGAATCCCGTCTTTCTCTGAATCGTGTCTCGGCCACCTTGCATTACCCATCGATCGCACAAGCATCTCGGTTTTGTTCTTGTTTCGTCAGTCCGGCATGCCAGCGGATTCTTGTTCTTTTTTTCTCTTCCTTTTTCTTTTCTGTCTTGTGATATTTTTTTTTGTGTGTCAACAACCCCGGAGGAACATGGATATGGGGTACCTGGGGCCCATGCAGAGATACATACTGTGTAGGCTTGTCGATCGGTTTTCGCCGAGATGACTGGCGATTCTTCTGTACATGACACTGGTCAATTAACTCTCAATACAGAAATTGGCTCAGACTTTGATCACTGTAATTATATGACCCACTTGGGTGGCAGAACAGGACGCATCATCATCTATAGCCGGTGGCTTGGACTTGGTAAGACGTGGTAAGCCGATTGATCAGATTCGGCCCGGTCAGGCATCATTTTCCTCTCCAGTCCATCTTTTGACTTTCCGTCCTTTCCAGTCCACTCCATCCTATCATATCCTAACATAACTTTATATCTTCTCCCGGCGCATTCCAGAGTTCCGGTTGAGTTCACGCTTTGATGTCACAATGACCGCCGCTAGACGTGACGTGAAGGGTCGCCGGCTCGAGCGAGATGCTTGTTACCCTCTTCATACTAAACGCGAACTTGAAACTATCCAAACGCCGGATGCAGATTCGCCATGTCCCGTCTTGACCACCTTGTCCACGCTTTTTCTCCGTCTCGCAGACGGCAGAGACAGCAGGGGACTGAGCAGGATCAACAGCAGGATCAACAGCAGGATCAACGGCAGGAAGAAGTATCTGCACCCTTCCCCCTCAATCGGGTCCCGCAGGACATCGTGTACGAAATCGCCAGATGGCTGCCGATAGCGTCGCGCCTCTGCCTGGCTCTCACCTGCAAAGGCTTCCTCACGGCCATCGACTACTCGCGGGCCCTCCGCCGCTCGCACACCATCCGCCTCAATGAGACCAATCTCAACCCCTACCTGACTGACAGCAACGGCTACTTCACCAGCGAGCGCGCCCAATTCATGTCGCTCCTGCACGAGGGCATGGGCAACGACCACCCGCGCTGGCGCTGCTGCTTTGACTGTCTGATGCTCCACCACCCGCGAGCTTTTCCTGCGCTCTTCCACTGGGGCAAATACCACGAGCCCTTCCACCGTTGCGAAAAACCCGAATTCTTCCACCGTTACGGAAAGCTCGATCCCCCCCGCCGTCGCGAAAGACCCCGCGGCAGTCCCGTCAAGAGCAGCAACAACTACTGCGGCAAGGGCGTCGTCTCGCACGGCTATGTCATCATCTGCCCGTGTCTGCGTCTCACCGTTCGAGACGTCGAAATATTATCGCGCAAAGTTCGACGAGTGGACCCCCCGATCCCGCGACCCTTACACTACCTCTTCACGCGGCGCGCCGTCGAAGTCCTCATCCACACCTGCCACCACCAGTACACCAACATCAACGTCAACATCAGCGTCAGCGCCTCCTTCGCCGACACCGGCGACCCCGGCTCCCTGACTCTCCGCACCACATACAGTCTCTCAGGCACCGGGATCCTGGAATCCGCCGAGCAGCTCCCGCTCCAACTCTGCCCCCATCTCTCCATCCCCCACTACATTAACAGGAAGTACGGCCTCGGCGACGACATCGCACCCCTCCACCGCGACCGACCCACCCTCCCCTGCACTACCTACACCTTCACCTGCTCAAGCTGCAGACTCGCCACCACCTACCCGGAACTCCTCTCCGTCTCGGACCCCAAAGCCCCCCACCGCATCACTGAGCATATCACCTTCCAAACCGTCCGCCTCATGATCCTCGACAATTCCTTCCCCAAGCCCCTCTACGCCCCCAGACTCTTCTTCCCCCGCCGTCTACACGGCCGCGCCGACATCTTCGTCGGTGAGCCCCATTACACCCTCTCGCAAGATTATCCTGTCCCCCCGTCTCCGGATAAAGCTGGTCAACTACTGTACTCGAAGGATCATTTTTTCTGAATTGTTTCATAATTTTTTTTTTACTTTGAAATTGTTGAGTTTGGCGGGTGAACTTGACTTGACTTGACCTGACTCGGTCTCGAATAAGCCGCTTATCGCCAAAGAAGGGAAGATCACCCAGGATTCTTAATCCTGATTGTGTGTATGCATGTGGTAGCATGCTTCACTTCTAGTGAACAGTTCAATCTAGCTCGGTTCTTTATTGGTGTTATGGAATATGCTGGTCTGGTCTGGTCTGGTCTGCTTTGCTTGCCTACGTGTCTGGTCGCTGCTACTGTCACTGTCGCTACTTAGTTTATTATAGTATGGAATGGACATGTTATGTGTGATTGATCCGGTCTATGAAGCAGATAAGCCTTGTAGTGTAGTGTAGTACAAATTCGTATAGATCAAATAGATTAGGTAGGTGCCTGGCAAACTCTATCAATGCATTTATCGGACGTCTTAGCCCGCAGCACTTACTGTTTCGAGATGGTAGACAGCATACTAGACAGAATATAGAAAGGTTAAGAAGAATAATTCTAAGAAAAGACAAGTAGAATAGAAATATGTATATTTATATCGACCAACCAATCAACCCATCATCATACTGTCATTAAAAAAGAGCACAAAGAAAAGAAAAAGAAAAAAAGTGACAAAAGTATTAGAAACGCAAAATGAGAAGGTAAAAAAGCAAAAGAAATAAGGATGATATCATCGATTCACAGGCTGCGCACCCAATACCCACCCGATCCCACTCGCCAACCCCCCCGTCACCATATTACTGACCACGTCGCGTTTGCGCACGCGCTCGTCGTCGTCGTCGTCGCTGGGCGCCCGCGCGTGGGTCGACGAAGAAGAAGATTGCTGCTGGTGCTGCTGCGAGCCGTCTCCTCGTAAGGGGAAGGCGTTCTTGTGCAGGGCCATTGCGGCGCCGCGGGCGACTTCGAAGAGGCCCATGGGGGCGTCTTCGGCGTGGCGGAGGCGGTTGTGGTGGGCGCGGGAGGCGCGGCGCGCGTGCTGCTGTTTGGTGTCGAAGGCGTCTTGCTCGGTGTCTGTGGGGCCGAAACCGCCTGGGAGGGTTGTGGGGTGGAGGGAGGCGTCTGCGTGGCTGTCCCAGGCGTGTTCTTCTTCGGATTCGAGGGTGCGGAGGCTGGTCATTTCTTCGTCGCAGCGGCGCCAGGCGCCGAGGATTTCGGGGAGGGGGTCTGGGGTGGGGACGAGGATGAGGGAGAGGGAGAGGAGTTCCATTCGCTGGGAGAGTTGGGTGATTTGCGTTTGGAGGGGGGTTTGGGTGGTGGGTGTTGGGGAGCGGTAGCGGCCTGCGGCGTAGACGGCTCGCCAGGAGATGTCGTCTTTGATGGATGGGTTGGTGAGGGTCGATGCGCTGGAGATGAGGGTCGGGGGGGTGAGGCGCGTGAGGATGTAGGAGTAGGCTGTGCCGAAGTCGTCTGAGGAGAGCGCTGAGGAGATTGCGAGGGACATGATGCGGCGTTCGGCTGTTACTACCTTGTCTTCTCGTGGGGTGGACTCGTCGGCGTCGTAGTCTGTGGGGTCGGATTCTTGAGGCGCGAAGCCCGCTGCGACTAGATCTCGGCCGATGGCAAGGAGGTCGTCTACTTGTGTGTAGGCCTTGGCGTTTTGTTCGAGCACTTTTTCGATGAGGGAGATGGGGTCTGCGTGCACGCGGATGCTGACGGGTTGGAAGGGGACGCCGTGCTGCAGTGTCAGGGAGTAGAAGGATAGCGCGTGCGTGGCGGAGATCAGAGAGCGAATCTGTTTGAAGGAGATCGACTCGGGAAAGTGTGGCTGGAACGCTTGGAGACTGCAGGAGTAGATTGGTATTAGACATTGGTCAAGTGTGGTTGGTGCAATACTCACATCTCGTATGCTTTCTTCATGCCGCCGCGCGTGCGATTCCCGTTGCTCGCGTTGTCATATGCCGCAAAGATGGCTTCCTTGATGGCATCTTCGACCTGGGCGGGGGTGAGGGACGATTGGGACTGTACATAGATGGCTGTGGCCAGATCGTATTCTAAGCTCGTTAGTATGTTTTCTTTGTATCCGCGCGGAGCCTCCTTACCTCTGACATCTAGCAGCGCCTTGAGGACCTCCGCATCCACGACCTCCCGGGGTAGTCTCCAGAAAAGGCCATGGAATTCTCCACACCCATCCGTGAGTTCGTCGCCCCCCCAGTCTCGGAGCCAGAGGAGCTGATCCCGCGTCTCCTGCCAGTCCCGGCTGACCTTAGTTTGCTTCACAATCGACGCAATCACTCCCCGGAATTCAAGAAGCTGCGCATCCTCCGTACTGTGGAGGCATATATTGGCCGCCGCCCTGCATGGGATAGGGTGTCCAAAAATCTGTAGTATCCGCATAGAAAGCAATAAAGCGCTGACGAACGAGATCGACGAGGACGAAGGATGTGTCAAAGGGTTCGATTCCCGTAATAAGGCGTTCTGCAGCAGGGACACCCGCGTCGTCGAGGAGATCTTGTCCAGCTCGAGTACCACTGACGGCAATATTTGGCGATCGGGAGTAACATAACAGGAGCTCTCCAGGTTCAGTAGCTGGGCGATCCGAGATACGATCCGAATTGACCCTTCCAGGGAGGGCTCACTCGTGTTCGCGTTTGCATAGATCACCGCCAGTCCAGACTGGCCATACCGAGTTCGCAGTTCTCTCATCTTTTCAGCCGGTCGCTCTTCTGCCTCGTCGTCGTAGCCTCCCAGGTCGACATCCTCGGGACCGTCCCAGTTGACAAAGGCGTTGACCACGCTGTCCTGATCCACCAAGCTCCGTGACAGCAGCCACTCGTTCACGTAGTGCCACCCAGCACGGTCGCCGGTCACGGGTTGCGCATCGTTTTGAGCCACGGAGATCGAATTGCGCCGCGTCGCCGGATTCAGTCTCCGCCTCTTGGGCCGGCTGTGGCCGTACATCCACGCCCCCACGACCCCACGCAAGTTGCGAACCAAGTCCATATTGCCCTTCTCCGATCCGGTCATTGAAAGGAACACGTTGATCGCAGTGTCATGGTCCATAGACTCTAGGATGTCCAGCGAGAAGGTCTCATCCTGGCTCGGGTAGTATTCGTAGTTGAGTCGCAGCAGTGGCAGGAGGGTGGAAATCAGCCACGTTCGAATTGTCGGTGAGCGCTGGTAGAACGGTAGAAGCAGGTCGAGGATGAGCGGTTGAAGGGCGGTTTCCGCGTCTATCCGGTGTGCACGGTGGATGAGAAAGAGTGTCAGCAAGTCGTTGGAGTCCTGGGTGTCGTCGTCGTCGGGGTGTCTCAGCGGTAGTAGACGAAGCTTCCGCACCCGTTTCCTGGCAGCGTCTTCGGACAATCCTTGGACAGAGGAAAGATCCCACTCGCCATCAATTGCTTCAGTTGACGGACCAGTGACGAGTTGTTCAAGTACCGGGGTGTAGGTATGGGGATCGGTGCTCTCCGGGAGAAAGGTGAGGAGGATGCGCAGAAGACGGTCGAGAGGCAGCCACAGGGGAAATTGAGCCTGGAGATGCGGAAGACGCGAGACGTCACCGGTCACACAAAGGTGAGTAGCTAAAAGAATGACCTGAGCACCCGAAAGCCCCGCAAAAGGCGCCATGGTGAGCAACAAAAGGAGAAAGTTGAAGATGGTGATATCAAAGAAGGTGATGTGGTTCGTCCGACGTCAGTGGTCAATAATAATAGACCGTTGCATGCCTGACAGACAAGGCCAGCCCGTCCAAAGGCGGCGGGCGCTCGGACCAGGCGGAAACAACGAATGAACGGCCGGATGAACAACCTCAGTTCTGATCGCATCCTCGCTCCGTCATTCTCTCCCCCCGGTTTCCCCCTCTCTTTCCCCTTCTCCCCCACCAACTCAACTCACAATGGCTTCGGGTTTCGGTCTTAACGGCGGTAGGTTTCCCTTTTGATTGTTTCCCTTCGCTCAAGAGCCCGCGATGGGCGGTGGTGGCCCGGTTTCGCCGCGGTGCTCCTGTCCGCCAGTTGACCTCCAGCTAACGCTTGCGGTCTTCCCCAGGTCCTTCCCGCTGCTTCACCTTCTGGCAGGAGGCCCTCGGTTGCTACGTGGTCAATGCCGGGGATGGTGAATCCGGCAAGAAGAAGTGTATGCCCGCTTTGGAAGATTACTACGAGTGCCTGCACCACCGCAAAGAGGTACGACTCGATCCCCCGTTACACCTTCCAGTGTTGTCCTTTCTTTTATTTTTTCCTCCGAAGAACTGAAAGCTGATATGTGATGTGGTAGGCTTTGCGAACGATGAAAATGCAGGCTGCCTACCGAAAGGCCGAAGCCGCCCACCCCCGCGAGAATGCGCCCAAGGCCGAACAGATCCGTAGCCTGGGGCTACTCGGGAAAGAGGAAGAGTCGGCGGCATTATTGGCCAAGTCCTAAGAAGGGCAATGGATAGATGGTGTTGGTCGTTTTGCTGTTGCTCCTATCATCTGTGTTTTTTATATCTCCGGAGTCCTTCGATGTATAGAAATGGACCATGCTTGCTGCATGAACACGACAGCCGTTGAAGCCGTCCTAAGGCTACAATATCTTTTCGTAGTGGATGGGGTATGGTTGTCATGTAGATCCAGACTCGACAAGGAAAGGAATGGAGTAGCTTTACCGATGGAGGTTGTATATATTCAAAGTAATTAAAAGATGGAAAATATGAAGGAAAGGGTATGACTTGAGCTCTTTGGCGTGATACAGTTCGATTTGGTTATTCGAATCAGGTCCAATAATTGGGTATAATATTTAGTGCAGAGTGCATATATATATACTACTCCCGGTAGGCACCTAGGTAGGTAAATATATTTTCCTACACCTCGGTTCGCTGAAACCAGACCTCTCAGATTATATTCAAATAGAGCCGTCAATCAACATGTGTACACCAATAGATCAAAGAAAGGTCAGACAAAATCTAGAATGTTGGTGATGGCTCAGGTCTAGTGTGGATCAAGGGTCGTTGTCTACAGTATACAGTATGAATTTTTTGATGGGAGGTGGAACCACAGCCTCAGGCAGCACTCGATCGACCGATCCCAGGCAGTCGACGCGGCGGACAGTCGATCGACGGGCAACAGCATTAATTGCAGACATACAGGAGACTAGTATTGACTCTGCGGAGGGATGAAGAATTCTCCTTGAGGAGCATGAGGCCATCTGGCATTTCTTGGCATGTTCGTCAAGGGATCGAAACCGCCTTCTCTGACCGTCCACTTGTGTGTTGCTTCCGGACAGGATGTGCGACATAGCCAGATCAATCTGATGGCAGAAATGAAGCAATGAGTTATCCGTGACTCATTCCCACGCTCCCCAAACCTACTGCTGTCCGGAGTGATGATGAAGCAGCAAGAGATGCAATGCAGCGTTGCCGCCGGGGGGCGCAGGGAGGACAGTCACGTGACAGGAAAGAAAACCTTTACGGGAGTGGAGGGCACTAAGACAAAAACGGCATGGTGGACATGACCCAAGCATGGGTTGGCGCACCCAGCCAAAGATGGCCCCAATGATATAAACAGGCGGCGTGACCTCGAGGAGGGACGAGACTCCCCCAAGTGTTGTTGTTGTTCGTTGATGCCAAACGGGAGGACCCTTTCTGTCACGATTTCTTTACCTTACTTTACCCTCAACCAGATCCCGTCACGAAAACAACCCATCTCTCGCATCGTCATTTTCATTCTTCTTCCTTTTTTCCATTTCTTGTTTCATTTCCTTTTCCCTCCCTATTTATTTCACTTCTTGTTCTAGTTTGGGACCCTTGATACGATCGTGTTTTCAATAATACCACTTCGCTATCTTCTCTTCCATCATTCAACTTTCACTCCATTACGGTTTTTGACGATTTATTGGTTTTTTTTTTTTATTACAACTATCTTTAATCCCCACTCGGCTCTACCGATCCCCCCTACATTAGTCTTGCTGCCTTATATCCTTTTTTATCCGTTTATGTTCCATTTTCTATTTTTTTCTCCCCATGCCGTGACCAGGGTGTAATTCCTTGTATTATCGTTTTTTTCCCTTTCCCTCTCTTGTTTCAATTCTTCTTTACCTCACCCGTCTCCCCTGTCGCATCTTCCCTGGAATCGATCCTTCCTGACCGATTCAAACGATCCCTCCGGTGTCATCTGGAATCCTCTTTCCAAGCACTGTCCAAGCGGTGGGTGAGATTGACCAATTTCACCCATCAGATTCAACTGGGTTGATCTCCCTGATCCGCCATGGCATCCCGGTGAGTTCCTCGTGTTGTTTTGGTATTGTGGTATTGGTACTGTCACAGATCCCGCTAACCGCTCTGGCAGCCTTGATCGTCTAGTCACGTGAGTCGAACCGTCCCCTGATCTTCCCTCCCCCCCCCACACTGACCAATTGTATTGTAGATTGCTGGAGACGGGCAGCACGTCACTCATTCGCAATACTGCTGCTCAGCAGCTGGCCGATGTTCAGAAACAGCACCCCGATGAGCTCTTCAACTTGCTCGGGCGTATCTTACCCTACCTGCGCTCGAAATCGTGGGACACCCGCACAGCGGCCGCCAAGGCGATCGGTCTCATCATCTCAAACGCAGATCCCTTCGACCCGAACGAGGATGACGGCGAACAGATCAAGAAGCTCGAGGAGGACGATGGCGACCTTGGAGTCGAGATCAAATCGGAAGAGGATCAACCGTCCGCGGACGATGGCCTCCTCCGACCCGAGACGCTGGATATCGTGTCGATTTTGAAATACGGCAAGAGACTTCTGGGCAGCGCGGGCAAGGAATACGAATATTCATTGGCGTCGATGGATCCGGCGACCCGGTTGCAGCATCAGAAGAAATCCCTACACTCACGACTAGGTCTGGCGGGGGAATATATCGAGGAGGATCTGATCGATGACAGCGACCTGATGCTGAAGCCTAAGGCCGACCCTTCCCCCAACACCATCGCCCCAAAGGAGCACAACCACACCCCCTCCGAACACGCCGTCGTCTCTCCAACCGAGGCTGCCAATGGAGAGGAGGCCGGTCTCAGTAAGCGACAGCTGAACCAGTTGAAACGGAAGAACAAGCAGAGCGCCAAGTTCGGGGCCAATAAAGTGCGTGTCGTCGATCTGTCCACGCGGAAACTCTCCGACAACGCGACTACCCCCTCCGTCACAACTCCCCACCCTGTCACGACCCCCCACCCCGTCAAGACGGAAAATGGTGAGGAGCGGAATGGCGACTCGAAAACCGACTACTTCTCTCTCGACCGGCCTGCTGGGGACGATGACGACTCTAAGCTTGTCTCCGAGTTCAAGGGGGAAACGGCGCCCGAAAAGCCGATCATCCAGCCGGACGTGACGGAGGAAGGCCCGAGCCTCACGTGGCCGTATGATCCGATGTGTGATTTCCTCATGGTCGACATCTTCGATCCCAACTGGGAGGTTCGCCACGGGGCGGCCATGGCGCTCCGAGAGGTCATTCGCGTTCACGGCGCCGGGGCGGGTCGCGTCCGCGACAAGACCCGAGCCGAGAATGACGCCTTGAACCGGAAATGGTTGGATGATCTGGCGTGTCGACTGGTCTGCGTGCTCATGTTGGATCGCTTTGGAGACTACATCTCGGACAACGTGGTCGCTCCCATTCGAGAGACGGTCGGCCAGACGCTGGGTGCGCTTCTGTCCCAGCTCCCTTCGCGCTCTGTCGTCGCCGTTTACCGCATCCTCTACCGGATCGTCATGCAGGAAGACCTCGGTCTGGAGCGTCCGATTTGGGAGGTGTGTCACGGTGGGATGATCGGCCTCCGGTATCTCGTGGCGGTGCGGAAAGACTTGTTGGTCAAAAACGCCGACCTCATGGATGGTATTCTCAGCGCGGTCATGAAGGGGCTCGGCGACTACGACGACGATGTTCGTGCGGTCAGTGCGGCCACACTGGTCCCCATCGCGGAGGAGTTCGTCACGTCGCGACAGAATACGCTGGGCCCGCTGATGACCATCGTGTGGGACTGTCTGTCCAATCTGCAAGATGACCTCAGCGCCAGTACGGGCTCGGTCATGGATCTGCTGGCGAAGCTCTGCACATTCCGGGAGGTGCTCGATGCGATGAAATCCAACGCCGCAGCCGACCCCGAGTCGTCCTTTGGCAACCTCGTTCCCCGCCTCTATCCCTTCCTCCGACACACTATCACCAGTGTACGCTTGGCTGTTCTTCGCGCCCTTACGACGTTCCTCCAGCTCGAGGGTGACGGGACCGATGAATGGGTTAACGGCAAGGCGCTACGTCTGGTCTTCCAGAACCTGCTCGTCGAGCGGAACGAGGGCGTTCTCAAGCAGTCTCTCCAAGTGTGGTTTGAGCTGCTGAAGGTCTTGGAGCAGCACGGCACCTTCAAGTCGGACCCCGACCTGCTGTCTCATATCCAACCGCTCATTACCCTGACCATGGCTCCGTTCGGTGTGCCCCGGTACCCGATGGCTATGAAGGCCTCGCTTTTCATCAAGCCCTCGGGTGTCCCCTTTCCCTCCAGCGCATCAGCCCCAGCCAAGTCGTCGCCCACTTCCAACCCGGCTGGGCCGGATGCTACCAAGAAGCGCGGGCGCAAGGCCGAAAAGAAAGAAGTCGCACCCACGTCTTCGGCTCACAACGTCGATGGCCATATGCTTCAGGGCGATATTGATCTCGTAGGCGCTGATACCATGTTGAGGTCCAAGATGTATGCCGCCCAAGCCCTTGGGCAGCTGCTCTTCCTGTGGGATAAGAATGATCTTGTCAGCCTCTGGCCGACCATTTTGGAAGGTCTCAAACATTCTGCCTCCACATCGCAGCTTTCGACCGCCATGGTTGTCGAAGAGTATGCGAAACGATCGAGGTCCAGTGGCAAATACACTGCCTCCTTGTGCGATCAGTTACGCCCGATCGTGGAGGAGGATCGCCCCTTGTGGTACAGTGATATCGCATCTTACCTCCACGTGGCTCGAGCGCAATGTCACTCTCTGCTCAATGCTTTCCGGGATCACGCGCACGTCTCTGGCTCGAAATTACCAGTTCTTGCCGTCGTCGTCCAGGGCGACTCCGAAGCTGGTCCTAGTGCGTTTTCATTGGCTGATGCCGAGAAGGTGGTTGGTCCCGATTTTGAGCGGCTCAAGAAGGGCCTGACGCCTGCCCAGCGGATCACTGCCATCAAAGTTCTCAATGACACCCGCGCAACCGCCGAAAGCGCCATTCACGAGGCAGGCAAAGTCCGTGAACAGCGGGACATGCGGGTTCGGGCTGCCGCCGCGGGGGCCTTGGTGGCCTTGTCGGACATCCCGAAGAAGCCTGGTCAGATCATTAAGAGTATGATGGATAGCATCAAGAAAGAAGAGAACGCCGAGCTTCAACAGCGCTCTGCCACTGCGATTGCGTCCTTGGTGGAATACTACACGACCACCGCCAAACGGGGCCCGGCCGACAAGGTTATTGGGAACTTGGTCAAGTACTGCTGCGTGGATACGTCCGAGACGCCCGAATTCCACCCCAACGCCAATCTGGAGAAATCTATCTTGTCGCTCCGCAAAGAGGAAGACCGCCGCGACCACCCCGATGCGGCCAAGTTCGAGCGCGAGTCCAGAGAAGCACGAATTATGCGCCGCGGGGCCAAAGATGCCCTGGAGCAGTTGGCCGTTAAGTTTGGTTCCGAACTCTTGGAGAAGGTTCCTAACCTTGCGGTACTGGTGGAGCGACCGTTGAAAGAGGCACTCTCCGGCGATCTCCCCGAGAGCATCCTCGATCCAGAAATTGAGCTGGGACAGGAGGTTGTGGACGGACTGTCGACATTGCGGGCTCTTCTTCCCAAGTTCGATCCGGGTCTTCATGCTTGGGTCATTGGCCTTATGCCGCTGATCGCCAAGGCGCTCCAGTGCAAGTTGTCGGTCATCCGATATGCCGCCGCAAAGAGTTTCGCCACCATTTGCAGCGTCATCACGGTGGAGGGTATGACCATGCTCGTCGAGAAGGTCTTGCCGACGATCAACAATGCTGTGGATGTTCACTGCCGCCAGGGTGCTATCGAATGCATTTATCACCTTATCCACGTGATGGAGGACGGTATCTTGCCGTACGTCATCTTCCTTGTCGTGCCCGTGTTGGGTAGAATGAGCGATTCGGACAACGATGTGCGACTGTTGGCGACGACCTCTTTCGCCACCCTGGTCAAACTTGTGCCTTTGGAGGCTGGTATTCCTGACCCGCCTGGCTTCTCCGAGGAGTTGCTTAAAGGGCGTGAGCGGGAGCGAAAGTTCATGGCCCAGATGTTGGATGTGCGCAAGGTCGAGGAGTTCAAGCTCCCGGTCGCCATCAAGGCGGAGCTTCGGCCGTATCAGCAGGAGGGCGTCAACTGGCTTGCGTTTCTCAATCGCTACAATCTTCACGGTATTCTCTGCGACGACATGGGTCTCGGCAAGACTCTCCAGACTATTTGCATCGTCGCCAGCGACCATCATCTGCGGGCGGAGGAGTTTGCAAAGACACAGGCGCCGGAGGTCCGGAGACTTCCGTCTTTGATTGTTTGCCCCCCGTCGGTTTCGGGACATTGGCAGCAGGAGGTCAAGCAGTACGCCCCGTTCATCAACTGCGTTGCCTATGTGGGTCCCCCGTCCGAGCGCCAGCGGCTGAGAGGCGAACTCGCCGACGCCGATGTCGTGGTTACATCCTACGACATTTGCCGCAACGACATCGATATCATCAACCGGAACGGCTGGAACTACTGCGTGCTCGACGAGGGCCACTTGATCAAGAACCCCAAGGCCAAGGTGAGCATGGCGGTCAAGCGCGTCGTCAGCAACCATCGGTTGATCCTCTCCGGGACCCCTATCCAGAACAATGTGTTAGAGCTGTGGTCTCTGTTCGATTTCCTGATGCCCGGATTCCTCGGAACGGAGAAGGTGTTCCTGGACCGGTTCGCCAAGCCCATTGCGGCTAGCCGGTTCAGCAAGTCGTCCTCCAGGGAGCAAGAGGCGGGTGCGTTGGCGATCGAGGCGCTGCACAAGCAGGTCCTGCCGTTCCTGCTCCGTCGTCTGAAGGAAGAGGTGCTGAATGATCTCCCGCCAAAGATCATCCAAAACTACTACTGCGACCCGAGCGAGCTGCAGAAGCGCCTGTTCGAAGATTTCAGCAAGAAGGAGCAGCAGCAGCTCCAAAACAAGCTGGGCAGCTCGGAGAAGAACGACAAAGAGCACATCTTCCAAGCCCTGCAGTACATGCGGCGTCTGTGCAACTCCCCAGCCCTCGTCGTCAAAGACGGCCACAAGCAGTACAACGAAGTCCAGCAGTACCTGCACGCCAAGCACTCCTACATCCGGGATGTGTCGCACGCGCCCAAGCTCAGCGCCCTCCGCGATCTGCTCCTGGACTGCGGAATCGGGGTCGACCCGCCTAGTGAGGGTGAGTTGGCGACGGGAGCCAGCTACGTCAGTCCCCACCGCGCGCTGGTGTTCTGCCAGATGAAGGAAATGCTCGATATCGTCCAGAGCGAAGTGTTCCGCAAACTGTTGCCGTCCGTCCAGTTCTTACGTCTGGACGGCGGCGTGGAAGCCACCAAGCGCCAGGACATTGTCAATCGCTTCAACACGGATCCCAGCTACGACGTGCTCCTGCTGACTACGAGCGTCGGTGGGTTGGGTTTGAACCTGACGGGTGCGGACACTGTCATCTTCGTGGAACACGACTGGAATCCGCAGAAGGACATCCAAGCCATGGACCGAGCGCATCGTATCGGACAGAAGAAGGTGGTGAACGTGTACCGGTTGATCACGCGGGGGACTCTGGAGGAGAAGATTCTGAAGTATGTTGCCCTTGTGATTTTCTATTGTGTATGATCTAGTACTAACGAGTTCCAGCCTCCAACGCTTCAAGATCGACGTCGCATCCACAGTGGTCAACCAACAAAACGCCGGCCTCAACACAATGGACACAGACCAGCTCCTGGACCTGTTCAACCTGGGCGAAACGGCCGACAACGCGGAGAAACCGAGCGAACCGACCGGCAACGAGGTCGACATGGTCGACATCGACGGCGAAGTCAAAGAGAAGGGCAAGAAGGGGTGGCTCGACGATCTGGGCGAGTTGTGGGACGACCGACAGTACCAGGAGGAGTACAATCTGGATTCATTCCTGGCTACGATGAAGGGTGATTGATTATTTACTTTCGACCTTGTCAACATTATCTCATCTTAACTTAGACTGGTGAGGTGGATGGATGGGTGGATGGATGGAGTTGGGTGTTTCTCACTCTCCCTTTTTCTTCTTCTTGATATGTGTTTTTTTCTTTTTCTTTTTTTCTTTTTGATTTCTTCTTTTCTTATTGTGCCTTTATTCTGTTGTATGCGGAGTTGGTGGCCTGACTGATGATATGGTAACGAATGACTCGATCGACGATTGCAGTGACTGACTGCCTGCCACAGTAGTGGGTAGTCTGGATGGGTTGGTTTTCATCTTTTTCTTTCTTTCTTGATCTGTACTGTATGTATTCTAGTTATACTTTTATTTATGATGGAAGGAATTGCACATACACTTCATCATCACAACTATTCAATACTTTTTCTAATCAATATTTACTAACTAAACAAAAATAATGAATGTATTGATGATAATTAATACAAGCGGAGAACTTCCGACCCCCACACTAAACCCTTTCCAGCCTTCCCCATACATCCGAATAGTATCTTCCCCTCATCCTATTTATACCATTTATACCCCGCTGTCTACAGTATTCATTCATTTCATTCATTCAATTCTTACCCAGACCCAGACAGCAGAGCTCAATATTAGATATCAAGATGTCTTTCAAAACACCTATCACCACAACCCTGCAAAGCAAGCAGACTGCCTTTGGGTTCTGGTTGATGTGAGTATCCATACCCTCCCCCTCCTCCGCTCCATATAAATGCACTTCGTTCCATCTACAGCAAGAAAAAAAGCCATATATAAGAACAACAAGAACAACATTGAGAAACGCGAGAGTAATGCCTGCTAACAATGAATAAAAAAACAGGCTCCCCAGCGCCCCAGCAGCGCGAATCATCCTCCGCGCTGCCTCGGCCGCATCATCCCCGCACAAGCTCAGCTGGGTGTTAGTTGATGGAGAGCATGGGCTTATTACCGATAGGGAGTATTATGAGGTGTGTTTTACTCTTTCTCTACTTCCTTATTGACCTACTTTTTTACTTTTCTTTTTTTCTTTAAAAAAAAAGAAACTATTCAGTTGCATATGGAAATAAATGGCAGTGCTAACAGTAAGTTAAAGCTAACAACAGCAATCGGCTCCTGCAACGCCAGCCCCATCATTCGCGTCCCCTGGGGCGAAGAGTGGATGATCAAGAGGGCGCTTGATGCGGGGGCTCATGGGATTTTGACGCCTATGTGTCATTCAGCTGTTAGTCGTCTTTCTTTCTTTCTTTCTTTCTTTCTTTCTTTCTTTCTTTATTCTTCTTCCCCCAAGTTCAAAGAAACTAAAAGACAAAAAAAAAATGAATAGGAAGACGCCTCTCGCATAGTGCAATACACCAAATACCCACCCGTTGGAAGCAGAGGGTACGGCCCCGCCTTCGCGGCTCACTCGCTCCCCGACGCGGCTGCAGCAGTGGCATACGACGACGCTGCCAATGATAGCTTGGTTGTAATGGTGCAGATTGAGTCGCAGAGGGGGGTGGATAATGTGGAGGAGATTGCGAGGGTGGATGGGTTGGATGGGGTTCTTATTGGTTTGTTCTTTTTTTCTTTTCTCTCTTTCTCTCTTTCTTTTTTTCTTTTTTTTCAAAAATTTTTTTTTTATGGCTGACGAGGGAACATATGTAGGCCCCTTCGACCTCGCCAAACAAATGGGCGTCGTGCGCGGCGGAGACGAACACGAAGCTGCTATTCAGCGGATTCTGAAGGCTGCCAAGAGCGCAGGAAAGACTGCTGCTATTTTTTGTGAGTCCCCCCCCCTCCCCCTTTTTCTCCCAGGCTCTCCTCTAGGGGAGTTGTTCTTGTTCTCTCCTGGATAGACAGGACTAACGGTGTCATCAGGCACAAACGGCGAACAAGCCCGTGAAAGAGCCCAGCAAGGCTTCGATATGATCTCGATCATGACGGATGTGGGGGCCTTTGAGGAGGGTATGATGAGGAATTTGGGCGTTGCTGGGGGTGGTAGTGAGGTTGGAGGGGGGAGTGGTGGGTATTGATCATCTTTGGAATCAAATACATAGGTTAGAAGTTGTACTCTTTATCTTGGTTACTGGGTAAGAAAGAGGAAGGCAATGTGTGCATGATACATCTACGGGACACTACAGTCTTAGATAAACCAGGATAAAATAGAGCAATGCAATTGTCCACAAATGCAGCATGGTTAAAATCAAACAGTATCAATCAACTCCAGACTATTGATCTTCCAGTCGAACGGAAAGAGTAGTCAATGTAAACGCCATCCGCATGCCAGATGCATCCCAGCGCCAGCAAAAATATTCAATCAGTCACGGTCGTGTGAAATGGTGGCTCCCAGGTAATTATGATACAGAAACAGAGATGAACCCGCTGCATGTCACGCCATTGTACAAATAGGAGAGAAAAGCAGGTCATGAATTGAAGACAGTTGTCAAAACCATCGCGTGGAGTTCGTGAGTTATTCTGGGAGACGAGGTCATGGGCGGCTCTTAGGCTGGGACAGCATGTTCAGTCGACTCATGCTGAGCGCTCCCCGGCTCTTGGGTCGCGCGCTGGACGGCGTGCCCCTGCTGGTGATGGAATTCGATCGCTGCGGAGTGTGGGAACGAGACTTGAACGGACTGGGGCTGGGCTTGGCGGGAGTTGGTGCAAGCTTGGCAGGAGTTGGTGCAAGCTTGGAAGGAGTAGGGGCAAGTTTGGAAGGAGTAGGGGCAAGCTTGGCGGGGGTTGGCACAAGTTTGACGCGCTTGATGCTGCGCCCTTCAACCGGCTCCTCGGGCGGCACGTTCTCGGTGTCAACCTCGTCGTCAACATCTTCCCGCACCCGCTTGCGATGGCCAATGCCATGAGGGATCCCAGCGATGTCGGGTCCGTTGGGATCACGTGGGGCCTCAGAGGTCTCGTGGTTGCCTTTCTTGTGGCGAATGCCATGGGGAATGCCCGAGACCTCGGGAAGCTGGGTGTCAGCCGTGGCGTCGGAGGGGCGGACGTGGCGGATGGACGGCGACCGCACTTCAGTCGAGCCTCGCTCCGGGGTTAAGGTTGGTAGGGTCGGATAGACCACGTCCGTGGAGACGGGCTCCAAAGATCGCGCTGATTTAGGAATCTTCGAGGGCGACGGCGACTCGGGGGGCCCTTCTGGCGCGTTGGTGCTGAAGTTGAATTCCACACGCTTCTTCGGCGACGGCGTCCGCGCCAGCTCGTTTGAGCCGTCTTCGTGAGGCGCGCCGAAAATCATGCTGGAGGTAAAGTCCGGGGCAGCCACATGGGTACCTGAGGCGATCTTGGCCGGGTCGCGAGAGAAGAGGGGCTGGTGACGTCGAAGAATCGATTTGAGGTTGCCCAGCGAGGGGAGGTTGCTCTTGAATCGAGGGTTGAATTCTGTGCGTGGGGTGTGCGGCACATCCGACGGCTTCGAGATAGGCGACCGTGCCAGCGACGGGATCATACTGGTGCGAGGTGGCTTGAGGCTGGTCGCAGCGCGCATAGACGAGGCCCGGGTCGGGGTGAGCAGCGAGCTGCGGACCGTGGAACGAGGACGAGGACGGGGACGCGCCTGCACAGGCTTCGAAGGGGTATCGGCCGTGGTTGGACGGCGAGTCGACGCGTCATCCGAGCTGTCGTGCTTGACTCGCTTGGCACCCGCCGCCGGCGCGTCGGCGGGGGAAGGCTTACGAGCCGACTTGCTGGGCGAACCCTGACTCTCGGGCTCATCGAGACGCGCTTTGGAGTTGGTGCGTTTGAGGGTCTTCTGCAGAGGCTGGAAGCGGCCAGGGGTGGCACGGAAGGCAGACGCGTGTCCGGCGATGGAGTCCATCTTCTTGAATTCGGCCATGTGAGCGTTGCTGAAGCGGCTGGCCTGGCCCTTGGGGTGCGCGAATATGCGGTCTGCGGACTGGAGTTCGTGTTCGGGTTCATTGGCCTGATTCTGGATCATCTGGGCCTTGATCTTGGCGACATCTCCACGGACGCTCTCCATGAGCTTCCTGGCTTCATCGCTGAGCTCTGATTCCTGCGAGGCAAACTTGAACTCGAACCCCGGGGTGCCGAAGTGGGTGGAAGCGGGAGAGGCATTGGCCTTGGTGGGGGTGTCTTGAACATTGTTCTTTACCACATTGCCCGACGCGTCCTTCTTGATGGGGTTGAAGCCCAGGATCAGACCCGAATCGGCCTGCTTGGTGGTGCTTTGGTGCACCTTACTGGGGTGCATCTCTTGGTGAGGGGGGCGGGTAAGCACGCTCGTGGGAGTTTTGGCGGGGGATCTTTGAATGGACTTGAGAGGAGTGGATTTCAACGGAGTGGACTTCAACGGAGTGGGTTTGGGGGTAGTCGACTTGAGCGGAGCGGATTTAAGAGGCGTGCCCGGCGCGTGTTTAGGGACGACAGGAAAGTCCTCGAGGGCAGGGGTCTCATCGTGCTCCATGACGGATGGAAGCTTATCTGTCTGGTGGCGGTTGCTAGGGGCGTCTTGATTATTGTTGACGTTGTTCTTGGGAGTGTTGTTATTGTTAGTCGTCGGCTCTGGGGTAGCCTGCGGTTCCTATCAAGATAAATAAGGATCAGCCAGTAGTCGCGAATGATGCAAGGGCGCGCATCCGACATAAACAACTTCTATTTCGGGGGAGGACATACCGCAGAGGTCGAGCGACCACGCAGGCGGGCGGAGCGACGAATCGCCATGATGTCGCGAGGGGGTAGGAAGAAGGCGAGGTCAATCGAGTAGAGTTGTGCAAGTGGATTAATTGTACAAGAATGATGATGAAGATCAGATCATGGATAAGTGGGATGAAGAATGAAAGACGATGATGGACGGGATGATGCGGGAATCAAGGGAGAGAAAGCGAGAGATTCGGGCGAAAAGTAAACAAAAATAATGACGCCAGTGCCGTGGGCGGTGAGCGGCTGAGTCAGCTGTGCTAAATGACTATACTAACCACATACAGCATAGCATAACCCTACCCAATCTGGTAATGGAAGATATAGATGAGGTCTGGGATCGTTCTCTCTCGATCCTGATATCCTGAGAGATGCTGACTCTATTATACGTAGTCCGCCCTTATCTAGACATCCATGGTTCTTCAAGTTGAACGTAAGCGCCGTTATCTCACAAACTAACCCATCATGTCTTCTCAACCAGCATCCGAGCAATTCGAAAAGCATCTGGGCGCTAATCTCCATGATTTATAGAATACGTGCAAATCGAATGCGGTTTGAACATACTGAATTCACAATCGGTCTAATCGATCATTCGTCATAGTTTCGAGATGAAACAGCACCGACCGTCGCTACAGTGATGACATCGAGCTCGAAAAAGAGCATTCGTACCTGACTGCAGAACGCGCATGCGAGTAGTATATTCACACCATCCTTCCGTTATTCTGGAACAATAACCCCATGCATGCAGCTAGGACATGCTCGGTGGGAAACATGATCTGCATGAGGTCCTGCGCACTGTTCGCCATCAACCTGCAACGTTCGTTTCATATACGTCACCAGGAGTCGAGTTGGTCATGATGCGATCCAGCCTACAATTCACATTCAGAATCAAGATACCACTGCAGGATATTACTGAACCATTTCATTACAATTCTCTAAGCATACTCAGCTAAGTCCAAAATGATTACTCGAAACGGAAATCAGCCCTAAGGCGATAAGAGATCATGATGACTTCATCCCGCTCTGGACCATCTAGACCGTATATCGCCCAATCGAACAAGTTACAACCTACACGACTCCCCCATAACCTAACATGAGGATACCAAGATCCATCCCCAAATACATCCAAAAAACACCAAATCTCCCAACCAGAACAATGACATCTACCACACCACCATCCCGACTCGACCGCTTCCTCGCCGCCCAACAATCCCTCTACGGTCCCAATCTGCACTCCATCCCCGATCCCCAAACATGGACCCCGCCCCCCAACTCCGGCGGCCACAAGGGGCGCTACCTCTGGACAGACGCATTCGGCGTCCTCAACTTCATCACCCTCCACCGCGAGATCTCTCGCCACAGTACCAGTAACAATGAGAACAATCCCTACCTCACCCTCGCCCGCCGCCTCGTCCACACAGTCCACGACATCCTCGGCCGCACACGCAACACCGACAACCCCACCCGCCTCCCAGGCGCCTCAGAAAGCAACCCCCTCGGCGGCGGCCTCCGCATCGGCAAACAAGAAGAGCACGGCCCCGACGGCGACGGCCAATACCACCACTACCTAACCCTCTGGATGTTTGCGCTCAACCGGCTCTCCCTAGCCACAGGCGACGCAACATACAACCACCAAGCGGTCTCCCTCGCGCGCGCCATCCACCCCAAATTCGTCCTGCACCGCGAGTCAGCCCGCCCCAGGATGGTGTGGAAGATGGCGGCGGATTTGTCGAGGCCGTTGGTTTCGTCGGAGGGAAATTTGGATCCTCTGGATGGATTCGTCGTGTTTAGACTGCTGCAGGCCGCTGAGAGGAGGGGTCCCGTCTTGGAGGATGAGATTGAGGATTATAGACGAGTGATGGCGAGGAAGGGGTCGCATTTTGTGTCGTCTGATCCGTTGGATTTGGGAATGTCGATGTGGACAGCGCATTGGTTTGTGGAGAAGGAGGCGTGGGCGACGAGGTTGGCGGAGCAGTGTTTTGAGCAGTTTTGTATTTCTTTCTTTCTCTCTTTCCCCCCCTGTTTCCCTCTCTCTCATTTCACAGTTGAGGTCGAGTGATGCTGATAAGATTGCAAGACGAACTCTTCGAACTCGACCACTACCTCAACCGCAACATCCAGCGCCGTCTCGCCTTCCGCGAGTTCGGAACCGGTCTCGGCCTCCAGTGCATGGCGGGGCAGTCATCCGAGAAAGACCGCGCGGTAGACCTCACCAAATACGCACAGGCGATTCTCGACGCGTGGAATCCGTACATGCGGATGTCGTCGGAGAGTAGTACCACGCCGGAGGACCTGCGGCCTATTACGCGGGTTATGTATGCCGCGGCGCTGATTCCTGGAGGTGAGTTTTCGTCTGGTCTGTAAGGGGAATGGTAGGGACTGAGGCTGATGGGTATAGCTTTTCAACGGGGATACTTGGGTCCGGAGCCTAGTGGTTTACCTGAGCAGTGAGATTGGATGCAACTAGATTAGGTATATTGTATGCGTTGCGTAGGTCATAGTGGAGTCGTTGTGGAATAGTGTAGTTAAGCTCTAGTATATCCGTACAAACAAATAAGAATGTACCAATCAATCAACCGATCGGCCCTTGTATACCAACGCCGCTAAGGACGAAGTCAGAGTATGTATAATCTATACTCCCGGAACTCCTACCACGTCCCTCCATGCCCCAACGCGTCGAGGCAAGATGTAGATCGAATAGATGGTAGCCAGAGCGAGGAAAAGCCCATTCCACTGTTTCAAAACATTAGCCATCAAGTAACCACAACCAACAAACTTCGAATACAAATAAGGGAACTCACCTTCTCCAACCAAGTATGAAACCAAATAGCAGTCATCAACAACATCCACCAACTCAGCCCAAAAACAACCCCCACAAACCTCCCCGCCCACTTCCTCACAACCTCCTGGTCCTCCTTCTTTCCCACCTCCTTCTCCTCTTCCCCCCCACTGCTCACCCCATTACCCACCCTAGCCCCAACCCCCTCAAACCCCAAAACCCCAGTAACAAGCACCAACATAAAAACATGCCCACTAACATCATGCCCCCCACTCCACCGCCCCCCAGCCCCCTTACAAGCAGCAGCAGTCACCAACGCCGTCAGCCCATCCGCATCACTGATACTACTGCTGCCACCACCACACCCACCACCAGTAATCACAAACCCGCGATCGATGACCGCCGGCCCAAAACACCACTGCGTCGTCAGATACCAAGCCAGCGTGGCCAGCGCATACCGCCCCACAGCCTGCGCTATCCTACGCGGGCGCTGCGCCGCCGTCACCGCCGTCGTGTAAGCCGGCTGCGAGACGACCAGCGACGCAAAAGCGGCTGTCATCCACAACCAGCCGATTTTGACAAAGTACGCGTTGAAGATGTTGTCTTTGCGCGCGAAGTAGTTCACCGGGGGTGGTGGTTTGTGGGGGCCCGCGACGCCGGCGGTGTGCATCGCGGAGGGCGTGTTGTCGCGGGAGCCGGCTGCTGTCGGGGAGAGGACGGAGAAGAGAGAGCCGAGGAGGAGGGTGGCTGGGTAGGCGAGGAGGAGGTAGGCTGGGATTTGTTTTTGTTGTTGTTGGGTGGGTGATGTTGGTGGTGGTGGTCTTGTTGAGGTGGCCATGGTGTCTGTTGTCTTTTGTCTGTCGATTTTTTTTTTCTTGGTTCTTCCCTTTCGACCCCCTTTTGCTGTAGGTTGTTTGTTCCTCGTTCGGTTGTGGGGGTGGATGGAATTAGTGGATATATGGAAAGTTAGAGGTCTGTGGGTATGGGTGTAGAAGATTGTAATTAGAAGTCGACAGGGGAGGGAATTGGGTCTGGCGGAAGAGAGTCGGAGAGAAGGGTGCGAAGGGTCAAGGTGGCCGGAGGAGATGACGTCGATTGATGCTAACGCCAAGACCTCGGCACGTCCAAGTTTAGATACTAGTATCGATCATGATGGTCTAGACAATTACAACTACGAATTTGCTTCAGATATAGTTATTATGGAAGTGGTCATAATAAATTAATAATAAGAAAAGAAGTGAAGAATGCAGAAATGTATTGTGAGGCCACCCAGACTGATAGCCCACGTTTATCCAATGTACATCCAAAATCTGTACAAGCGAATAGAATCCACCCTACTGCACAGCGGGCAAAGATGCATGGAGGGGCAGCTGTCGAGATGAGCTGCCCACAAAGATCTCCTTATGATAAGGAGTGATAACCCAATCCTGCTTCTGCACGTCCCAGTTGGAAAGATCCCGACGGCTCAGCGTCGTCGACCACACAACCTGCTGCGAGGGGGCCAGGTGCAGGCGTTCAAACTTGCGCAGCACCTTCTTGGGCTCGTTGGGGCCACCGAGAGATACGTACTATATTGAATTAGTATTTGAGTTACTGTTGGGCGGTGTTGCGTCTTACCAATTGAGGAACTTCATCACCCATGACATTCCCCGTGTTTGTGATGGTGACAGATACTCGGAACAGGTCCTCATACAGACGTGGATTGCCCCCTGCGCCACCGCCGGCAGGCAGGATAGGCTGGGGGGAGCTATCGTGCGATCCCTCGGGCACCCACTTGGCGATGTCCTCGTCGTAGTGAGGATCGCCGGAGGATGATTTCAAATCAGTCGAATTCAACCAGGGGTAGATGAATTGGCGGACGCGGTGCAATCCCTTGGGATATTGATAGTCAGACGCCTTGCCGGTCTTGCCCAATTTCGGGGCCGCTCCGGTCTTGCCCGAGGCCGGCTGGTACGCTGCGCCCTTCAGAGGCGAGACATGGAGATTGGAGAACCTAAAGGTGGTGTAACTCAGACCGTAGCCGAACTCATAAATGGGAGTCTCGTTCTTCTGGTCAAACCGGCGGTAGTCAATGAAGACGCCCTCGGTGAAGTCGGCCTGCGGGGCGCCCTTGCCATTATTAGGCTTGGTGACCAATGGAGCACCATAAGCCTCACGCGTCTTGCCCCAGGTAAACGGAGTTTTGGCACCGGGATTGACACGACCGTACAGCACATCGGCGATGGAGTTGCCCGATTCCTGGCCGGGCAGACCAGCCCAGAGGATCCCGGTCACGTTGGGGTGTTCATACCATTGATCGATCAGAACCGGCCCGACCGAGTGGATCACCACCACGGTGTTGTTGCAGCTCTTGGCCGCGGTCTTGATGACTTCCTCGCCGTTCTTCCAGAGCGTCAGGTTCTTGCGGTCACCGTTGTTCCCGTCCACACTAATGAACGCCTCGCCCGCATCGGCATTGACGAAAACAAGAGCCACGCTCGACTGGGCAGCCACCTTGGCCATCTGGTCCAGAGCCCAGTTGTCGGTCACCGCAAACGCGTTGCCCCGGCCATTGATCACTTGGCTCTGGATCGCCTGCTCGGGGGTCACGAGGTAGGGGAACTCGGCCGTGCCACTGCCCCAGGCCATGGCAAGCGTGCCGTTGTCGCATCCGCGATCGTCGCAGCCATTGGCACCCCAGGGGTTGGAGCCCGCATCCTCGCCTAGAATACTGACCTTCTTCTCCTTGCCACTCATGGGCAGCGCGCCTGTGTTCTTCAACAAGACCACGCTGTCGGCACCAACGCGACGGATGATCTGAGCATGATCTCGCTGCACATCCACAAAGTGATTCACCCTCTCGTAGGCTCCGTCCGAGACCGCGTTGTGCTCAAAACCAAACTCATCACGCGTCCACGAGCTAAAGTTCGGCGGAGTGTGGAGGCGATCACGGCCGACCTTGTAGTAAGCGGCCATGATACGGACAGCCATATCGTCCACCCGCCATTGTGGGATCGTGCCATTCAGGACCCCAATGGTCAGATTCGTTCCGTAGAAAGACAGACCATCGTTGAAAGTGATATCGCCAGGCATCGACATATCCATACCAGCCAGAGCGGCACCAACACCGCTATGATGGGCACTCCAGTCGCTCATGACGAAGCCCTGGAAACCCAGCTCCGCTTTGAGAAGCTTGTTCAGCGTCTGGCTGTTTTGACAGCCATAGCTGTTGTTGATTTGGTTGTAAGAGCACATGATCGCTCCGACGCCAGCTGAACAAGATTAGCATTTGAATTATAGCTGTGTCAGAAGCTCCCTACCTCGCACAGCATCGGCGAAAGGCCTGCGGATGGTCAGTCAAAGATCAGATAAAATTCCCAAAAGATCTACTTACCAGAGATACAACTCGTGCATGGTCTTGTCATCGATGTTGGAGCTTAGAGTGTCGGAAATTTCAAAGCCAAGGCCCTCAGCCTCGGGCGTTTGGCGGAAATGCTCCTGCTCGTTTGCAATGTAGTGCTTGGCCGTCGCAATCACACCAGCATCCTGGATCCCTCGAATGGTCTCCGCAAAGAGCACACCAGTTAGAGCTGGATCTGGGGAGAAACCTTCCCAGTTGCGACCCCCATCGGGATGTCTGCCCAATGGGCCAGCAGCTGGGCCCAATTGAACATCAATTCCCTTATCGCTGAACTCCTGGCCCATCGCCTCGCCCCGAAGGTACGCCAGCTGTTTGTCCCATGTTGCGGCAACGTTGATCCCAGCCGGGAAGGCGGAATTATAGTCCCCTGCCCCGTTAATACACAGACAAGCTATAGGGGTTGGATCACATGGCACCTACCAAAACGGATACCCAGGGGGCCATCCTGCAAACAAATGGATTGAATACCGAGTCTAGCTCCCATCAGCGATCGAAATCTTGTACCATTTCAATGCCCACCTACCTTGGAACACTACCCGTCTGACCCACACATTTATCCAGCATCCACCCAGTTCCCGTCGTCAGGTTCACCTTCTCCGCCAAGGTCATCTGCGACACTAGCTCGACTGCGCGCTGGTACGATTTCGTCCATTCGCCTTGGCCATTGGCCCATGGGGACGGGTAGAATGGAGGCGAGGACTCGAGATCACCCTGCAGAGAACACGGAATTAGAACCAAAGCTCCTCATTGAATTCCTACGCGACTTGTCATCCGTAGCGTGGGGGATGTGTTGGTACCTGTGCGCTCACGACCGAAGCCGCCGTCACGGCAGTTACCTGAAGCCAACCGAGCTTCATGGTCGCATATAGGTCATCCGAGGAAAACGGACGATCAAACCCTCGAGTAAAAAGTTGCGCGAGGCTGGAGTGGCAGAATGTAAAAGGGGAGGGGAACAAGGAACAACACAGGAGGGGGAAAGGTGATATTAATAGCTGGTAAATACCACGGACACCACCTGCATAGGAGAACAACAACCCGATAGGAATGATGTATTTCAGGCAATTGAGAGAGCTAATGGCTTTAGCCTAGATCACCTCACAGCCAAGAGACCCATGTACCCATGTCTTACAATCACAAACAGGAAGGGGGGGAAGGCGGACCCGCTATTGCTTGGTACGGCACGGTGATCAACATGGGGGGTAAAATTAATCGCGAGAGGGATGACTGACTTCATCTTTAGTACCTTACACTGGGGTTGTAATAATGGATCGGTCAACCTGTGGCCCACTGTTGGTAGTTATCGGGCATCTATTCCACCAGTTCCCTCTGGAGCTATCATTCTCGGCACCATCAGTTACTTTCAGGTACTTTTCGGTAAGATAGGAGGTATATCCCTGGTTCAATCTGAGCCAAGTAGTATCGGACATACCTTCCCTTCCAACTCGACGCGTGAAAGGAACTTGGAATGAATGTTGGAGCCAACTCATCATAACAACTCATCCCACGCAAAAATTTCCAGCGCACAGGCGAGCAATGAATCTAGAGTCCTTGGCGACGCCTTTTCCCCCGCAGGAGCGATGGAGTTGTTGTGGTTGGGATGCGATATCGAAAGACCAGGGAAAGATTACCAGATATGGTGACAATACACATACCACACCCTGTACTATCTCACACACAATTCTCTCCCTCGAATCACTACTCGGGTGGTGACCGTTCCGTCAGATCCGGTAATGGTTCTAGTAATTGTGACTAGATCGATCTTGGCCTCAGTTAACCTTTCCCCAGCCACGGTTATACTCCGGATTCCCCAAACAAAGGAAGCTAGGACTCGGATGGGGTTGTGTGTGACTAGCTACCCCGGCCTAGGGTGGTGATGTTTCCCTCTTCTCTAGTTTTTGTTATCTAATTCCTGCCGCTTTGACCATCGATCAGGTTGTCGCTCCCATATGGATCGAGCCAAACGTCATTATTACCACCGGGATAATGTTACGGTGTCACCAGGGCTTCCCTCCGTACTCCATCGGGCCGACCTCCGATGCAGTTCTTCATCTGCGGGCATTTATCGGGTCTTGAACCAATGGAAATTACATTCTATCTGCGACTCATGTCAGATCACCTGGCAAGGCAGTTCACGATCCACAAGGTGGTTGAATCTTTGACCGCTAGGGCCCGTTCGAGTTCTCCCCTGCTGTCTCAATCAACCCAGTAACCATGCAGGGGGGTTGACAAGGAGTCGGGAACCCATCGATCCTGACTGCCGAAGAGCTACAAAGCCGTAACAACAAGCGATATCCAATTAGCCGAGAAAAATAGGCCGAAGACGGGCCCCCTTGTCAACGTCGGTCCCTCTTTTATACATCCTTACATGGGGATGGCATACAATCCAGGTTAGCCTTTTCCTGACGCATAATTATCAGTGTCGTGGAGTTTCTCAGGTCTACTGATATTGTATGACTGCCCGTGAATCCTTCTTGCTAGGAAACCTCAAGCAGTGTAGATCATGTGTAGGAAACTATACAAACATCTAGAATGATGTCGTCTTCAGTAACCTACTAACTAACCCAGGGTAAACTTCGGCTATATCCCCAAAAGATATTAGTGCGCTCTGGGTATAGGCTTTGACAAAAAAAAAAAAAAAACGGGCATTATGGATGATCAACCCATGAATGGATCGTTTGCCTTTCGTGTTTTGGAACAAGATGATATTTTGACGAAAGGGGCTATCTGATGTTAGGGGGGAGGATGGTCAGGAAGAAAGATCATGATCAATTGATATGATTTCATTTGTCTAAAGAATGTTCAAGAGTATTTCATACTATATTCAATTATAATTAGGGCTTTCTCAAGAGGGAAGAGATTCTCCTGTACCTGAGCTTGCCCTTTTTTTTCCGGGTACTGCCGCAAACTATCTTTCTTTCATTTGAGTGGTTTTCATGCGCCTACATGTCGATTTTTCAATTGACTACAGCCTTTTTCCAGGGTCAATGACTGGTCCTCGCCTATTACATCTGTATGCTCGGACGGAATAATCATTTCATACTCGATCCTTAAGGCGATGTAAGAATGCATCCAATTATCGAATCGAGGAATCTTGCTCGTTCACAGGCCTTTCCATAACACCATTTTCCCAAGTGAAACCATAACGAACCAATCCAGGCCGTTCCGCAATCTTCGTGGCATGGTTATCATCATCAGAGACCCTCCCCACGTGTCTATTGAATGTATCCCAGAAAAGGGTTTCCAGCCTGGAAGAATTGCTGTGGTAATGCCAACCAGTTGAGTTCATAGTACCCAGCATGTTCCGGATGCCCCAGAGAGACATCCCAAACGGCAAAACCTTTGATTCGGCCCAACCAACAATCCCATTGATACCGCCTGATTCAGCATTGACAATGATATCTCATCTCACATAGGTCAGTGTGGGTTAGAGCTAACGGATACCAGATAGTGAGGGAAGGCGATGGTCCAATCACACCTTTGTTGACACAGGCGGGCACATCATTTCCGTAGATCTTCCTAGCAAGAGCCAGGCCTTCTATATCTAAGAGACTGGGGAATCTGGAACTATGTAAGATGCTTTCTAGCTGTTACAATGTAACTGAAAACTCCATGAAGCTGAACTGGTTCCATAGCTACACTAGTAACCCTGCTTGGTCGCATTCCTCCTGTGTGACAGTGCAGCCAGAAAAAAATGATTGATTACGTCCTCGAGTGAATGATAGGACATCTTAGCTGGCATAAGCTTTGCTGAGAAAAGTGTAGAAGTACTCGGTCAGGGTCAGGAAATGGAAGAATCTGGGGCTTATATCGGCCTTAAGTATGGATAGTGACATAGTTAGCGGTCAAGCCTTTGTTACCTTGTCGAGGGAAGGTGGACTTGGACCTCTGAGATGATAACTATAAGCTATATAGCTTGTATCACGTGTCCGTTGCTGCCTATGTCTCCATTGCTGCCTGGATTGCTGAGATATACTTACCCCTTGTGACACCATAATTCCCCATGTTATAAAAGACTATACCTTCCCTAATATTCCCAAACGGTATGTTCATCCTCAGCTTTACTCTTCGCCAACAAATTTCAAGACTTAGCTCGGGGTTTTTCTTGATAGTCGATCCGTTCAATCGCGTGTACATGCTCGTCATGGATGAAGAACCTATTGTCTGGACAGATTGGTTTTTCTCCGGCGACCCTCCAGAGTCCATCAAAGGCACAGAAACTAATAGTGACAAAGACTTCCCACGGTTCTTTTCAGAAGATGAAGACTTCATAGTACGAGGACAGACCGGACAATCGAAATACACAAGTTATGAAACCATACAGGTGTACTGGCTTTGGAGTAATGGATACAGAAAATACGTGGGCAAAATTGTAAGTCGATATTTCCAATGCACATCTTGCCTGGATTAACAAGGCTCTAGTTTCCCGATTATACCAGAAGCCACGCCCTACAGAGAATTCACTGTCGCCCGAGAGCACTAGCAGGACGTCGTATTCCGGATATTATCGATGATGCCGTTCACGAATTTGATAGGTTTTGCCAGGAGGCTCGAGCATATACCCACATTTACCGATTCTGCCCTGCCAACGAAAGAATCTACTTTCCAAAGTTTCATGGTGTAGTCACTGACATGCAACGATACTCTTCTGGAAGTGTGAATCAGCGGGCAGTCGTGTTAGAAGCCCTTAGACCGAGCTTGCGCTCCCGACGTGTTCTGGGTGAGAACACCACTGAGTTGCCCGAAACTTTTTCAGACATTCTTGCGAATCTACCTCTGAGTCCATTTGAATATGAATGGTACTGTTCCTTGCTGAAAGACCGACTTCGTCGCCTGGATGCCTTACATCGGATCGGTGTAACACATGGAGACGTTAAGGACCGGCATTTTCGAGTCCCGGGTGATTTCTATGACACAGTCTTATATGACTTCTCTGAGTCATACGCATTCTCTGAGAAAAAGCCTCTCGTGGTAAACGCCTGTAAACCCCGTCCCTTGAAATGCATATCAAAGTGTGAACAGGAGTGCGTTAAGTCCCAGGTTGAACAACGGTAAGGATTGAGCTAAACATCCTTGTAACATAACTAATTCGACCAGAGCCGTCGACCGAGATTTCCGCTCCCACCTTATTAGACTGATCTCACAGGATACCGTTGATGATTCACTGAGTCAGTCGCTGGACAAGGAGGAGGAGTGGCTGGAGTTAATTGTATTGAAGGTCTATCATCGCCCAGATTGTCAGTCTCTTTCTTTTTCTGCGGTCTTCTGAGACACATGCAACTGACTATGCTAGATTTTTTAATGCCAACGTTGAATTCCATCTTCCCTTTCCTGGAAGAAGTTCGTCCAGAGTGTGACCCATGCTGGCATATCCGCAGAGGCCGGCTTTTGCATCATTATGAGCCGGTTTGGGCGGTTGCCATGGGGAAAAGACATCTTGATCCGATCACCTTCGAGAATGAGGCGCAGTTCGAAACAATTGTAGAATGCGATAGATCCCGCATTTTGCTTTGTTTGGTGCCAAAGTGGTGGAATATATCAATCAGAGCGATTCGTGATCCAGACTTGAAGGATACTTCAGGATTGGTTGACAAGCTGCGGGATGCTTGCTTGCGTCTTGTCTTCTCACATGGAACTCCTGGTTTTGTTATAGGTCATCGCGAGTTCCTTGGAACGGACAAGGAGGACAGAGAGATTCGAGATAACCAGAATGTGGTAAAAGAATCCTTAGAGCCAAGTGGACGAGATGTTGAATCTATGTAGATCTAGTCCACGTGACGACCGGTATGTCACTGCCTCGTTCTGATTGGCTGGTGGGGGGTTTCTGACATTCTACCCGCTCAAAAGCTGTCTCGGTGGAGCCCTATATTGCTATCCCTTAGTAGTGTTCAAATTTGACATTGGTTTCTAAAACTACGACTCATATACTGCCACTCCATCCTGATATAGGCCTCAATTCATATTGTGAATGAAATCATACCGACTATAAGATGACGGGGGAAAAATGTCCGCCAGCCGATCTGGAGACGTGCAACAGTCCGGAATGCTCTACTGTTGACGGCGAACGCAACGAAAGAGAGCCAACCTCAGCCTTCAAGCAGCTGGGCATCCTGGATCAATTTCTGGCTCTTTGGATCTTCATCGCCATGGCCGTTGGCATCATCCTTGGAAATTTCGTCCCTAATACGAGCAAGGCCTTGGACAGGGGAAAGTTTGTTGGTGTTTCGATTCCGATTGGTAAGGGATTTTCTACTGGTGATCTGCTAAGATATCGAATTGCTGATGGCTGCAGCTGTCGGACTGCTGGTTATGATGTATCCCATCCTGTGCAAGGTCCGCTATGAGACTCTCCATCGGTCATTTTCGGAGAAGTCGCTCTGGATCCAGGTTGGATTCAGTATTATCGTCAACTGGATAATAGCCCCTCTATTTATGGTGAGCCCTCTTTGACAGACAAACTCAGGACCATGGCTGATGAGTAAAATAGCTGGCTCTTGCGTGGGCATTTCTTCCGGACGAGAGAGGGCTCCGAGAGGGCTTGATCCTGGTCGGAGTCGCACGATGTATTGCAATGGTATGGTGGCCTCATTATCCAGCGTATGGTCTCGAACACTGCTGACGGACTTCCAGGTGCTCGTGTGGACAGGACTAGCAGGAGGAGACGGCGAGTATTGCGCGATTCTAGTCGCAATCAACTCAATCCTACAAATGGTCCTGTTTGCCCCGATTGCGATTTTCTTCATCCGTATCATCGGTGGCTCCGACGACGTGACCATTGAGTATTCCCTCGCGGCGAAAAGTGTTGGTGTCTTCCTGGGAATCCCACTGGGAGCGGCCATCGTCACTCGCCTTTCCTTGAGATTCCTGATCAGCAAGGAATGGTACGATAAGAAGTTCCTAGCGTGGATCGGTCCGCTATCGCTGATTGGTCTCCTGTTCACCATTTTGGTGCTTTTCGCCGCGCAAGGAAGGCACGTGGTACACCAGATTGTATCGGTTGTTCGAGTAGCAGCTCCGCTCATTGTGTACTTCTCTGTCATCTTCCTGGCGACCCTGGCGGTGACACACCGCTTCGGCTTTGGATACAAGCTATCCTGCACACAAAGCTTCACTGCCGCAAGCAACAATTTCGAACTAGCCATTGCGGTGGCGATAGCCACGTTCGGTGTCGACAGTGACCAGGCCCTCGCTGCAACCGTTGGACCGCTCATTGAGGTCCCTGTACTCCTTGGCTTGGTGTACGTCGTGAAATGGTTTTCCAAGCGACGGCAGTGGGCACCATAATTGCTGGGATTGACGTGACGTGACAGACGTGCAGGCATATAAAAGCGATAGAAGTAATAGCGAGATAATGATAATCAGTTCACATGTTACTGATTTCGTCCAAGACCTGGAATAGAACTTGATTTTGCACCCTGCACCCATCGTCCCTGAAGCCTTTCGAGAAGCCAATCCAGAGCTTTTTGCGAATCTCTTCCATGTCTAAGCCGCGCGTGTTGTATTGTTGAATGAGCTCTTCTGCAATGGCGCACAGCGTAGTGTTAAGAACGTCATCATTCGAGGGCCATGGGTCTGTGTCGCTAGGAGGACAGCCACAGATTGAATGACTCTGAGAAGATCCACACGAGTTGCCATTCTTCAGCGGTTTGCAATCGTTCCCTGAACCATGTCCATCATTCGTCTGATGTGGTTCAACTGTATGGGCGCTACCGTCGATAGAATCCCCCCTGTTTGAAAATGGAATCGACTGAAGACTGTTCCTCTCAGGGCTGAATGACTGGCGTTTAACTTCCTGCCGTCGAAGGGCAGGTATTGCCACTTTCTGGGTCACCCCCAGATCACTGTCTATCTCGAGGTACTCACTGACAGCAGTGGAGGGCAGTCCCATGCTAGAGAGAAGATGCCTCAGCTTCCTGTTCTCCGCCCCAAGCCTCTGGACCGCAATTCTATGTTCAACATCTTTGCGATTGGCCTCGTCCTTGAAAGCGGATAGTTTCTGTTCCAATTCCCGGATATGCTCCTGTTTCCTTGCGCGACTCTTGCGCTGATTCTCCCTGATTCGCGCCAGGCGATCGGGTTTCTATGGAAATCAAGTCAGGCGGTTTCACAAGAGGATAAAAGCTTGGTTATTCGCACCTTTCCCGAGTCTCCCAAGTCCATTTTTTTCATCATATGAAAGACTAAACTTGCGGTGGCGAACGCATGCCCTGTCGATCAGGGTCCGTCGTTCCTTAATACGAGGTTCGCATGGTAGCAAGATCCTGCGCTTTCCCCAAAGTGGCCACATCACGTGCGCCCTAACCGAGATGGTCAGACGAGGGGGCCAGAAGTTCAATAGTACTTGCTACACTGTACTTCATCTTCCTCCTAATGGATGGTTTGGGTCTCTCACAAGAAACTCAAATCAATAGCACGTCGATATGGACTATTTTCTCTCCATTATTGGGAAAGCTTAGAGACAGTTTAATGCTACAAACTATCAACTGACAACCCGCAGAGACGGTACTCTCACACCAGGTTTTAAATGGACGAACAGGGAATCTGATCCCACAATTTCATTGCTATTAACCTATTATTACCTGGTTTTACTATGCATATGTAATTGTATCAGGATTGTACGCCATCCGTGCGCCGAGGATTGATTGGATCGACAACAGAGGAGCTCTTGAACTAAGGCATCCATCTCAGCGAAGGTACCTCCTATATCCTCCTTCGGCGTTTGGAATTTAATTAACCACGTGCAGACGCACTTTTTTTCTTTGCTCCCCTTTATTCTCTTCTTTTTGCTTTCTTGACGTCTTTGCTGGCAAGCATGCCCTTATCCAACACCATATTCTACTATACGTATACTTAGTACCATCGAAATAATACCCACGAAACTCTACGACCATTCATCTCGAGCTTCAATATCTACAAATTAGAATTGCAGGTCTTGGACATCCGGAAATATCCGCGGGGTGTGTCTCTCCTTGAGAACAAACCAAGGGGATTGTTCAAATTCGAAACGGTTTAAGGCTGTGGACAGATAGTATAGGTGTCTAACAGATTAACGTCGACCACACAACCTCTGGTATTTTCTCCATTCTCCATGTTCACCAGTCAACTATCCCATTTGCCTACAATATCTATCAAGCTAGATCTATAAGTATCCATCCATCTATCCATTCATTAATAATCACCACGGGTGTTGGTGGATGATTGAGCCGTTAATAATCCCCAGCATGCCAAGCCGCCACTGACCGACCCGACACCTTAGGTTCTTCTTCCCCAGAGTCTAAACCCGCGAGATTCAGTTTGCCTCATCCTGTGGTTTTACCCGTCCTTCTCCTCACCAACTACTTCCAAATCACTGGCTGTTTTCCTTCTTGCACCAGTTCGACTTTTCTCCCTTCTCCCCTCTTCCCCCCCGCTCACCCCCTACCTTCAGTTTCTCCAGTCTTGCCGAACGATGCCCCGCGCGTTATTCTTGGGGTACCCGCTCCCGGCATGATCCCTCCCGAGTCCGACGAATCTCCCTTGGTTTCCTCCGTGGGCCCAGCTCTGGGGAACGATGATGTTGCTCTCCCCGATGAGTTCGACACTCATAGTCGAGCCAGCTCGAGAGACCCCGGTAGTGTCCAAACCGTGGGCGATCCCCCCACAGCCGACGCCAGCCAAGACCAAGCACAGGACGCCACCAACAATGACCTCTCTCAGAATCCCGATTCGCTGCAGAAGGATGAAGACAGGCCCGCATGGACGGAGTTGAAAACCAAGGCCGGGAAGGAGCGGAAACGCCTTCCTCTGGCCTGTATTGCGTGCAGGAGGAAGAAGATCCGGTGCTCCGGCGAGAAGCCGGCGTGCAAACACTGCTCGCGCTCTCGAATCCCTTGCGTATACAAAGTCACCACTCGGAAAGCGGCACCTCGAACGGATTACATGGCGATGCTGGACAAGCGCCTGAAGAGGATGGAGGACCGTGTCATTAAGATGATACCCAAGGAGGAGACGCGAGACATGACCGCGATCGGGCGGTCAAACGTCCGACCACCTCAGCCGGGACAAGTCTCCAAAACTCAGAAGAAACGGTCGGCGGACGATGCATTTGGGGCCGAAATGGACGAATGGGCGCAAGGCGACCGCGGAGGGCCACCAGATACTTTTCCTATGCGCCGCGATAGCAGGCCTGGTGACCCCAACAGTCTGATGACGGAAGGGACTGAATTTCTGCCATCTTTAGAGATCCAGGAGCATCTTGCGGAGGTGTTCTTCGACTGTGTCTATGGCCAATCTTATCTTCTCCTCCATAAGCCTAGCTTCATGCGGAGATTGAAGGCCCGAACCATTCCCCCGGTATTGATTTTAGCCCTCTGCGCTGTCTCTGCTCGTTTCTCGACCCACCCACAGGTTAAGTCAGACCCGCCCTTTCTGCGCGGCGAGAATTGGGCCAACCCAGCGGCACACATCGCCATGAGTCGGCACGACGAACCCAATATAACAATCTTGACTGTGTTCCTGCTTCTGGGATTACACGAATTTGGGACCTGCCATGGTGGTCGAAGCTGGTCTTTCGGAGGGCAAGCCATGCGCATGGCCTACGCCTTGCAACTACACAGAGAGCTCGATCACGACCCCTTGCTGGGACAGGGCAACAACAGAAAATCCCAGCTCAGTTTCACGGATCGAGAGATCAGGAGACGTACGATGTGGGCCTGCTTCCTGATGGACCGGTATAACTCGTCTGGCAGCCAGCGTCCGCCAATTGGCAACGAGCAATTTTTGCAGATTCAGCTTCCCACCAAGGAACCCCATTTCCAGATGGAGATTCCCGGTCCTACGGAGGACTTGGACGGGCACGTGCCAAATCCAGTTCCGGAGGACGTTGGCCAGTTGTCCAATGCCCGGGACAATATGGGTGTGTCAGCCTATATTATCCGTGCTGTGGTAATCTGGGGCCGTATCGTGGATTACCTAAATCTCGGAGGAAAGAAGAAGGATAGCCATCCTTTATGGTCGCCCGAGTCGGGATACACACGTCTCAAGCGGCAGATTGATGAGTTCTCCGCGTCCCTCCCCAGTAGTCTTGCTTTCACGTACGAGAACCTACAGATGCATGCCGCCGACCGGGTAGCCAACCAATTTCTCTTCCTGCACATCATCATCCATCAGAACATGCTGTTCCTGAACCAGTTTGCGATTCCCTTGTCGCCTGGGGGGCGTCCTCCGCGGGATATGCCAAAATCCTTCTTAAGCAATGCCGGGCGAGCTGCCGTAGAAGCTGCGCATCATATTTCGGTTCTCATAGACCGTGCGTCGGCTTACCCTCTCACCGTCCCATTTGCCGGATATTGCGCCTACTCGGCCAGCACTGTCCACATCTGGGGGATCTTTTCCAAGAACGCACAACTCGAAGCCCGTTCGAAGGAGAATTTACGGCACACCTACCGGTACCTCAACAAGATGAAGAAATACTGGGGCATGTTTCATTATATGGTCGAAAGTGCCAAGGACCGATATCGACAATTTGCGGATGCCGCCATCAAGGGTTCGGTGCCCACCCAGAACGGGGGACAAATTGCTCCCATGTTCCAATACGGAGATTGGTTCGACAAGTATCCTCATGGAGTGTCAAGAACGCACTATGAGGACCCGGACAAGCAACAAAGAGGCAGTGACGAGGCAGTGATGAGCCAGAAACCAGACCTCCAGAGCGTCGAGGACTTTTTCGCCGGTCTCTCCCCGGGGTCCCAGCCCAGCGTTCCGCGGAGAGTGCACTCTCGCACAAACAGCCGGCCGGAAGCGGTACCGGGATTGGATCGGATACCCTCGCAGCAGCACATGGTCGAACTAAACATGGACCACGTCCCTGAGTTGCTCGGCACATCGGAGATCGGGTTCCCACAGCCCCCATTGTATAGCCAGGGCCGCGGACAGCCATTTGGGCAGTCGGCCTTCGACTTCCCCGTTCCCACAGATCAGCTACCCCAGATTGATCGGCAGTTCGTCTACGGGTCATTCTCTGGTTTCGACCCCTCGCCTACGTCCTTCGTATCGCCCGATGACCCCACCATGGGCACAGTCAACGGTACGGCAGAACATCTCCCTCCCCCTCCTCCCAACCAGCCTCCCAACCAGCCTCCCAACCAAGATACTTCCGCCATTTTCGCCGGCCAGTTAGATCCAAACGCCCCATCCGGCACCGGAGAGTACTACCAGCCCAGCGCGTGGTTCCTCCCATTCAACCTGGACCCTGTAGGCCTCAACGTCAACCTAGACCCAAACCTCCAACAACCCCCGGGTCCAGGCGGCGGCCCAGACCATGACATGGGCGCCTTCGGCAATGCAGGCAACATGCCGATCGGCGCATATGATCTAGGGATGGGAATGAACCGAGGAGGCCATTAGGCTCTCTTTACGTGTTGGTATGAAAGGTGCGGAGTGAAGCGCTGCGGATATTTCTGCTATTTCCTTTATACTGTCTCCTTTGTTATTTGGCGAGGCTTGGGCTGGATCTCGGAGGATACTAGGAGAGAATGGAGTTTCGATCATCTTACTCTTTTTTATGCGTATCTACCCTTGTTGTTGTCTGCTTGTTCATGCCTTATCCTTGGCTATGTCTTGTTGTTGTTGTTGTTGTCACTTCTTCGTATATTATTCATTTAGCTACCCCTTTGTATCTAACCATGTGCATATAACCATCAATGTTTGACGGGTGGATACTGTCCAAGACTCGGAGTATGGGTAGTAGACATGTATTTATTTGGGAGGAAAATGCGCATACAATGAGTGAGTGGGTGGGTGGGTGGAAACATGAAGCCGTAGACATTATGATGTTGTGTAGCGCAGCGACAACCCGGTGTTTATGACCACATGGAGACCAACACACCTCGACTAACTACTAGATTCTTTAGAACCTACTAACCAATGCATGATAACTACCAATCTCATGCATGAAAGGAATAGACGTGCCCGTATGACAGGTGTTGATGCGAGACATAACAAAGTTTACCGATCCGGCCAGGGGTTGGTTACCTTATCTCCCAATCATCCTTATCCTGCACCATATCAAAACAAAAATCTGCAAATAAAAACAAATGAGACCCCTCTACGATTGGCAAAAAATATGAAGATGGGGAAGGGAAGAGGAAAAAAGAATGCATCATCCGTGAATCGAACACGGGCCTCGTCGATGGCAACGACGAATTCTACCACTAGACCAATGATGCTAGTTGATGTAGGTTTGAAAGGGGTGGGAATATATAGAGTGCTTGGCACTATGTTCTCCTACCTCCAATTGCTTGGGGCTGTGGGTGGTTAGGTGCTTGATATTATCTTGATGGATATATGCCATGTGGCGTCCCTTTCTTATAGTGCTATATATAATATAATAGGGATACAGGTCTTGTGTTTGGATTGGACGAGTTCACTACCTGTATACACTAGATGTATATACCCGAGCACCTTGTATATATTTTACCAATTCTGCTAGCGCAGCGACTACTTCTTTTCGAGAACGACCAGGATTCCCAACCGCAACTAATTGATTAAATAGGATTAATATCATTCTGAAACGCCGGGAACTCCCTCAATGCTTATTCCTACAAGCTAGAATAAAGTGACAGTAGAAAGCGGCATCAACCAGCCAGTCACAGTTGGTTAGACAACCAATGCTAATATAGATAGAGATAGATAGGTATACAGCACTTTCATACAGCCCACGGCCGCTCCTCTCTCCCATACCGCCCAGTCTATGCATCTCAATCAATCCTCCCATTCCTCATCCAACTGATCTATCAGGCGGTTTTCAGCATCCACGTCCGATGATCGTCCCGTCCTGCGGCCGCGGCCGCGACCGCCGATTGCACCCATAAAGCCGCCGGTGCTGTTGGCGCGGGCGTATCCGGCTGACGAGCGCGTGCGGTTGCAGCGGAGGAGGTTGGCTAGCGAGGTGAAAAGGATGATCATCATGTCCTGTTAGGGTTTGGTTAGGTTGGTTATTATTATGCTGTATGTATCACGTAGTATTTGCGCAATGTGAAATATGTAGGTATCGGGGAGCAATTTTAGGAATGGCCAAGGCTTTATAGTCTATTGTGGCCCGGCCCCAAAGATTCGGTGTGGCTATTGACAGAGAGGGAGGTAGAGGCAGAGGGGAAGAAGGAGTCAGAGATAGAAAAGACAAAAGAGAGTGTGTTGGGCAGACGCAGTCCGCGACATTTGTGAAGGAATCATCTCAATAAACCAAATATCCAAACAGACGCAAAACGAATGGCAGCGGGAACCGCCTTCCTCGATGTAATTGAGCCCTAGACCAGCTAAAGCGTGATTCAATCCATCCTCGAAATTGGTAACTTCGCATTGCCAAACTCCTTGTGAGAGGCCGGCCCACGACGCCAGGAATTCGGTCGGGTCCGGGCTCGGGAACGAGACCACCACCGTAACGGGTTCAACATGCATATACTTACTTTGAGGAAATCAAACATGCCCGCCCACAGGCTGTAGTTGGGGCACTGTCTCCATCCGCGCTGGTGCATGACTGTGCGCTGGTATGCGCAGCCACCGAGGAAGTACGCTGCGACGGCAATCAAGGCGCTATTAGAAACAGTGTTAGCTTGCTTTCTTACTTCCTTTTTTCTCCTTCCTTCCCAAATAGAACCCCCCCCCCCCCCCCAATACTACTCCTTAGATAGGGAATGCTCACATCACACCGAATACCTCGGCAGGTCCCAACCCATCCCCGTCCGACGGGGCGACACCGCCACATGCCGCAGCGGTGCGCACCTCGAAGAAATACGTACACTGGTCCATGGTACCCACGAACGATGGTGTGGCATGGGTACCCGGCGAGTCGTTGTCGCACAGGAAAGACATGATCGTCGACTTGGTCCGTGATGCATTCCCCAAAAATTCGCCAGGACACGGGGAACCATCAGTGTAATTCAAGACCAGCTTGCGACCACGGAAAAAGGGCTCCGACGCTTGTTGTCTGAAGACAACAATATTCAATCAGCCGTCACTCCTCGATTCTGTGCATAGTGGATGATCCCGGTCTCTCAACATACCCTATGGAGTATATTTTGTTGTCCTTCTCGTAATAAGCACTAACGTTTCCCCACCTCTGGCGATCGACGCCAACGACATCCACCACATCCTCGACCACGGGTGCACAAAAATTCAGTGTAAAGTTCGCATTGTAGTCGTGGCCCTTGGCGTGCCAGCTTTCGTCTCGAATGCGTTTGCGCGACTTGTCGCTGTCACTAGCGGAGCTTGGCGGGGAAAGGGATATAGCATTGAGATCGTAGTAGAAGCCGGTGCTGGCAGAGCGCGCCACGCAGGGTAAAAGGTTATCTTTACCGGAAGAGTCCGATGCTGCTACAACGGAAGTGATGGGGATCGAGAGGAGAAGGAAGCATTGCAGGAGACTTGTGCCGAGAGGTATCATGTTGGCGACTAGATTGCGGGACTGGGATGGAGCGACATGTGTCGTAACTGAAGGACGGTGCAGCAACGAGAGACAGAAAGAAAGTCGAGCAACAAAAGGAAGAATAATGTCAAAGATAGGAAGAGACAGGGGATGATAGATCAGGAGAGATGGATGAAGATGTAGAAAGTGGAATCGAATAGAATGATGAAACGTCGCATTGCCTTGCAGCCTCAGTTTGAACGGCTTATGTAACCGGTGCCTGTCATCCCAGCCACTAGTAATTCTAGCAATTACGTCGCCCTGCCAGATGTGGAGCTTAAATCTAGTTGCCTACTGGACCCGATTTAGTACGTATCATATCACTCGTAGAATGTATCAAACGGACTTCCTACCGCTTCCTCTTCTTGGATTCCGTATCGGACAACACTTCTAACCCCCAAGCCTCGTCCCTGTCATTAGGAATCCATGGCATCAGTACTGTCTTTGCATCCTGGATAGCTCTTTGTCTGATCATAGCCGACTGAATCGAGACAGCTGCATCCTTTTTTAGGTCTTGATAACTGGAAGCTTCGATGACTTGCCGCAAGACAGCATCCGGGTTGCCATCATCGGCGCGATCGCCCTCCGCTACATGCTCTTTCGGAACCCCGTCTTCTCCAAAACCATCGCCTGATTCTCCCCGGCTATGCTTTAGTAGCATTCGTACTATCTCCCTTTGAAGCCCCCATAGCTTTGCCCTGGACAACCCAGAGGCACCTCGCGGAATTGGGGCCGAAGCCTTCGTGCCCTGTTTCACCCCGTTGATGATTGTCTCGTAAAGTCCGGTTTTGGACCCGCGGAGCTTTGGCACGGTCTTGGCTCCATTGTCCGATGGGGTTCCAGCCGCATCTGGGGTCGACGGGGCAGCTATCCAGAGCACACTGATGTTGCCAGGTTTTGGCTTGCGGGGGCTCTTTTCATCCTGGCCTTGATTCTGTGGACCATCCTGGCCGCTCGCCGAGAGATTATCGACCGAGGGATTCTTGCTGAACGGCCAGAGCGAGTGAAGTTGCGTATTGGGGATAGAGAGGACCCTGAAGGGATGATATCCGTATTGAGATGCGCGGTTTTGTTCCAATTCTTCGCTCTCTTTGCTGGAACCGCTGTCCTGTCCATCCTTTTTAGAATCCACATGATTCAATTCTCCCCACACTCGCCCTTTCAATGGTCCCATCCTACCCCCATCCCCAAATGCCCTGTCGCATCCTTCCCGACTGATTTCCTCGTCGGGTAATACTATCCCCTCTAGATAAACATTTTGCGTCGCTGCCACAAGCAAACTGCTCCCGCACGACAGCAAAGACGAAACCTGCCGTAAGGCCAGTTTGTCCGAGCAAGATTTGCTCTTCGTTGCGACGGCATCCGCGCGGGACGGCTTGCGGCGGACAACGCCGAGACGCGAAAAATGGGCCCGCCCGTCCAGCAGTGTTGGCTCAGGCTTTGATTCGGGGTCATTTATATCTGAGGAAAGGTGTGCATTGGCATCGATGTCGGGCGTGGCCCAGGGCGTTGGGTCGTCCTGCGCGGCCATGCAGAGCTCCATGCTTGCATCGCCGCAGGGTGCACAGGTGCAGTACATGTAGACTTTCACATCAGGTTGAAGTTCAAAGGGTGGTTCTGGATGAGGCGGTATTGGATCTGGGGACTGGATTGATGTTGAACCTGTAGATCGGCTTGCGTGCTTACGATCTTGTTGCCGGAATCGTATAAACCGCGATGAATGTTCGCCCTCTTCCGCTGATGGAAAATCGGTAACAAGGAGACCGCGGCATTCAGAGAGAAGCCAGTAGTTAAAAGCGCGCATGACAAGGACCTCTGCATGCCAGTCATGCAACACTAGGCCCTTGCAATTGGGGATCTGGGACGCAGCAAGGCATTTTGCGCCGGTTCTGCACTTCTTAGCTATGAGTGCCTTAAATTATGGGCTCACAGACTCACGCAATGCATATGCAGGTGAGAGATTCCGAAGGGCTATTCTCTCCTGGGCCATGTGAGCTTGTAATAACAAAACCAATGAACTATAGAACGATCATGGCGGACTCAAGCCTAACGCCTGACCCGATTGTACCTGATGCCACGCGATACAAAGATAATACTCCAACCCTCGTATACAGATGTAAGTAATTTGAACATACCTCTTACAAGCACAATCCCAGACATGGGAATCCATTCCCTCGTGCCATCAGGCCGAATAGTGGGCTTGCTGCGCGGGGGAAGGGCATCGAAATGCGCGTGAACAAGAGAGGCTATCCGCGAGCCCAGCGAATCTTCTGACCCCGTCTCACCCATCTCTCACGGTACATAACCAGAAAGAACCAAAATCACAGTGATCTGCTTGGACTTAGTGGTAGTGATTTTGTCTGGGCTTGCCTTACCCCGGGCGTCCTTTTTTTCCCACCCTTATCGCCAACACGATAAGATAGCACCACGTGACCGCCATATCCACCGCAATCTTATCTCAACTCTCTTCGGCCTCAGCCCTTCCCATCCGTGCGAGCGGAACTTCCATCCAACAAACCTCCTCACACCCTTCACCCTAGCAAATCTCGTCCCCGAGGAAACGCGAATCAAAATGGCCGACAAACTCCGCACAATCCAGAACCTGGAGGCTATGCAGGCCCGCTATGTCGGCACAGGCCACGCAGACACCACCCGCTACGAATGGGTCTCGAACATCGTCCGCGACAGCTACGCCTCGTATGTCGGCCACGCGCCCCTGCTATCGTACATGGCGGTTGGCATGGGCGAGCCCAAAGAGAAAGTGCGCGCACAGATGATTGAGAAAATGGTGAGGGGGGCTGGGAATCCACCGGAGGTATGTCATTATTCTAGTCTGCTTGGAATTCCACCCTATGGGAAGGGAAGTGCTAATTGTGGTTATCTTTCGGAATAGACGCAAGAATAACGAATTGTTTGTGGTTTCGGAATCTTGATTCTGGGTTGCATGGGCGCTTGGGGCGTCTTTCCTGCTCGCTCTGCCCTGAGCGATCCATTTCGTGACTCGTTTGCGCCTACGCTTTTACGACTTATTGGCGATAACTCTTTTCTTTGAATTGGGAGGCGGCGCGGGAATAGAGGCTGCTTTGGCTGTGTTTGGGTGGTCGGTTTGCGTGTCGCATGCTGATAACCTTGCTGTTCGTCTCGACCGGGATCGCTGCGTGGTGATGGACATAATAAGATAATGGCGCTGCAATATCGTTGCCTGGATGAGGATAAGCATGAACGACACCCTCCCAGGAAGGACCAAGTGCAAGATTGAGCTCAAGGGCTGAGGGGCCCAGGGGATATGTGCAGCATCCATCTGCTACGGAGTCAACCGGTCTGGTTGAGGGGCTGTCTGTCTATACATGTACTACTAAGAGACACAATTCTATCGAACAGAGGTTTATGTCTCAAATACTCAAATTATATCCACGCATCTGATCATAATAAATACAAAATCTCAGTATGCAAATTTATACAAGATACTATCCACCGTAAATCGTATACACTTCCCAAAAAAATATGAAACAGAACATAATAAACCAACCCAACCATCAATCAATCCCGAGCCTTCTCCCCAGAACACCGCTTCGCCAGCTCCTTATTATCATCCTGCAACGTCCCAATCAAATCTAACCACTGCTTCCTCTCCCCCCGCAATCGCTCAATCTCCTTCCTTAAATGTTCATTCTCATGACGCAGGTAATCGTGCTCCGTGCGCGAGCGCGACTTCTCCTCATTAGCAGCGTCTTTCTTCATCCGGGCCTCAATCTTAGACGCCTCTTTCGCCTGGCTCTTCTCGATCTTGCCCAGCTGCTTCAGCAACTTCGATTCGTCGTGGAAGAGCTTTGGCGCGACCTTTTTGATCTTCACCTCTTCTGGATTGGCGTCTTTTTTGTCTTTTTTCTTTGACTTGGTGTCTTTCTTGCCTTTGCTCTCGCTTTGGGTTGAGGGGGGTCGGGGCGGGGGGATTGTGCTTGCGGCGCTGCTGCTCGCTTGGTCGCTGCTGGGTGCGTCTCCTCCTGCTGCTACTAGGGCTGATGTGGAGGCTTTGTCTCTTTTGGAGATTTCGTCTCGGGGTGGTGGTGTTGCTGCTGCGGCGGCGTTGGAGTTGAGGGCTTGGATGTCCGAGCGCACGCGGTCTAGTTGGCCTTCGACGTCGCGTTTCTGCTGCGCGAGCTTGATGAGCTGCTTTTCGTGCGAGGACATCTTTCCCTTTTTATCTGTCTTTATGAGCTCCTCCGGCGGGATGTTGTGGTCTCCGGCTTCGAGGATGGGCGTGACGAGGCCGGAGGTGGCGGAGGCGGAGCTTGACGCTTTGCTTTGCGAAATTTGCGACTTTACGTCTGCTGCTGCTGTTTTTGTTGCGGCGGTGTCGTTGACGTCGGTAGTGGACTGTCCTGACGGGGTCTTGAAGGATCCGTCGCTGTGCTGTGAGATGCTGCTGCCGGGACGACTTAGGGTTGACGAGTGCCGTGAGTGCTGCGGCAGGTAGTCCAGTACTGCCTGGGGCGCATATCGCTCGACGCCGGAGTTGAGCAAGTACGCGAAGCTGGCGATCAGCCCGTGGTGCTCGACATCCTCGAGGTCCGACATGTCCGAATCGCTGTCGTCGGTTGCTCCCTCCACTCCCGCTGTGTGCTGGCTGCCACGCCGGGACGGACCAGTCGTCTTGCGCATATTGTTTGTCGTGCTCTCGCCGGCGGTGGAATCGGGCTCCCGACAAGCCCAGTCGATGAATTTGGCTGCATCAGAACAGATGCTCTTGGGCGTGCCTTTCTCCACCATCCACCGCGGGATATTGCCCCCGGGGTCGCTGCGAGTCACCATGATCCATTCGACGGGGTTGACTTCTTCGCTTGCGCCGTCGGCGTCCTGGCCTCCCTCCTTCGCACTGATGGCTGTCTTTCCAGGAGACCCACCCCGAGCACCCTCCGCCGACGCAGTCGCCAGGTTATCACCACCCTCACTCCCATCCACCCCCCCCGCCTCCCTCCCTGGCAAAACCTCCCTAATAAACTCCACAGACTCATACTCCCCGCGAATAAATCCCGACCTATCCGGCACATCCGGATGCAAACAAGGCCTCGAAACCATCATCCAATTCCTCCCCCCTCTTCCCCCTCCACCATCGTCCGCACCAACAACCCAATCCAAAATCAGCGCCACAAAATCCCTCGGCGTCGTCGGCCTCGGAAACTGCGCCGACACATGAAAAACACTAACATGCCCCACCACATCCCCCCCGCCATCCTTATCCCTAACCTCAACCCTCTCAACTCGCCTCTCAGCCCCAATCCCCCTAACAGCCTGATCCGCGACTTTCCCTCCCGCCAACCGCTCCTCATTCGCCGCCAGCGTGACAAGCATCTCACTCGACAGCTTCTCCTGCCATCTCGCGAACGGCAATCCCTCATGTATACTGCGTCGTCCGAACCATGACCCCCGCCCGTCTGCGCCAGAGAGCTTGTAAACGGGTATATCGAGCGGGTTGTCGCGCGTGCTGGAGACTTTGATGGGCTTGCCCCATTCTTGGTGGAGGGTCTGGAGGTGTGGATCTGGCGTGTTGAGGCGAGTGGGGGAGGGGGTGACTTGGGGGGCGGTGGGGGAGGATGGCGTGGGAGGGTAGGGCGTGTGCGTGTGCGTGTGCTCTTTGTCTGATGGTGATGGTGGTTGCTCTGGGACGCTGTCGACGATGAGGCGCGCTTTTGCGGAGATGTCGGCCATGTAGGCGCGGAGAGCGGATGGGTCTGTGGGGACGGCGTCCCAGGTTGTCGCCGAGAGGCATCGGAGGGCTTCTTGGAGGGTGGCCATTGCCGGTAGCGGGTGAGATTTTTTTTCAATCGATCTGGGTGTAAGTTTTTATATCCTTCTGCTCTTTATCGTTCGGTTTCTCTCCTTCAGGGGAGGGGGTTTCAGGTAGATGTCGTGATGCAAGCTTCGTGGATGTCAGCGGATGCTGACCAACCTGTTCACTTGGCTTGAACAATGGGCCACGATATAACCAAGAGAATAGAGATAGTCAAAGATACGAGATTGGATGTCGATATATATCTGGAAATAGCAGATGGTATTTTTCAAAGAAAAGTAGGCTGGAAAGGAAGAATTGAGTCCAAGGCAGACACAAACAAGGTGCGCTGTTAATACGTGACGTCATACCGTGGAGGCCGCTGTCTCGACCACCCGCTCTATCTAGTATCTAGGCTCGAATCGGTCTAGACGGACTTGTAATGCACAAGACAACAAACTACCAGATGGAGTTCTCAACAAATTAAATATTCCAGAGCTAGATACACGCTAGAAGATGAAGTAGCGACAGTGGAGAAAGTATGAACGAAAGAAGTGAAAATCAGGGAACCAGTCCCTAGGACAATGACCATGCCAGCATCCGATTCTCGTCATGGAAGCCTTCAATCAATGAAAGACATGTTCGAGCATATCCAGGTAATCATAACAACCCAGCCTGGACTGTAGGGGATGAGCCTACCAGACGGGCACCAGCCAAAGGTTTCTGAGAGAGCAGAAACTTGTGAGAACCGCCAGACAGAACAAACAAAGCCACAGGCCGTTGTACTGTTCTTGGAGACCATTGCTGCCACAGGCAGACTTCTGGACTGACGGAACTCACAATTTTTCTGTCAATCTTCAGTATCTCGAACTTGTGCCGTCGGGAAAAAAGAAAAAAAAAGAAAAGAAAATGAAAAAACCCGTGACCATATCATCGTAGACATGATATGGCACCCCCGCCGCATCAGTCTCCTGATCCAATCTTCGGACCACCAGTCTGATATCCAGTATCAGAAAGGAGATGTTACCAAAGGAAGACCCAAGATGTTGGTCCACAACATCGGCCTCCCACTCAGGTAACGACGCGGCGACAAAACAGAAACACAGAAAACAAAGCACAGTTCTCATCCAGATCATATCCCAAGCCGTGAGGCTAACCAGTCTTGATGTCATATAGAACAATATTGGGACATTCCCCGACAAAAGAAAGAACAAACAGCCGACCCGCCGCTTCTGAATGCAAATGGATGGGTTGAACAAAAACGCTGACGCTGGCACAAAGAAAAGCAAAACGGGAATTCAAACTTGTCACACGGAAAAGAGGAAGATATTATGTTCCTGGGATCAATATGCAAAACGAAGATGAGTGGGAGTATTGTGGATCGCAAACCGAGCATGGAAAAACGCTATCACTGATGCCAATTAGTCTGATGTCTGTATCCGAGGCGAAGCGCCCCCCGTCGTTCTCGTGGTGATTCTTGTGTGGGTGGGCCCGAGGGGCATGTAGTCGCCGATGTTTGCCGATATAAGCCCTGGGATCTAATCCAAAGACATGCGAAGTCAGGGAGACCGTTAACATCAAGTGCCTGGTTCCAAGGACGCATTACATCGTGGTTCCGTAGGGCAGCGCGAAATCGTATCGATCTCCCCAGCCAAACCCTACCATGTTCGCTGCCGTGCTGCAGGGCAGAATTAGCATGCTAGGAAGTGGCAGGGAGGCGATGGCGGCCGACGTGGCGGCCGCACTGTAGTACTGCGTCGTGTTGTACGGTGACGTGTCGTAGGGTTGGCTGTAGGACGGGGTTGGGGATGCATATTGAGTATCATTGATGCTGTTCAGGCTGGCCCACACATTCGGATTAGAATCATCGGTGCTGGCGGTTGCTGGGCTGGATGGAAGTACTTTCCACGAGTCCACCGACACGGGTTGTTGCATGGGGTCTTGCCACCACGTTTCCGGTGTAGTCGAGCTGGGGAGAAGGGGCGCCGGACGAACAACGTCGACCACGCGAGGCGGTGGCGGAAGCAACGAAACGAAAAGGTTAGTGATGGCCGCCTTGGCTTCGTCGCTTCGACCGCCGAGCAGTTCTCCAGCACCGTCCTCCTCGAGCCCCTCCAGCGCCTGGGCGCTGGTCCGGTAGACAAACTTGTTCGCGGCCTGGACGAATTCCTCTTGGAGCTTCTTCAGCTGACTATCCTTCTCGGACCAATCCCAGGTGCTGGCCGCCATGTCGACGGAGTAAATGTCCTTGTGAAAATCGACCAACGCTTCGATTGTCTCCGGCGTCAGCTTGAAGGCCACTTCGTTTTGCGACACCATGTCGACATGCACCACGTATGCTTCCATGTGGACCATCTCATAGTTAAAGAGCGCCTCCACCAGAGGGTTTTCGTCCTTCTTGAGTTCTGAATCGGGGGCTTTGGGAAACATCATGGAACACAACGTCCAGATGGCGTTCGGCGAGGAAAGAGTCTCCGTCAGGCATCGGGTGTGCTGCGTCACATTGTTCAGAGGTCGCTTCACTCGGTTGACTCGCTTCAAGGTTGCCGTGAGCCAGGGTTCAACCCTGGTATTCAACACCACGTTGGGGGAGGACCGCGGCGCAAACGCGGCAGCCGATGATGGCAGCAAGACGGTTGGCATGATGACTAGGCGTGATGATGGCGCTGATCCGTTAAACCGAAAGACTGAAACAAGCGATGAAGATGTTTTAGAAGAAGAAGAAATGAAGGCACGGCGATCATCCAGACAAGATGCGCCCACACCATGCGCGTTGCTTCAATAAGGTCCGTGATCCCGGAGAGGATAGGCCAGAATGATCCCTAGGCGGTCGCTAGGATAGATAGGTGCTTTGAAGCGAGTCACGAAATCCTGTCTGGTTGGAGGTAGTCCGTATTAAAAGTTGGCAAGTATGTATAGAAAATAAAAAGCCCACAGGTGATACCCAGCGCAAAAGTGGAGAGAGTATGTGGATTTAAATTACTGTGGGGTCAGATGCGAAAGAAAAGGAAAGCTGAAGATGGTAATGAAAGAAAGGAATGGTGCAAGAAAGAAAAGAAAATTAAGTGGCCGTGAAGGGAAAAAAGGAAAAGACAAGGAAGAAAGAAAAGAAGAAGGAGAAGGAGTAAAGAAAGGTGAGTAGAGGTAGAAGTAAGAAAGAAGAGAAAGAAGAGAGAGAGAGAGAGAGAGACAGAGAGGGGCGGGAGCGAAGGATGGCCCAAAAGGGCAAGAGGATGACTGGTTTAACAGATCAGGAGTTGTGAGAGGATGCGACTCACTAGTAGATGCACATAGGTATTTTTTCTTCTTCTTCTTGGATGAAGAAAAGGCTCCTGATATTAAGTTTATGTACTTTATACCTAGATACTAGATCCAACTGCTTGAGATCATCCAACCAACAAGTTTTGTCTTATTTATTGATTTATTTCTAAGATGCCACACGGGAGAAAATAAAATGGAATAAAATAGAATTTGAGAGACAAAACCCGATCCAAACCACATTTGCTAGATGGCAACTCGAGGCGCCTGCATGCAACAGGCAAGAGGGATATGGATGGAAAATGGACAATGACCGGTGACTTTTTTCTCTTGCAGACGCGAAATCCCGATCGTATGGAACGAGGGAGAGACTTTGTGGCCACCGTCCGGACTCACCGTCCGATCTCAGCTGGGCATGTTCAGAGTTTGGCGTTAGTTGTATGCAGGTGTCCAGAATCGTCCGAGAAGGTGGAGACGGAAGTTGATGGAGGGGCCTTTGATTCCGTATGTCGAGTGATGGTCCTACCCTACACTATAATCCCTTGTATATCAGGGGTGATATTGTAGGGAAGAATATTGATATTATCTAGTTCTCTATCCTGTTCTTTTATTTGCCTACTCCCTGACTCCTTATGGGTGCATCCGTCTCAGAAACCGTTGATTTGGAGGGTTTCGGATGGTTCATAGGACGATGGTCGGGAACCACTAGATTATCACCAACGCCTCTCTGGGAAACCATCGAGTCAGAGCGCCAAATGCCACTGGGAAAGCGTATAACCGTATACGACTGACTGACGTCCTAGATCGTGGGAAAAGAACCCGACGGGGAGTCGTTCTATCGATTGCATTTCGGTTGTAGGTATTGTTGGGTATTGGAGGTGTAAAGCAGGTAAAGTATCTTAGTAAACTTATGCAGTATGTCGTAGTGTGACTCTCCACTCTCCAGGCTCAGACTGCAAGTGCCGAAGATTTTATCGACTAGTCTGGTGGGTAGTAGTTTTAACTGTGTTATACTGGACAGACTGGTTATTTGGTAGTTGGATTGACATCATTCATTATGGCACATGATCTCAAAGATATCAACAAAGGATTCCAAGGATAACATCAAAGAACAAGGAAAACAAAAAAAATCTAAAAAATTAAAATTGAACAAGTAAAAAAATAAAAGGCTAACAGCGATGAAGCACCACTCGACTCGCCGCGCGATTCTACGCCAATCGAAACATAGACCTGCTAAGCCCCATTGCTGATCCACTTGCCATGAGCGAGTGGATCGACCGATGCATCTCTCGGGCCATGGGAACGGTCTATCCCCGTTACGTTTGAGGAGAGGCGAGTAAGGACGGCGTATGATTTCACATAAAGCGATAATCAGCTTTCTTTACGGAGTAGGGCAAGTGGATATCTATCGCCTTGACTAACCGGCTTCTGAAATCCTGGGAAATCCAGGATATGCTACTTTTGGTGGTGTCGTGCCCACCCCACATCTAACCCGGCTGTGACGATCACCCGATGATCGTGCGGTCTTGGATCAAAGAATCCTGAGTCCTGACTCTGTGTGTTTATGCTTCGCGCAGACAAGGCAAAGTCCGCCACCAGTGGGACCAGCTGGTTTTGCTGATTTTCAGCTGGGATGGTAGACCTCGTACTCCAACACGCATACTCTCGGTGCGCGCGTATTGCTCCATTGGGATAAAGTGAGACTGAATATGTGGATCGTGAATTTGAAAGAAAAAAAAAAGGAAAATAAAGAAAACAATTCATCTGGTGTCATACTTCAAAATTATTCTCAAATTATTCATTGATATCATTATCTTTTACAACCGAGGTTTTTACAATATATGTTCAATAGGTGTATAGCCCGGACGGAGTACTCCGTAGATAATGATACTGCCCTAACCTACCTTACATAGCCTTACCGCAGGTAAAAAAAAAGAGAACCCTAATCAACATGACAGGTAGGAACGCACTAAATCGACGGGAATTTATTCCGACCTGAACCTGCTACCTGTCAAAGTAACAAAAGAAATCTATAATGCAGGCATCGTTCGGATCCAACAACGGTAAATGCAAGAAGGGTGCCGCGGGATGGACATCTCCGATCCTAAGGGCTCCATCGGGTAAATTCATACTAAATCGAACCCCACATTTCACGCGAGCAAGTGCATCGTACCTCCTTATCGTTGACTGCACACCGTATCTCTTATCGTGCTGGATAATTTCCATACTATATTGTTGTATTCTATTACGCTTTCTGTATAGTTGTGATCGGCGACATAATATTGCTGACATACAGACAAGGTTTGCTCTTGCTATTATACAGGCAATATTGTCCGTTCTAGACAGTCTATCAGTTGAAGAGCGTCCCCTGGGCGGCATTAGTTCGTCCAGACAGATTTTGGATAGGCCATGAGACAGACTCAAAGTGAAACGACTGATTGACTCGTACTTCAGTTCATAACCATGCGAGAGGTGAGTCCTATCACCATAAAGAACTCAGAATAGGGGAAAGAACATAACCAAAAAGGAAAAAAAAAAAAAAAAAGGAAAAAAAAAGAGAGGGGAAAATTACGCAGCTGATGAATCATGGAGGAGTCGGAAGATGGAGCTAAAATGCTCTTGGGAAGCTGAACAAAAGGCTGTCCTGGCCTGGTATTCGCCCGCCGATCAGAGAGCCCGGTCGAGCGCTACAGCTGAGATCCCTGTTACGATCTGCGATTGGACTGAGCCTCGTCGATGGTCATCTCTGGACTTTCTAGAAGCGGATAGCCATTTGAACGCAACTCGAACTTGTAACGACGTATTCGTTTGTTACTAGGACTGATTACTCGAACTAGTGTCCTCGACTTGCCTTGTTGACTTAGGGCTTTTATACTCTCCTAGCACAATAAGGTCCCAGCGCTGTGTATATAACATGGGGGTGTAAGCATGGTGGATAACACGAATCTGAGGTAAGCAAGGCCAGTGTATCCCGTGACCTGGCCACACGAGGCATATTTAGAACAGTTAGCGACCCAGCTCGGTTGAAAAAGACTGGGGATCTCTTGCAAAGTCACTGCACGACTGCACGTCCAACATGCCATCGACTGCCGTGCGGCGCCCCACCAGCGACAAGCCGAACCAACAGAAATATGGCAGCCTATGCCTATGATCAGGTGATACATGGGAGAAAGACTCCATATGCGCCCGGCAACACATGTTGATACATGCAGCGCATGTAGTGTACTCTCGGGGATGGAGACGGGAGAAGACAAAGGTTGGTTGAATGGGTGGATGGCAGATTCGCGAGTTGATCGATTTCCGAGAATATCGTCGGTTGACGCCGGCTCTGTCAGCAGGTCGGTAGACAAGGCTCCTTTTTTCTCAATTACTTTCTCAATTTTTTTTTTTTTTGTTTAAATATTTTAGGATAATGAAACACACCACGCGTCGTCAGCCTGGTCAACTCCGTAGAGACGCAATGCGACACGACACATCACAACTGGATTCAGCCGTTAGTGTTGCCCCTCCATTCGACATAAGGGTGGAAAATATCGGTAAATCAGATAATCATTCTTTTGTCATTATGAAAATACCTTTCAACACCATTGAAATTGCCACGGTGTGGATATTGACCGGGGAGAAATTTATCCTTGTCGCTCCTTCGGTGATGACCGATTGCTGCGCCTCACTGGAGCGGCTGTCACCTGCCACGTCCGCCACGGTCAGTGTGGCGGAGTTTCTGCAGGCACTATGACATAATCTGCTCTCGTGTATCATTCCAACCTATGAGAAGAGAAAATAAGAAAAGAATAGTAGCAGAGAATACAGAAATCAAGAAGATAATAAAACATAGAACCGGACGCCTGGAAATTGCCAGCGAAAAGACACGAACGGAGCATCTGCACGCTTTGGACATGGCTCGTGGAACGGAGAACATCATGCATGGGCATAGCCACAAACCATGCCTAGGTTAGTGGTTGAGATGCATGACCGTATCCATGCTGCGAGACAAAGAGGAAACACAGGCACCTTTCAATCACGGTGAACTTTCCAGCGACTGAGTCGAATATCATATGGCCCATGATTCTTCTTAGCGCTTAACAAGGCTGTCTCGGTCATGATTCAAACATGAATCCCCAATCACAGATATCTTAGGAACCTCAGCTACCTATCTTCTTACTCAAGTAGATGATTCCCGTAAATCCTCTGAAGGCGACTCCAACCGCGGTAAAACTAAGCCTGCAGAAACCTGGGTTCTTCTCACTGTAACCATGCTATGATACATCCTGGCCCCTGGCACAAAAAAGTCCTTAGTGTCTACTGTCCAGGGTCTCCAGTGTCACGCTAGGCAAGCACCCACCCAGGACAATCCATCCAACCACTCATTCATTCATTTATTCATTTATCGAGCCATTACCGTACAATACACATAGCCAAGCGAGAAGACCATCCATCCATCCATCCATCCTACCTACTATAGTATCCATACTAAGCGCCCACTTTATGCTCCACGCTGCAGGACTAGCAAGCTAGCAGCCTTAGTTAATGGGAAGATTCAACGCAATCCCCCGCCTCACTCACTCATCCCCCCTCCCCTTTTCCCTCCCTTCCTCTCTTCTCAGGCCAGCTCTCACCACCCACCACCCCTGGGAGATTACCACAAACTCCACCCTTATTGGATCAACCCTCCCGCTCTCAGCCTGCACAAAAAAAAGAGCACAGTCCTCCTCCTTACCCTTTCCAGACGAATACTAGGTCCGCATGCACCGACCCTCCCGGCGTAGAGCAGACCCATGGAACATAGAAGAGGGGGAAGGGGGAGGGGGGGGGAAATGGGAAGGGATCTCACTCCTCCGTACCACTAATCCCACCCTTCACCCTCCCAAACAAAAATAAAAGACCCACCGGGCTTGCTGACAGTGCATGGTGTTTTGGTCACCTGTTCGGCTAGCCGCTTTGAGGTTTGGATGGATGGGTCGAGACTCTTGTGATTCGACCGGGGGGGAGGGCGGTTACATTAGTACGACTTAGCTGGTTAGTAGACCAGGAGGTGAGAGGGTTATATGTAGGTCGTGAGTGATATGCAGTGCGATGCACGGTTGAGGGGTTTGGTTTGGTGTGAGATGGAGATGGAGATAAAGTCCGCGGTTATGAGAGGTGATGTCATTTGCGAAGAAGGTGTGTTGACGCGATGCGGGCAAGGGAGGGAGAGTTTTCTTCCCGTCTTCTTGGATTGCGATGATCTAGAACCTGTCTCTCTTTTTTCTTTTTCCATTTGATCATGAACTTGAATCTAGAGTCTGGTCTGGACCCGTGGTGGTGGTAGGGGGAGACATTGTTGATGTGGTGCACGGCCAGTTTCATCCGGGATGCTGGTAGGTAGGTACCAGGTATAGGGGAGATCAATGTCTGATCCCAAGTTCTAGCCTTTCGAATATCGGATGGTGACGACGCCTTGTCTTGGATTTAATTTCATCTATCTTCGCTGGTTCACTCGAAGTGTCTATCTGCATGACGTCCTCCCTGGAGATGTCGATGGTTGGAGTATACAGCTCTAGACAATGCGGAAGATGCGGCCCAGACCAAGAAGCTAATTCCTATTCTGGGATATGCTTCGAGGAGGGAAACTAATAGCTTGGCTGTCACACAAGTCAGCATGTTTCTATCAACCTATGCATCCACATTCTGCGTTCGACCAAATAACAATGGGTGCTTATGTGAGATGGTAACGGACTGGGTGTTCAATGCGCTTTTTGTATATGACATGCTTGCAATTATCTAGTACTTTGGGAAGGACACTTGCTTTAGCTTTTTACTTGGATTGATTAGGACGTGTAGGGATCTATCATTACGAATGCGATGTATTAGAATATGCACAGGTGCTGTATGCCATGCGTTGCAAAAGTACAATTTGACTGATGTATGCCATGCGTTATTCTATCTATCATAAATCAACTGCGTTGGTAAACTTCTGTGCTGGAAGTACTTTTGTGACAGAAGCAAGCACCACAACCAGACTAACGCTTATCTCTTTTCGTCACGGACTTTGTAGTTTGATTCTTTCTTACTGTAAACAAAAGTCATCACTAATTGTATGGACTTTTGAGGTTTTTCGAGGGGTGCATTCTTCCATTGTATTCGTCTCGCGTTCTCTACTAATATAATTTATTTTTCGGTAAACGAGACTCGACTGTGAGAAATATCAGTATGCTGTATACTCACCAGCGACGAGCCAGCCAACACTATCTCTAGTGAACTGCTCTTCTACATAAGTACCACAGCAGAGAAAGCATGTCCATGGACTGCCACTCGAGATAATGAAAACCGCACTCAAGAGAGTTTGTTCAACTAACAATATAGAATTTCTCGTGCCTTCCAGCTTGAATTATATTCCAAGGTTTAATCGCTTGGAACATTGCTGTTTCTTGCGCCAGACAGCCGACGCATCACTCAGGCTGATTGATCCTAGAATATAAAGGCCGTAAAATTGAGCTCTTTCGCAGGGTATATTGCATCTTCCTCGGTGTCATCCGCAAACAGCATCTTCATAGAGTGTTGATATAGTTGAATCTATTTCAAAGGCCTTGGGATACGGTCTCATCCAAGACCGTTCTGGTTGCATATCGATATACAACCATTGATCAAAACAGACACTCTGCATAAGATACTGGTTGGATTTGCTCCTGTCGATGAATGCCTACCTGCAGTGTTCAATCTGTCAATAAACCCCCCCAGGCTGTGCCCTGTGTGCTCTACCGGAGATGCACGATCGAATATTGACTGTAAGAGATCAACAGTCTTTCTTTCACGGGGATTGAGAGACTTTATGGAAGCTGTGATTGCAATCAGTTGATCAGTTGACCCACAAAGCAGATCCATTATTGTTGCGTCTCTTGCAGAATTTGGACCCTTCATCACCATTTCGTATAATCATCATCATCTTTGGTCTTTCGATATTCTCATTCGCTCTTGTCTAGGATTGTGATTATGATAGAATATCTAGGCCCGTGTCTTGATATACTAATAGTGAGGCTCCAGTATACTCCAATTAGCATGCGAGAATGTGTAGGGCACAGGCTGGCTCACATATGTAGCCTTTACCAGACACTAGGATGCCATGTCCAATTATTCGAACTAACTGATGTAGCTCCTCATTGGTAAATGTGTTGCGCATAGCTTATATGAAGATCGGTCTATTGAGGAACACTCATGGTTTATTATCACCGTGCTTGATGCTCAATGATTCTTGTAACATGATGTTCCTATGCTAGTACTGGTCCTGCCCATTGCTTCCCGGTATGATATACGATTCCAAGGTGAAATCAAGCTTGACTTTCCCATCACAGGCATGTATGGGACCCCCTTATGACAGAGGGAAAAGCGTGCTGGTATTATCACATATGCGTGGGACGACAAAGCTAATTGAATGTTGGATCTTGCAAGCAGACAGCATATTGGCATACTGAATGGGATTGTGGTTATTTTCAAGAGCAGAAAGGATTTTCCAACGCGCGATAATCTGTGGCCATTAGTACTAATTATTCAGACTGCGAGGTAACCTGACTAGGTAGAATATCTTGATAGACCAGCAGGAATTTAGAAAACGATTAGATAACTTACGCACTACACCCCTCTCCCAAAGAAAACATCGCAAGGTTTCCACAAGCATTTGGCTCACAAATCGCAATAGGAACAAACTGCGAATACAGCCTAATAGGGTTATCTAGAATGGCCGACCAATCATTACCAAACGAAATCACAACCGACGAGGCTGTATACGGAATTAAAGCAGGTGTCAAAGATCTCCAACAACTAAGCTCTTCGGGTAAAGCTGCACAAGAAAAGAGGCAAGGAAACCACAGAAAGAGGGCAATGGGAGCTTTGGACTCAGCCATTAAAGATCATTTAAGCAGGAAAGCTCCGAAAGAAATAAAACTCGGAAAATTGGGAACAGAAAGCTGGTCAGCACAGTCTCCGAGATTATTCACAGCGTTAGGTTGATATCGAAAACGATTGTCATGGAATCCAAGTATATCAGCAATATAAGAATCAGCAGTTGAGTATGTATAATCACGGGATATTTCAGTCGGTATATTCTCATTCTCTAACTGCTGAATCTCAACTGAGAGGGGCCGATTTGTGATGTCAATGACGAACGAACCGACCCTAGGCAAGGGAATCTGTGTGATGTTCAAGAAGATCCGGGAGAGATCATGAAAAAAGGTCTTCCTCCGTTTTGGATCATTCTGTCCTTCGTTCCATGTATTAAAAAGCATAGACCCATGTGTCTCTTCGCTGAACTCAATCAAGAGGTAGTCGACTTTCACGGTACTACCGGTAAAGATTGAACATCTGCTCTGATGGTGGGCATAGTTTGGAGGAACCGATCCATTCAACAATGATAAGATATTTTGGCACAATAGTTGGAAACAGCGTGAGATGAATGGCAGTGATTCAAGCCGGGTGAACTGGAAATCATCAATAGCGGCTTAAACCAGAAGGATCGACCACTGTTTCTATTCATACCTTCTCGCCACTGGATAGAGCAAAGCCATATAGTTTTGGTATTGACACGTGGGGACAGTTGTTCTGGATCCATGCATAGGAGCCTGCTTCACATTGCACTTTCTCGTCGCAATTTCCAGGCCTGAAACTTTCACCGACGCGATATGGCAAAGGAAACCGTAGAAGAACGCGCTTGCCCTCCCAGCTGAACTATGATAGGCACACAGACATTGAAACTGCCATGAAGCCAGGAGCTTACGTCTGCCACATAGCATTCATCGGATGATTCAAGTCCAAGATGATGAGCAACAACAGCCTTCATCCATTCGCGTTGATCATGAAGATGAACGAAGAACCTCGTCTGTTCTGTATAATACTTGAGCTGGGAGAGGATGTTAGATTCGAGTATGTGATTTGCCCCCGAAGCAGCTGTCGGGATTGTGGCATGATGACCAATTGAGTTTTGTTGTAAGAAGATTGGAGATTTTGATGGTTCAGAAATTCAAGGGGAGGAACTTTGTATCAAAAGGTACGTGTGACAACACCTGTCCCTTATAATGTAGGGTCAAGTAAACTTCATGAAACACGAGTTTAGATTTAGTACTACAATGATGGAAAGCAGGTACCCATCAAGTGAGACACTTTGCAAACTTTCACAGTCTAATAGTCGATTTTTTCCAGTTTGATCAAGGCGGAAATCATGATAGCTTGAAATCTAGCTTTTCGGGGTGGACAAGTAAGGTATATATAAAAACACCGCATGTCCTATCTGTACGTCATCAGCTAATTCTCAACTGGACAAATATGAGCGATAACAGAATATTACTGTTTAGTTGGAAATATCAATTATAATGATTCCGACCCATTCTGAGCCCTAAAAGGGTCCGTGGGCTGTGGGCCTTGGATCTTCTTGCCAGGCTTATCCCCCACAACCCCGCTTTTACGGCAATTCAACCGCATCCCGTTCATGCCGCGGGAGTGACGGGGAAAGTTCACCATGTCCAGGTATATCATGAATAAACCTCCAAGTTTAGTGTTGTAATCATCAATATATGACCTCTGGCAAGCCAACACGCTGAGCTATGACATGCTTGGTGTGCTATCGAATCCAAGTGAACACGGCAAAAGGTAAAAAGAAGAAAAGGAACGACAACCAAGAGCAGAATTCTCCACTTGATGTCGGTGTCGATCATGCCGCTATGGTGGACTGCGAACCTCGATGGGGATAAGCGTGGTGGTGGCTTGAACCTTTCTCCTCTCACCTCTTCCACTCTCCTCCAAGGCTTGTCTGTTCTCGCTTCGGTGCGTGTTGGCTCCGGTTGACTGATGAAGTAGATATTTATGGACAGACCAAAACACCGTTAATTAACCATATTGGAGGACTGTTCCACTCCCTTTGATTCCTTCGACTTCACATGGTGCCGAGATATTTCGAGCTCCGAGATGCCGCTGAGTGCCGGTAGCTTACTGTCGATCCTTCTTCTCCTCACCACCATTATTCCCGCAGGCTTGCCCACTCAGCAATGTCTAATCTATGGTTTGACCATCAGCAGACAGGGCTTTATCTTATGTGGGGGAGAAAATGAAATGATTTGGGCTTAACGTTGACTGACTTGGGGGTACACCAGACGCTGTTCTGTGTCTCCGCAGCATCAGTATCGGAAAGTACTCGATGCTCGTCATTATCAACCAGAAATGGTTAAATGATGTCTTTTGACTCGGTGTGGAATTTTTTCAGTGTGGCCAGCAAAAAATTAGACCACATCTCGACCTTTCCGGCTGCCGCATTGCCCTAACGCCACAGCTCATTCATCCATATCAGGACAGCCAAATCAGTATTAATCCCGACATCAAGGATCGGCAACCAATCACAGATTTATTGCGGATGGGTCTGTTGGTCGATTGAAGCAACGTGAATACCTGCGGTGGGCGGCCATAGACATCAAATGCTGAACGTCCAGGTTGATCCCCGAGGCCAACATGGCGGGCCGACATAGGGATTCCCAGTATCAATATAAGGGTCCAAATAACAGAGTTCGACCAGCCGCGACTCGCAATTTGTAATTGGTTTCATTCGCTGCCACACGAGGCTAAGGCCCACTAACACAACGTGGAATGGAGGATTGATTCCCCAGCAATAGATCAGAGCTCTACCCCGGATTGAAGCACCGCACCTGACCCCGGACTTTTGCGGACACAAAGCAGGGATCCAGTTAGGTTTTGCATGGAGCCGTACTTGAAAGCAAGGGCTCATCCTTGTCTTATTTCAACAGCCACCAAAATGGAATAGCCTCCTTAGGCTAGGATCGCCGTCACTGACATCAGGCGTTACACTTGGTCCTGACCAGGAACAAAATGATCTAGCCACCTCACATGTGGGATGATCCTCGGCGTCTTGGAGCGGCATGGCGGGATCTCTGTGCAGAGGTACCCCGTACCCGAACAAAAAATCCCCGCATGACTCGCAGGTATAAAAAGCGAGATTGCAGTCCCCGCAGACCTGGATCTGGGGCTTTCAGCCGTCATATTGGCCAAGTCGTGTGAATATAGCGGTGGTCTGCATCCAGCATGCGTTTCTCGACAGTTCTTTCAGTGTTTCTGCTTTCCAGCACCTCACTGGCTACCCCAGCCTCCCCCCAAGCGGACAATGTTTCGGTACAGGAGGCTCAGTCAGAGGACCACCCCGCCACAGAGACCCCTGCCGCAGAGGCCAAAACAACTGGCGCAGCTCACCCAACTGTCAATGTCAACCAACAGAACGCGAACGATGATGAGCAACAAAGTGGGTCGGCTGAAAACCAGCCAAAGCCCGCCGAGGATGACAAGTCCAAAGGTGGCGATTTCTTAGGGGCACTGACCAGCGGAAACCCACTTGTCCCGACGGGAGATTCGTCTAGCAAGGAAACAGAAAAGCCCGACACAACCACCTCCTCTGCAAAGAAGGATGACAGACCCCCCACCCCTACCTCTGCCCCGAAGGAGAAATCGACCGAAGAAGATTCTTCAAAGCCGTCATCATCGGCTTCTTCTTCCTCGAAGAGTTTCTGGGAAGATCCGATCCCGGATGGAGTCAGTGGAAACCCCATTGAAGACCTTGGAAACCATCTCGATGGTATAATAGGCCTACTTTCTCCGACATTCATCAAGGATGTCGAGTCTTTCTTCCATCACTTTGCGCGCTTGTTTGACGACGAGACGACTGAACAGACCAAATCCTTGATCGACACAGGCTACAAACTCCTGACCCCAGAATTGTCCAAGGAGCTGACTGGTCTTTTAAATAACGCCAACAAGTTGCTCACAGCCAACTTCGTGAAGGAAATTCAGGACTTGATCAAGGCAGTGGGCCCTCTGGTCACGCCCGAGCTGTTCAAGCAGCTATCTGGTTTGCTCGAGAACGGCAGCGACCTCCTGACAGCCGAGTTCGTCAAGGAAGTCAACGGCTTGATCGGCAATGCCAACAAGCTGCTGACCGCTGATTTCGTCAAAGAGATTAGACAGCTTATCGAGACTGTGGTCCCCGTGTTGACACCCCAGATGCTCAAGGAAGTCAGCAAACTGCTGAGCAACGCCAACGGCTTATTGACCGAGGGCTTCGTCAAGGAAACTAAGGGCCTCATTGACACCGTGGCACCGGTAATCACACCAGAGCTTCTCAAGGAGATTGGCCCGCTGCTTCACAACGCCAATAGTCTGCTCACGGCCGACCTCGTCAAGAAGTTGAAGGAGCTGATCAGCGCAGCCAGTCCCCTGCTGTCCCCTGACCTGTTCAAGAAGCTCAATGGCCTGCTAGATAACGGCAGCGACCTCTTGACAAAGAATTTCGTCGACGACACCAAGGGCCTTATCGGCGCCGTCGCCCCCGTCATCACGCCTGAACTTCTCAAGGAAGTCAGCGGTCTTCTAGATAATGCCGGCGATCTACTCACCAAGTCATTCGTGAACGACACGAAGGGCTTGATCGGCGCCGTCGCACCCGTCATCACCCCCGATCTTCTCAAGAAGGTCGGCGGCCTACTCAACAGCGCCGGAGACCTCCTAACCAAAGACAACGTCAAAGACATCGAGGGTCTCCTCGGCAACGCCAACGACCTCCTCACACCCGAATTCGTGAAAGAAACGAAGGGTCTCATCGGCGACGTGGCACCCTACCTCACCCCCAGCTTGATGAAGCAAGTCGGTGGTCTCCTCAACAACGCCAACGACCTCCTCACCCCGAAGTTCGTCAACGAGACGTCCGGCCTTATCGACGGGATTGCTCCCGTCGTCACCCCCGAACTTCTCGCCCAAGTAGGCGGACTTCTAGGCAATGCCCAAAAGCTCTTGACCAAGAAATTCGTCGAGGAGACGGCCGATCTCATCGATACTGTGGCGCCGGCTATCACGCCGGAGCTGCTCAGCCAAGTCAGCGGTCTTTTGAAGAACGCTGGCGGCTTGTTGACGGCGAAGTTTGTTAACGAAACGAGCGACTTGATTGACGACGTTTCGCCTGCTATCACGCCGGAGCTGCTTGGCGATGTTAGCGGGCTTTTGGATAGTGCTCATTCGCTGCTGACGCCGAAGTTTGTGAACGATACGCAGGTTTTGATTGAAGATGCTTCTGGGGTGGGTTGCCCCCTTTCCTTTTTCCATCCATATACTCTACTATCTGGTGTAGAACAGCTTAAGCTAACCTTCTTCTCTAGTTACTCCCCTCCTTGACGAAAATCCTAGATAACCTCTAATCGAAGCCTACATGCGGACTTGACTTGATTTGAGCGGTATCAGCCTGGGATGGACCTATGATTCATGAATCTACGCTTAATATAAGGAACAATATGTACCGTGTATCTGCATTCTATCTTCAATATCATGTGCGAGGTACTGAGACCCCTTAGCATGAATGTCCTTAAGTTGTGAAATTGTCGTTGCCCCGGATACTCCTCTGCGCGACTTGACGTCGTCGTGTGGGATGTAAGCTTGTCGGTGGTGTATCTGACCGATTGCAGTAGCTCAGCTTTAGGTCGTTGATCTTATAGTGAATAGTGTAGCTAATCTTGTCACTGGATGATGCAATGTAGCAAAGGGCGTAGGTAAAGCATGATGTTTGTGGTATTTGCCGAAGTTCCATAAAGAGCATGGACACAAGTCATTATGTATTATGGTATAATTCTCTCCATCCGAAGGCTCTGGTGGTTATTTTTGTGCGGGTCGTAAACCGGCTGTTTATGGTCCGTATGCCATACCGACAGGGCAAAGTAGTATAGAATACAATAGGTACAGCTCTGACAATAATTACGAAAAAAGCAACAGATGAGACGGTTCACCCGACTACATGATTGAAATCACTCACCCCCCGACGAAACCCCTGTTCCCATTCGGGATACAGGTCCTCGACAACGTATCCCGTATCCAGGAGACGTTTCCGGATCCACAGCGTCAGCATCCCGATCTTGTCGCCTCCTCCTCCCTCGCCGTTGCCAGGGAGGAGGTGTTGCGTTCTGGCGGAAAAGAAGCTCATCGCGTCGCTGAAGCCGAGATTCCAACCCAGATCGTATTGGTGACGCTTGTCGTAGATGCCCCATGACTTCTCGTTTTGTGCGATTGCAGTGTCACGCAGGTGTGCGCGCTGCGTTTTGGCGTTCTCTAATTTATCGTGAATTTGATTTTGGGTTAGGTTGAACCACTGTGGAGGGGAGATCGCGCCTGAGGCGACTTGCTGTTTGAAGTCTGTGCCTTCATCACTGTCGTCTGTGTTGAGAGCCCAGAAGGCGGACCCGCTGGCACGGGCGGCCCAGACTTTGCCTTGCTCTTGACCGAATTGCTTGATGAGTGCGGATTGAGAGGATGGGTCCACGCGACGTAGCGTTTCGGGGTTCAGGGTGCAGGTGTATTCGCCCACGAAGACGTCGACCGGATCATCGTGTAAGGTCTTATCATTATGGACTGCGACGTCCCGTAGATCATTTGAAACCTGCTGAATAACAGACTGTGGCTCTGTAGCTTGACTATTATAGTACCGATGCGTCTCGATCACCACGGGGTTCCTCCCTGCAGGCGCTGGAAGCCGATTCTTCGATGCTGCATAGTCCGCAGCCGCAGTCAGATTACCGCCGTCGCTGATGTAAATGGGCAACGATGGGTTGATGGCGCTAGTGACCACCAGCACTTCATTATACCAGTCCGTCAAGTCTTGAATGTTCCAGTCCTTCAGGTTCGATATTTGGATTCCTGTTACCCCTAGAATGGCATGAAAGGTGACTTCTTGCATGATGAAAGCGATGCAATCCCTCGCCAACTCCCGGGTGCGTTTGCAAATGGGCGCAATGTGAAAATCAATCAAGACGCCTATGCCGTGATTGTAGCAATCTTCCACATATCGCTTCACGATACCCCAAGTGTGGTCGTACAAATGTGCCGGTTCTCCTTCGAAGTCTGTATCCTGACAAAAAGCCGGGCCAAGCGTGTAAAAGCCAATTGGGAGACGGATCGCATTGCATCGTGCCGTTGTTCTCAGCCAAGAGAGGTCCGATTCCAACACTGCCCGCGCCCACCGTGTTTCCCATTTCTTGCTTGTTTCATGGAAGCCAACCGTTTGGAGAGACCTGCAATGATTGTAAGGATTGGGTGAGGCTTTGAGGTGTCTACGGAAAGGCTCACTTTCGAATCTCTGCTAACTCTTTTGATCCTCCTGGATCGGTGTTTGAGTTGTCGCCATCCCGCCACGGACCCCGTATAAATGCTGTCCCTTGGTTCACTCCATGCTGGTATCGATAAAGCAAGACATCTGACGCTGTTGGAGACGGTAAGCGACTCGGGGGCATTCTCGATTAAGGAACTAGTTTTAATGACTCCGACACAACCAGAGTATTATGTGTAGAAAAAGAATTGTGTGACGGAAAAAATGCGAGCAATTCAAAAATATGATGTCAAGAGAAGTAAATTAGTTTGAATAGTCTCGACCGGCGAGTCTCGATAATTACCCCGGAAGGAAAGCTGCCATAGGCGGGTGATCCACCACTGGAGGAGATGAGAGTGATCTACACCCCCAGGACATTGATCTCCTTGAAGAATGGTGAAGGATATTTAATTATTATGAGAACAATTTAACGAAACCGTACAACCCACCACGGGGGAGAAGAACGGATACTTCCTGAAGATCCGACTTGATATACTTTCAAGATGAGGATAACCTGACGTAAGTCATCATAGTCGATTAGCGAGGGGCTCCTAAGGCTCCGCATCTGACCGGGCACGGGACCACCCGTCGTCGTTGTTTCCTTGAGATCTTTTTGTCCTTCTTCTCACCTCCAAGAAATCAACTCAACCATCGAGCTGCCCCACTCGTTTATTTACCTAAAATCGATCTAGTGCTTGGGACACATCTACTACTTATCCATATTCCTTTGACTTTTGTGACAATCAGCCATGAAGAAGGTGATACGCATCTAGTAACCCCCCACACGGCATGGAGAAAACACGGGTCGCCAAGGTAGGTCTTACCCCCTATCTTTCATTAAGTACTTCTCAGCTCGAATGCTGCTCCGTTGAAGAATCTGTTGACTGACGATCTATATGTATCGTTGTAGGTTGAAGATGTGACCTTGGCGCGCCGTGGCGAACAGGTCGTTGGCACACTCCACCTCACCCCTCATCATATTGTCTTTACACACACTCCCGCCGCTGCCGACTCTACACAGCCCTCCAGCACCCCAATCAGGCCACGGGAACTCTGGATCTCTTTCCCTATCATCTCCTTCTGTATCTACCGCCCGACTCCCGCGGTCTCTCGTCAGCCGTCCGCAATCCGCATCCGATGTCGCGATTTTATGTTTGTCTGCTTCTACTTCGAAAACGAGACAAAGGCACGCGATGTCTACGAAAATATAAAGACAAGGACCTGCAAAATTGGCCGCGTTGACAAGCTCTATGCGTTTTCTTACCAACCGCCTCCCCCTGAGCGGGAGTTCAACGGTTGGGAGTTGTACGATCCCCGCAAAGAGTTTGCTCGACAGGGGGTGGGCCAGAACGGGCGAGGTTGGCGGATCTCGACCATCAATTCGGACTACGGGGTAAGTGGTCTCAACTGGAGTCGAGTCACAAGAGGAGTATTGACCGAGGTCCGCTAGTTTTCGCCAACCTACCCAGCCGTCTTTGCCGTCCCGTCGACCATCTCCGACAACACGCTCAATTACGCCGGGCGCTATCGCTCCCGCGCACGAGTGCCTGTTCTGACATATCTTCATCCGGTGAATAACTGTTCGATTACGCGGAGCTCCCAGCCCCTGGTGGGTGTACGGCAAAATCGAAGTATCCAGGATGAGAAATTGCTGGCCGCCATCTTCTCCGCTTCCCGGTCTGAGAGGCCGTTGGCGAACGTCAAGCCCCCGCGTCTGGATAAGGATTCATCTGGATCGACCTCAGAAGATCCCTCCGGTAGTCCGGGCCTAGCTGAGCTGGGAAAGGCCGAGGAAATGGAGGATGAGATGCTGTCATCATCGTTCGAGGGAGAATTTGGAGATCAGCCTCAGATCTACGGCGCCCAGCAGCATAATCTGATCGTCGATGCGCGACCGACTGTAAATGCGTACGCCATGCAGGCCGTGGGGCTGGGTTCTGAAAATATGGTCAATTACAAATTTGCTACAAAGGCGTACCTGGGGATTGACAACATCCACGTGATGAGGGACTCCTTGAACAAAGTGATGGATGCGTTAAAAGACTCGGATGTCACGCCGCTCGGTCCCAGCCGAGATCAGCTGGCGCGGAGCGGGTGGCTGAAACATATCTCGGGAATCCTGGACGGTGCCGGGTTGATTGCCCGCCAGGTCGGCCTCCAACATTCACATGTGCTGATTCATTGCTCCGATGGGTGGGACCGCACCGGTCAGCTGAGTGCTCTGAGCCAGGTGTGCCTGGATCCGTATTATCGGACAATGGAGGGCTTCATGGTCTTGGTGGAAAAGGACTGGCTCTCGTTCGGTCACATGTTCCGGCACCGCTCGGGCCATTTGAACAGCGAGAAATGGTTTCAGGTAGAGAATGAACGGATCGGAGGGGATCCCAATCGAGGATTTGGGGAGGGCGGCGGTGCAGGAAAAGCCATCGAGAACGCGTTCCTGAGCGCCAAAGGGTTCTTCAACCGCGATAATACCAGCCGCGATTCCCTTCACGAACCCGAAGGCGAGATGCAAAGCTATGATTCCGACAATCCTACCGCTAAGAAACCTAGTCCACCTCCCCGGGTAGCTCCCGCTGAGAAGGAGGTCACCAAGGTCAAGGAAACCAGTCCCGTCTTCCACCAATTCCTGGATGCCACCTACCAGTTGCTGTACCAGCATCCCACCCGGTTTGAATTCAACGAGCGATTCCTACGGCGGCTCCTCTACCACCTGTACTCGTGCCAATTCGGGACGTTCCTCTTTAACAGCGAAAAGGAGCGTGTGGAAATCCGTGCGAAAGATCGGACTCGCAGCGTGTGGGACTACTTCCTCGCTCGGCGGGAGGAGTTCTCCAATCCCCAGTATAACCCTCTGATCGACGACCATAAACGTGGCCAAGAGCGCTTGATCTTCCCTCGGCTCAAAGAAGTCCGATGGTGGAATGAGGCCTTTGGCCGGACCGACGAGGAGATGAATGGTGCGCGTCTTCACGGCGCGTCTCCCCCGACTGGTCCGGATGATCGCTCCGAGCCCGAACGGGCTCCGGTGCTAACGGGGATCGAGACCGCCCATCATTCTGTGGGCAGTGGGCCATCTGTT